ATCCTTACACACGGGTTTGATTGCATCCTTACACACGGGTTTGATTGCATCCTTATCAAATCAACCAACCACAAATCCCTCTTTAAAAAGTCAATCAAAATATCCCTGACAATCGTGACTTTGTCACTACCCTTTTCGGTCAACTTCTTCAACTTCTCCTCCTTATCCTTATCCAACTGTACATACTTCAAACATGGCGCTAAACATAATATCCAGTATAGTCTCGCAAAGTTGGTCCCTTCTCCTCTAATCGTGGTCTCATCAAACTTACAGATGTACCTCCTCGAAATAGAGTGGGGCCCAGTATATGGCGTAAACACTCGACTCGAATTGGGATGTGCCAGTGCATACTCATAAAAAGTCCGAAACATCTCCATCCCTTCTATTTTGATCTCTCGTGGTATTCCGGCTTGCAATAACGCTTTGTCCTCTTCACAATATTCATGTTCTACATACTGCTTTTTTAATACAGAGTTGTCTCTCTTTGTACTGGGGTCTTGGCTTATATTCATATCGTAAATCTCATTCTCCTCAAACTTGTTCACTACTAGACCAGTTCTGCCCCTATCAAATCTGAAACTTGCTCCATATACTCGGACTCCCCTTTCACTTGACTTGGTCAATTGAACATCATCCTTGCTCTTTATTATAAAAAACTCCTCCATATCAACATAGTCTTCTATCCTGGGGATAGACACATACACTATCCTCTCTGTAACATACGAATGGAGCGGCACTAAATATAAACGTCGGCTCTTAATATCACTAAATTCCTTTCTGCAATACTTTTGAAATCTATATCCATCTGTATATTGTACCTTCCTGTTTAATATAATTAACCCATTGACATATAAAAGCTTTCCAAACTCCTCTACATTAAGATCCTCCTCCATAACATTTTCATCCTCTTCATAATTATACTCTACTAGCTCATCATCTAATAAGTTATGAAAATACTCATCATTTTTATCCAAATTGTCACTCTCGCTACTCATCTTGCCATGGGGAAGATGAATCATATGGGTATTGTTTACCTTTGTGTTATAATAATACGCGTCTATTAGCCGTTTGTGTCACATGACCAAACCGTTGAACAGTTTTGTGTCACGTGTGGATATCCTTATCTCTCTGTCACGTGTTGACACTATTAATCTATTATTTCTCTTTTTTGCATCAATATCTTTCAAAAAGTTTAAAATAAAGTACCATACCTACATTCTGATAAAACTCATTACTTTTATAAACTTCCCATTTCTCATCCCTACAAAGAAGCTTTCATCGCCAGTCTCACATATATGATTAACCCTCCTCCAATGATTACCTCCATCATGTTCTCTTTCTTCATAGTCTTCTCTATGATGATATATCCCCCCTTCCCTCTTTGTATATAGACTATCACATCCTCTCCTTTCTAGCATGAAATGTTTTTGAAAATTAACCCTTTAGCCTACTTGGTAGCTATTTAATTTTTTTTACCTGCGTTCGATTCTGACATAAATCATTTTTCTATTATCTTTTCCAGTGTCACTTCTTAGTGTCGTTTTTTACGATATTATTTTTTACGACAATTCCCTTTTCTGTAAACTCTCTCCTCTGTCTCTTTTAATGTCGCTTTCTACAATACTTTCTACGACAATTCCCTTTTATGGTAACTCTTCTATGTCTTATATGTCCCTTTTAGTGTCTTTTCACGACAATTCCCTTTTCCAGTATCTCTTCTATATCTTTTATGTCTTTTCTACTTCTTCTCTGCCTTTTCTGTTCTCTCTCTTTCATCTCTATGACTCATGTCAATACCTTCTTCACATTTCCCTCAATACACTTCTAATTCATTCTATTCTCACTATCCTCGGGTGACTCTCCAGCTCTTCTTTATCAACAGCTACTTCCTCTTTCCTTCTTTTGGTCCCCCCTCTTTACCACGTTTTCTTGCAAATTTTCAATTTTCAATTTTCCTTTCTTTTCATTTTCAATTTTTCTTTCTTTTCTTTTCTCTTCCCTCTTTTCTTTCTTTTCTCTTCCCTCTTTTCTTCTTTTCCCCACCGATGTACACTTCAACAAGAGCTACTACCCCGCAATCCCTCTCCTTTGAGGAGGTCGTCATGACGGGCTTGGCCCCAGATGGTGGCCTCTACTTACCCTCATCCATCCCGAAAATCCCCATCGCTGACTGGTCCTCCCTCTCCTTCCAGGACCTCGCTTTTCAAATTATGAGACTATACATCCCCTCCTCAGAAATCCCAGACTCTCACCTCTCATCCTTAATCTCAAAGTCTTATGCTTCCTTCAAATCGGACGAAATCACCCCCTTATACAACGTCAACGAAAACTTGTACCTCCTAGAATTATTCCATGGCCCAACTTACGCTTTCAAAGATGTCGCCCTCCAGTTCGTCGGTAACTTGTTCGAATACTTTCTCCAAAGAAAAAAATCAAACCCAATCACCGTCGTCGGCGCTACTTCAGGTGATACTGGCTCAGCTGCTATCTACGGCTTGCGTGCCAAAAAGGACGTCAAGGTCTTCATCTTGTATCCAACAGGAAGAATCTCCCCTATCCAAGAACTACAAATGTCAACCGTCCCTGATGAAAACGTCCACGCCTTATCCGTAAACGGCACTTTCGACGATTGCCAGGATATAGTAAAGGCTATCTTTGCTGATAAGTCGTTCGCAAGTTACAACGTCGCCGCGGTAAACTCTATAAACTGGGCAAGAATCCTCGCCCAAATAACTTACTACTTCTACGCTTTCTACAGAGTAAAGGGTACAGTTAGGTTCGTCGTCCCTTCAGGTAATTTCGGCGATATCCTCGCAGGCTACTTTGCCTACAGAATGGGTCTCCCCATAGATAAACTCATCATCGCTACAAACGAAAATGACATCCTCGACAGATTCTTGAAATCGGGCGTATATGCAAAGGGCTCGTCTGTAAAGTCCACTCACTCACCGGCTATGGATATCCTCGTGTCTTCAAACTTTGAAAGATTGCTCTGGTATTTGGCAGAGGGCTCGGACCTGGAAAGGGGGGGAACTGTGTGCTCCTACATGGACCTGTTGAAAAGGGAGGGTTCCTTCTCGGTACCAAACTCGGTCCTCCTGCAAGCAAGAGAAATATTCGATTCCTCCTCAGTCACAAACGATGCAACTATCGCCACTATCAAAAAGTTCTATGCCTCCCACAAGTATGTCATTGACCCTCACACTGCTGTCGGCGTAAACACCGCCTTGCGCTTCCTTGAAAATCACCCGGCTACCTACATATCCTTGTCAACTGCTCACCCGGCAAAATTCTCAGAACCAGTAAACAAGGCTCTTGCCCTGTTTCCAGAATACTCGTTTGACAAAATCATCCCGGACGACCTCAAAAGGTTACTGTCTTTGAAAAAGAGAGTCACTTACGTAGATGCCTCCCTTGAGGCTGTAGAAAACGCAATCAAACATCTCTACTAATTACTCATTACCTTCAACCCTTCAACAATTTCCTGGTTCTTCTTATTCCCCTTTAAAAGATACTTTAAACAAAGTATCGCCCTCTCCTTGAGAAATGGATTGTTGCTATCAATAACACAACTGGAAAGTATCATCATCAACCCCCCATTCTCCCTCATCTCTTCTTGCTCTTCAAAGCTAAACTTCCGCGTGAGTACAGTGACTAAATCACTCTTGGCATGATAGAACCGCCCGGTGCCCCCTTTCATCCTAGGCTCTTCTCCAAGAACTCGAAACACTTGAACTAATTTACTAATCTCTCCTTTACTCCCACTATGCGACATCACTTGCAATGCCAAACATATTGGCCTCTCTTTTAGTGGCGCACTCGCATACTCTTCAAACACTTGCTCAACCCATAATAATGGCTCTTCCCATTCCTTCGTTTGAACAACATAACTACTCAACTCTAGCCACTCGCAAAGAACTTCCTCCTTTTGTCTCTTCACCCACTCCCCAAATCGATCATCAACAATAACCTTATATAACATCTCAACAAACTCTTCTTCAACTCCTCCTTGGCTTAGTCGGATCACCATCCCCATCATCTCATCGCTTATCTCCCCTAAATCAAGCTGCCGAATAATCAAATACACTACTGCCTCTCTATCAATCTCAATCCCTCCCCATCCCATCACCTCACTCGTCTCCTTCTTATACTCGTTCCTCTCAAAGTTGGCCAACGTTTGCCAATATACTCGATCAATCTCGGCGTGGCCCCGCGGAAATCCCTTGAAACTACTAATCACTAACGGATACACTACACTGCTCATCCTCGGCGCCAGATTCCTCACCATCAAAAGTATCCCTCTATACTTCCTCATCCCTTTCTCCTCAGGTACATACTCAAGTATGCTTTTCGCACTCTCGACATCCACCCTCTCGCCTCTATCAAGCGCCTCCCGCACACTATCAAGCCCGTAGTCGCCCCGTTTTATCTCTTCTAATATATCCATCTATTTAATCTCTCGTAACCTATTTTCAAACGCACAAATCATCATTTTCGAAACGTGTGGCGCAAAAATTCCACTCATCAGATTATACATCGCATTTCGAAATCTATACACTAACTTAAAGTCAACTCGACACTTGTCCCCAAAACTACTCCTCACCTTGCAAAACCTCCACTGCGTCTCTAAGACATGGAACAACTCCATCTCGACACTCCGCGCAACAACTTGCTCATTCTCAATACACTCTAACTCACATTCAAACTGCTCAACAATATCCCGCCACCCAACTCTTAGCCCGCCTCGTGTCGGCCGCCCGCTTTCCCGCGCACTAACAAACGAGTCCTCAACAAACGGTACAAACTTCTTGTACTTGTCCACTTCACTAACAACCAGATACACCGCCTCCGGCGTCCCGTTAAGAAGCCTCAGAATCTTATACGTCTGCGCAGCACCTGTAAAGAGCTGTCTACTAATTCTCATCATTTTGAATAAAAGTGTACATTTACTATACAAATAATTTTTTTTTTTTCTTTAAGAGCGAGTGTATATCGCCTGTTTAGAGTGCTTCAAGACGGGTGTAATAATACCATCCTCCTCTAATTGCTTCAATGCTACCCTCGCAAGAGATCCTCCAATCTTTAACCTGTCCACTAATACCGACACAGAAACATACTTGTATGTAGGAACATCCTTCAAAATCCTATCGTATTTCTCTTGGTCTAATATAACAACATGCTGTGCCTTGTCCTTAACTTTACCCTTGTTCCACTTCTTCTTTCCTTTTTTACCACCGGCTAACGCAGCTGCGGCCTTGGCGGCCTTGGTCTGTTGGATCTTTGGTGCCATCTTGGATAAAGAAGTATGGGTACAGGTTTCGTTTTATTTTTTCCTCTATTTTTTGCTCTAAATCCTCTTTACTTTAGGGCTTAGCCCTGGAGTATCCTTATACACGAGTCAGGCTACCACCCTTTTTTTTTCTTCCTTTAATAGCTTCTTCAATGAAGAGACAAGCTGAGGCACAGATCACAAAGGACGCTCTGGGGGATACACCAGGGGATCAAGAGCTTCCCATGGAGCTTAATGCGCCCCCTGAGGTCTTGTCGAAAAGGAAAATAATAAAACCAAAAAGCAAATCAACTCCCTCCAAAATCCAAGCTTTAAACGAAAACTTTGTGAAAAAGGTCAACGAGGCTGCAAACGATGAGAGTATCGTGGATTATACGGAGATTGCAGAGAGGTATATACAATACTATAAGCTGATAACTACACAGCCAGAAAAATCTGCCCCTTTTCCTGCCCCCCCTGCATCTGCCCTTTTTCCTGCCCCCCCTGCATCTTCCCCCTCATCTCCCCCCGGTTCTCCTCCCCCTGGTTCTCCTCCACCCTCCACCTCTCCCCTTTCCCTCCCCGGAGAGGAAAACGAAAAACTCATCTTCACGACAAGAGTAAAACTACTCCTCCTAGACTCCTCCTCAAAATCATACCTCAACAAGGGACTTGGTGACCTCAGAATACTCAAAAACATCAATGGCAAATCGCGCTTGCTCATCAGAGCAGACTCAAGCTTGCGCATCTTACTAAACTCAAATATCTCAAAAGAAGTCTCCTACGACATAATCGGGAATGGCACTTTATTAAGAGTCCCTGTATTTGAATCTGGATCCGTCTCCACTTACGTCCTAAAGGTAAAAACTAAAGAAATCGCAGAGGAAACTCTAAAATATATACAATAAAAAAAAAAAAAAGAAAATCACTTTCTTCTAATCCCAAAGAGCTTGGCAATCTTTTCCATCGTCGATGGATGCAAGTCCTTCTCTTCCTTCACCTTCTCCCACTCAAGTGTCCTTTTCGCATTCTCATCATTAAACGCATCCGCTAATGCCTCAAGCAATGCACTCTGTGTCGCAGTCTCTGGAACCAACGTCTTGACATTCAAAATAACTTCTAAATCGCCCCGTCTTTGTCGACTCACTGGAACTCCCTTATCGGGAATCACTAACCTCTTGCCATTCTGCACTCCTGGTCGAATCTTTAACTTGACCTTCTCTCCATCTAAGGTGGGCACTACAATCTCTCCTCCAAGACTTGCAGTAGTCATCTTGATCTCCAGCTCAACTACTAAATTGTTCTTTTCCCTCTTGAATATAGGGTCAGACTGTACATTGATCCGCACAATCAAGTCTCCATTCCTAATCGTATTATACTTGTCCTTCAAAACTTGCGGCGCATCTCCTTGCCCGGGAATCCTCAACCTCGTCCCATTGCTGACCCCGGCAGGTACATCGATAGTCGTGGACTTGGGAACCTCCTGTACCCCGTTACCGTGACACGTCGTACACCCATCTGATCGGTTTACTGCTACCCCGGATCCTTGACATGTGGCACATGTAGACGCCATATGGAACCCGCCCATCACATACGACGTCTGGCCCGTGCCGTGACACGAAGAACACGTTTGCTTCTTGGCTCCCGCTTTAAGCCCGCTTCCTTTACACGTGCCACATGTCTCAAGCACCTTATAGTTGATAGTGGTCTTGCCTCCAAATATACTCTCCTTAAACGGAATCAGCTTAAGTACCTCGACATTATCCCCAACATGCTCCGTGACAAACTGGGCTCGTCTACCACCACCACCACCACCACCACCGCCTCTAGAAAAGGCTTCCTTAAATAAATCCTCAAAATCAAACCCATATGGATTACCAAATGGACTACCGCCAAATGGATTACCAGATGTGTTTTCAAAGGGATTCTGCCCTCCTCCAGTGGGCTGTCCATTCTCATCAAACGCATCCTTACCAAACTGGTCATACTGCGCCTTCTTCTCTTTATCCCTTAATATCTCATAACTCTGTTGGATCTTGTGGAACCTCTTCTCCGCATCCTTCTCTTTGTTCACATCGGGGTGAAACTTCTTCACTAAATCATAGTACGCTCTTTTGATCTGCTTGCCGTCCGCTGACCTATCCACTCCAAGTGTCAGGTACGGATCATAATTAAGAAACAACCGTCTGGACGTTTGCAATTGCCGCCTCCATATACTACTGACTAACTGTGGTCTCAACCTCATTGAAGAAAAAAGAATGCAAAAGAAAGCAAAAGAAAAAAGAGAGAAAAAAAATAGAAAAAGAAAAAGAAAAGATAATAAAGCTAAATTGATTTGAGATACTATCGAGCAGAGCGAGATAGTATTGTTACTCCACTATCGAGCGGAGTGTCAACAGTGACACTATCTCGCTCTGCTCGATAGTGTCAATAGTGTCCATAATGTCAATTGTGACGTTGCTCCACTATCTCGCTCTGCTCGATAGTGTCGATAGTGTTGATAGTGTCGCGTCTCGATAGTGTCGCGTCTGCAAGCGAGTCAAACAAGACCGAAATTGACTCTCCAAAGTGGTCTCTTCTTATACACTCAGCAAATATCGGACTAACATCAATCACCACCAACTTATTCCGGTGCGCCTCAATACGACCTTGTAATATAGGATAAGTGTTGGTAACAACTATCTTGTCAATACACCTCGACTCCGTTAATGCATCCAAACAGGAATCGTTAAACACTCCGTGCGTGCCAACTACATACACAGCTTTTGCACCACAGTTCAACCTCAAGTGCTCGGCAGCAGCAATAAACGAGTTGGGCTTGTCTATCATATCATCGAGTATGATCGCTACTTTATCCTTGACATCCCCTACAAGGGTAATCAACTTCTCCTCCACCAACGGCTCGTCCTCGTCGTCGGAGTTGGTCACATCGTACGACCCGCCAAGAACATCACTGTCTAAGGAAGCAGGGGCAGAGGCACAGGCAGAGGCAGAGGTTGCGGTTGCTGCTGCGGTTGCTGCTGCCCCTGCCTTCTCTTTTTCCCCCTCCCACTCGTCATCAACAACATGGCCCTGCACAATGCGCGCCGTTTGTAATTCATTTACTATATTATCTTCTTCCTCATCTGTAATCTTTGTTGTCTTTAACGCCTTCTTCCTCGCATACTCATCCTGCGTGCGTCTCCTATCGGTATGAATCATAGCAAAATTGATCTTAAGCGAGTCGGCCAACGCAGTTACTCTCTTTGTGCCTCCAGGGTTTTTCGAAACAACAACTGACCTCTCCCAGTCTTCAATGTTGTGTCTAATCCATCGCGCCAAGGTAGGTGCCCCAAATAGATTATCCACAGGCTTGGTGAAGAATCCTTGCATCTGACTGGCATGAAGGTCCATGCTCACAATATGGTCCGCTCCCGCCATTACCAACAAGTTCGCCAACATCCTCGCAGTAATGGCTCCCCGGTGCTTCTTCATCTTGCTCTGCTTGCTGTACGGAAACTGCGGAATCACTGCAGTGATCTTATTGGCACTGCCACCTCGACACGCACTGATCAATATCAAGAGCTCCATGATATGGTCGTTGATGTGCGGTGACCCACTCTGTATAATATACACATCCTCATCTCGCACACTAACCCCAATTTGCACTGACGTCTCGCCATTGCTAAACTTCTTCAACGTGCATGGTGCTGGTAATACCCCTAGCCTTTCGCAAACAAGTTGGCCCAACTCAGGGTGTGACGACCCTACGAAGATCTTGCACTTGCGCATATCCTTGAATAAGATGCTTCCCATTGGTAAGAACTACAGGAAAAAAAAAATTTCTCACCCTCACTTCTCACCCTCATTCCTTTTACTTGTTCCCTTTTCTTTTTTTTTCTTTCTATGTTAAAACTAAAGCAAAGCTTGGACCACTACAGGCTGGTTATAAAAAGGTCCAGCTTCTTTAAGGAAATACAAGCTTGTCTTGGTTGTGCTGGATTTACTAAAATTAGATGTGTAGCTTTGGGCTCACCTAGTGGAAGCTCAAATGCTAGGTACCAATACGCATTGCTTTTGGAGATGGCAGAGGTGCTAAATATCGAAAAGGTATCATTGTACGATCCAGTGTTTACAAAATTGGACTTGGAGCTATTCTCAAGTTTCACTGTTGAACAACACTTTACTGGCGATCACCAGGTCCTATATTATATCCCCCACGCGCCGCTTGAGGTGATGGAGCAACTACTAATAGACAATAAACCACGCTACTTCATAGGCAACCATATCATCGCCCACACTGATAGATTGACAAAGAGAATGTTGGCAGATCTGTACCCTACAATGGCTGCCCTAGTACATTGCTGTAATGACCATTCTTGTAATGATGACTTCACAAAAGTGTCAAGGAAAAGGTATAAAGAGCCTGAAATCAACTACAACTTCAACTCTGTCTACTTCCACACCGTTGAGATTGTCCCCTTTAAACACAACTTCTCCAAAGGCGACCCCTGGGGGAACTCCTTCTCAGACTTGGCGTTTCATACTATTGGCTCCACCATCGAGCAAAGCGAGATGGTGTACTAAGTGCTCTATGGCTATATCATAGTCTCTAAAACCTATCCCATGCTTTACAAGGGGCCCTGTGTTGCACCACCATCTCGCTTTGCTCGATGGTGTACTTGCTCTATGGCTATATCATAGTCTCTGCTTCTTACTCGCCGGCTCCTCTTCTCCCTCTTTTAATAAATGTTTCGATAGTATCGAGTACAAATCGTCCTTGGTAAACGGCTTTGCTAGTATATCGCTCATCCCGTTCTGTAAATACGTGACTAAATCGTTGTCGCCAATATTCCCCGTCATGGCAATGATCGGGGTCTTGGTGTCAAACGATCGAATCACACTGGTGGCAGTGGCGCCGTCCAAGTTGGGCATCACAATATCCATCAACACTAGGTCATACTTGGTGTGTTCCACCGTGGAAATGGCGTTGAGTCCATCGGTGACTACTGTCACCTGACACCCGTACTTGACAAGAAACTTGCGACACAACTGAATGCAAACATTGTCATCCTCGACAAGTAACACATGGAACGTGGGTGCAAGGGGCGTCCCTATATACTCACTAGTCCCAGTAGATGCTGCTGCTACAGTGGATGCTGCTGCTACAGTGGATGCTGCTGCTGCAGTGGATGGTGCTGCTACAGTTGCATCCCCACCACATTCTTTCCCTTCAAGAATGTACCCCTGGGCAAGATCAATAGAACCATGTGGCGATATTGCCAGACTGGTAAAGTTGTTTGGTGGCGGAAAGTCCAACGGAGGAAGCTTGATCCCCGATTGTACCAACACATTGATGAGCGCACCCATCGACCGGTAGTACCGCTCATTGAACGAGTTGATTGAAACAATATGGTCAACTAATGTCTTGTACTTTTTCTGCAACATCGCATTCTCTTGAACAAGATGCTGATTACTCTCTTTTACCTGGTTGAGCTGCTCCTTCAAGTAGGCGCAGTTGCGATTGCATTGCGTTAGACTGTGCTCTGCTACAACCTTGCCGTTGATTACACTAGAGTGTTGTTGATGTAGCTGTTGATGATAGTTTTGCTGTTTTTGCAGTTGCTGCTGCTGCTGTAGCTGTTTCTTAATCCCTGGCCCTTTCCTCTTGATATTATCTAACGAGTTTCGATCATTAATCTTGAAATCTGGGTGCTTAAACTCCCACGCATCCTCGCCATATGGGTACGTCAGCCTGGCATCATTGGCCACTTTCACTTTGTGAAAATCGTACTTGTTTAGCTGCCTTACGAAACTGGCAAAGTTAGAATGCTTAAAATGACGGGGTAGTATCTCTTTGGTGAAAGCATTGGTATTGAGCACAACAAAACTGTCTCCGTTCTCGGTCCACTTGACAATATCTTTATAGCTATCCTCCTGCAACATGAGGAATAGCTTCTTGACAAAATCATTGGACCCGCTCTGGTTCGAGCTGAACGTGGTCGCTAGTGTAGAGTCTAGACCAATACTGGACATAGTTGTGGAGGAGGAGGAAGATGGAAATCAAGAGAGGTTTCAAAGTAAAAAGCTGTGCTTTTTTTTTTATTTTAATGTTTAATATCTTTTATTTTATTTTATTTTTTTATTTATTTTTACACGACAAAATATATTGGGAGCGTGGCATTGGTGATAACTGCTCTTCCACCTTCTTGCTTGAGATTTCCTGAACTTACCCCATTAATGGTGCTACCTCCTACAATTATCACCTTTTCAACGTTAATCGCAGACGACAGTCTTAACCCGCTTGCATCTGCCTCTATCGTGATATATGTGTACTCTCCGTTTATGGTCTCGCCATCATCCACGTATAACGTGCCTTTGGCTCTGTTTTCTTTATCGAGCGCCACTACCAAGGTGTACGGATCATACCGCATCAACTTTGTAGACCTCCTGTACCGCATCTTCATGGGCACAATCGAGCCGCCCTTGAGTAGCATAGGAATATCCCCAAGAGTAACAGCAGCAGCAGCACTACCACCACCACCAGCCAAACTCTCTACTTTTTCCCCAATGACGCCATTGGTAAAACTGTAAAACGTATCACCCCACTCAACACTACTGAAAGTCACGGTTGTAGCACCTTCATCAGTCACCGGCTTCACCAATACCCCTGAGTCCCCAAGGAAAAACTCATCCTCAATGTCCAACGCCTTTTTGTGGTGGTGGTACTCATAAAACACAGGCTTTATAACAGGTGTGCCGTTCACAGAGGCTTCGTAGAAACTGGTGTAGAAAACAGGCATCATCGCATATCTCAATCGTATTGCATCTCTGATATGGCCAATATAAGGGTCTCCTGCCAACCACGGCTCTCTCCTTCTAGAGTCTATATGTGCATGACCTCTAAAGAACGGGTACCAGACCCCGGCTTGGTACCACCTGGTCAACAACTCGGCCGATGGATCACCAAAAAAGCCTCCAACGTCTGCTCCTGCAAACGGCATGCCGGCAATATTCATCGTGAGAATCATGGGAATCGATACTTTCAAGTACTCCCACCGCGACATGTTGTCTCCAGTCCACATTGCCGCTGTGCGCTGGCTTCCTGCAAAAAAGGACCGTGTTAATATAAACGGCCTTTGCTGCTTATTGAGGAGCAGCTTGTAAGTTGCTTCGTGCATTGTTAGTCCGTAGAGATTGTGGACACTGCGGTGTTCCCATTGTCCGTAGTGGATGTTGTCCTTTGGCATAGTTGTTTCTGGCCCATCAAACACAGACGGCTCATTCATGTCGTTCCAAAATAGTATGTTTTGGTATTTGTCAGGAATAAACCGTTGGTGAAGTTTGTTCCAAAACGGTTGACTTGCAGGGTGAAGTGTGTCGACCCAAATAGACTCACCGGGCCAGCAGTGGCCATGGTAAACCTCGTTTTTTGAGTTTTTTATTGCAATATCGTTGTCAATGAGGCCTTGACTAACCTCGTATCCTGTTTTGATGTGAGGATCAATGATAACCACCAAGTTTCTTCCTGTTCTGTTCAACACTTGCAACATCCTCCCGGGATCATTGAAATTCTCAGGATGCCATGTAAAATATTTCTTGTTATCGGTGTACTCGATATCGAGCCATATATTATCATAGGGTATTTGATACTCGTCGAATTTGGAGTGCACATCAAGCACATCCTCGATGTCATTGTAGTTCCACCGGCATTGATGGTAGCCTAAACTGGCCAAGAGTGGCAACATGACATTGCCTGTGATTCTCCCATAAACTCGGTTGACATCGCGAGGTTTGTCCTCAATGATGACTATAAAGTCCATCACTCCATTCTCGGACATCCAGTGTACGCTCGAGTTATTAGACTCTTTATGAATATCAACAAAAGTGTCGGCGCTGTTGATCCAGAATATTGCAATTGACACGTCTCGCTTAACTGCCATTAGTAATGGTATAGACCCGTACATGGGCAATCTCGAATCTACTTCGTACTCAAAGATATCCACGTTGTACAACCTGTAGGGCTCTGATCCCAGTGTGTCCTTCAACAGCATCGTGTCTGCATGCTCTGGGATTCCGTAGAGATGACTAAACCCTTTTAGTGTAAAGTCAAGCCCAATCGCTTCTTGGCCCATTGGCTCTTTGCCCATTGGCTCTAGGCCCATCGGCTCTAGGCCCATGTGCAACAATTGTTTCTCGTTCACCACCAACTGCACTTGGTCTCTATAGTAAAAAGTGAACAACACCGGGTTCATCTGTATAACTACCTTCTTATGATGACCATAACTTACATCAACTGAAGTCTTCCGCCTTGTATAATTGAGATGGCCCATCTGCGCATTCTCGCTGAATGCCCACTTTGCCGCCTCGTTATACCTCTTATGGCCTACCACTCTCTGCTCATCCATTCGAAACCTGAAACTGTTTTCAACAATGCTAATCTCAAATGGAAGCTGTACCTGGTGTGGCTGTACCTTAGAAACCACTCCATGTAGCACTCCATTGGTTAATTCAAGCGACTCCTCTTGGACATAATAACCTCCACCCCCATCATTGTCCACATGCTGACGACAAAATCCAGAGTCGGCACATGCCTTGAAGAGGTAGTCCTTAACTGCAGAACAACCACCTACAATAGCAAAAAGACTGAACACTCTCATAAGACCTTTACTTGTTCAGTCGTGCGTACAAAAATATAAATTTTTGCGCAAAAAAAGAACAAAAAAAGAACAAAAAAAAAAAAAAAAAAAAAAAAAAAAAAAAAAAAAAAAAAAAAAAAAAAAAAGCCTTCCAACTCATCCAGACTCATCTCCAAAGCTTCATAATGAATAAAAGACCGAGTGATTCAGTGGGTACTACAAGTGCCAAAAAATCCAAGGTGGCTTTGGATGAGCTAAGTACAGAGGGACCCTTAAGTCAGGCAGATGTGGTGTACTTCAAAAAGGAAGCGATCTGGAGACAGATGATTTTGTATAAACAGCAGGTGTTGAAACTAAAAGGAGAGGTAAAACGGCTAACACGGGACGTTGACCAGCTGAAACATATAAGTAGTGTGTTGATTGCATGGTATGAGCAGCTTGTAGCATTGTTTGATGTAGAAGAAGGGAAAGACGATAACATATTGGTAGCATTCAACGACAAGGTGGATGCCAAACTCCAAACCATCAGTAAACAGCTATCCAAGGCAATCTCTTCCAAAGTGGCTCCGAGCGATATACAAAGCGTTCAACAGCTCGGCACACTCAAAAGTGAAAACCAAATACTTGTCAAGGAAAATCAAACACTAACAGAGAACATAGCAGCTCTAGAGTCGGAGATTCTAGCCTTGATAAACACGTACGAACGTAATGAGTCAAAGACTTTGAAGCGGGTGGACGACGCAAGGAAAGAAATAATGGAACAAAAAGAAGAAGAAGGAAAAGAAGGGGAGTCAACAACAACACCAGCACTACCAGCAGCAGCACCAGCAGCAGCACCACAACAACAAACCAATGGTTCCTCCTTGGATACTCTCACCACGGAGGTGGAGCAGTTGCGCACCTCCAACGCCATCCTCAACGAACAAACACAAGCACTCTCAACAAGCAACCAAGAGCTACTCAAGAAAACAACTGCACTAGAAAGCAAACTTCACAATCTAAGTGAAAGCGACTTGCAGGATAACCCTATATACAAAAGGCTCATCAAGAACAACCAATCGCTCCAAGAACAGATCAGCAAGGTGAACAAACTAAACTCAGTTAACGTGACCAAGTTGAGTGAATTGGAGGAGAAGCAAAACGAGATAAAAAAGATTGTTGAGATGGAATTGGTGAAAGAGAATGAGAGTTTGAAACAGCAGCTCGAGAAAGCAGAACAGGACCTTGTGCGAGTGAGAACAACAAGGGACGAGTTGTTGGCAAAAAATAGTCTTTTGACCAGTGAAAAAGAAGACCAAAAGAGTACCGAGTCGTTACTAGAGTTGAACGAAATCTTCTCCAAGCGGATCGAAGAGCTCACTAAGGAAAAGTTTAGCCCAATGGAGACAGAACATGCAGACCTGTTGTTGTTGTTGAATGAGATTAGGGAAATCGAAAGTGCATTTAAGCAAACACGAGATCTAACAATAAAGAAACTACACACCACCATAGACCACGAGAACCAAGTGAAAAAACTCACTATTGAAAAAAACAAAGCTGACCAAAAGTACTTTGCCACAATGAGACTAAAGGATTCGCTCACAAACGAGAACAAGGTGCTCAAACAACAAGTGGCAAAGTCGCAGGATCTCATCAAAAACCTTAACGAGTTGGAGGTGACCTACTTGAACAAGATCGATATACTATCCAAATCGCTTCTCGACTACAAAATCATCAAGGAGAACTCGTTGCAAGAAAACTTTGCCCTACAAGACAAAGTAAAGAGCCTCCAGGTAACCAAGGAGGCCTTGGAGAAGGATGTCGAGCGCAAGGATGCAAAAGTCAATACACTCACCAGTGAGTTACTGCAATCAAAGGACCTTGCAAACAAACAATTGCTCGAGTTGACCAAACTCAACAAGAGCCTTGCTTCGACAGAGTCGCTACTACTCAAATACAAAGCAAACAATACCAGCTCTATTCTTGAAGAGGACGAGCAGCAAATTCAAGCTTTGCGGTCGATTGCCAAGTGTTCAGTGTGCACAAAGAACTGGAAGGACACGGCCATCACAGTGTGTGGCCATGTATTCTGCTCAGGGTGCACCCACGAGAGACTTGCTGCTAGACTAAGAAGATGTCCCACTTGCAATAAGGGATTCTCAAGTAACGACTTGTTAACTGTACACTTGTAAATAAAAGAAAGTAAAGGAAGTCGTGTGCATTTGGGGGGTAGAGTACTGCACACAAGCACCACTGCGAGTATAAATAAGATGAAGATTTCCTCATCTTCTTTTGGTTTTTTTTTTTTTTTTTTGCTAAAAGAGACCTCGTTTTCTGTTTTTTTTTTTTCTTCTTTTTACTAAAAGAGTCCTCATTAAAAGAGTCCTCATTTTCTTCTTTTTTTCTTCTTTTTTTTTTTCTTTTTTTTTTTTTGTAAATTCGTAAATTCATTTTTGTGTACGGAGTGAAGGGAGAGATAGATAGATACATTTTAGTTGTGTTAGGGTCCCACACAAATGTCACAAGTTGATACAAATACTCCTGTACAGACGCCTTCTGGAGACTCGTTTCATGCGGAGACTAAGCAAGAGGTAATGGGTGAATTGGCGCAGGAACCATTGTCACCACCAGATCCCTCTCCAGTACCGGAAAAGAGAAAGTTGGAAGAGGACGCAAGTGAAGAGCCGGAAGAAAAGAAGCAAAGAATGGGGGAAATGGGGGAACAAGGGGAACAAGGGGAAAAAGAGGAGGAGGTAAGGGAAGTGGAGGTAAGGGAAGTGGAGCTTAAGGAAGATGAGCCTAAGGAGGAGCCTAAGGAGGAGCCTAATGAGGAGCCTAAAGATGAGCCCAAGGAGGAGCCCAAGGAGGAGCCCAAGGATGAGCCTAAAGATGAGCCCAAGGAGGAGCCTAAAGATGAACCTAAAGATGAGCCCAAGGAGGAGCCCAAGGATGAGCCTATAAAGTCCACCCCTGGATCCCCTCTGGACTCCTCCCCGCAAGTCGAGATTACTCCCGCACCCAAGCCGCCACCTGAACCAGATATGGACAACTTACCGCTCCATCCCATGCCCGCACATCAAGTCAAGTTTGCTCTCAACACAATCAAAGCAATCAAACGACTTAAGGATGCTTCACCGTTTCTTGCACCTGTGGACACGGTGAAACTCAATATCCCACTATACTACAACTATATACCACGGCCTATGGACTTGTCAACAATTGAAAAAAAGCTCACAGTTGATGCGTATGAGGATATCTCCCAGTTTGTCGACGATTTCAACTTGTTAGTGGCAAACTGTAAAAAGTTCAACGGCGAGACTGCAGGTATTTCCAGAATGGCAACTAATATACAAGCACATTTCGAAAAACACATGTTGAACGCACCGCCAAAAGAATTGCCATCAGGAGGAGGAGGAGGAGCAGCAGCGGCATCTTCAGTGGTAGCAGCACCGTCAGTGGTAGCAGCACCGTCAGTAGCTGCTGGGTCCTCTCCCACACCACCGCCTCCTCCCAAAAAAAGAGTAACCACGGAGTCTCAACGAGACTCAGTAGCAGCCACACGGCCAAAAAGAACCATCCACCCACCAAAGCCAAAGGAATTGCCATACGATGTAAGACCCAGGAAAAAGAAGTTTGCTGCAGAGTTGAGGTTCTGCACGCAAACAATCAAGGAATTGATGTCCAAGAAACATTACAACTACAACTTCCCCTTTTTGGCGCCCGTGGATGCGGTTAGTTTGAATATACCAAACTACTTTCAAATTGTCAAGCAGCCAATGGATCTCGGCACGGTGCAATCCAAACTTGCCAACAATCAATATGAAAACGCCGACGAGTTTGAAAAAGACGTGAGGTTGATATTTCAAAACTGTTATGCTTTCAATCCAGAGGGCACAGAGGTGAATATGATGGGACACAGGTTGGAGGCTGTTTTTGATAAGAAATGGGCTAATAAGCCTGTGCCCGAGCCTACACCGCCCGCGTCTGAGGTAAGTGGAGGGGATGAGTCTAATAGTAGCGAGGAGGAAGAGGACGAGGAAGACATGGAGGATATGGAAATAACCGAAGCACTGCTCTCTGAAATCCCCGCTATCCAGCTTCTCGAAAACCAATTGGCAAGAATGAAAAAGGAGTTGGATGAGCTAAAGAAGGAGCACTTGAAGAAATTAAAAGAACAACAGGCTGCAAGAAGGAAAAAGAAAAAGAAACGTGGCACCACTAAACGCGGCAACAGTCATGGCCATGGCCATCACAACCGCAGCCACAGCCATGGTAGCCACACCCACCACTCCCACACCAAGTCAAAAAAGTCCAAGGAACCTTTACACCCTGCACAAAACCACCAAATCAAACTTACTCCACCACAACCTGTTGTCACCTACGAAATGAAGAAACAGGTCTCCGAAGCGGTCCCCACCTTATCGGACAAAAAGCTAAATGCTCTAATCAAGATGATTCAAGATGATGTGCAGATCACCAATGATGATGAGGTCGAGTTGGATATGGACCAGTTGGGCGACTCAACTGTGTTGAAATTGTATGACTTTTTATTTGGTGAAAAAGCTTCTCAAAAGTCACAAAGTAAGAGAAAAAAGAAGTCAGGTACAAGTCTAGACGAGTTGGCGCATTTGAGGTCGCAGCTTGCGCTATTTGACGAAGGCAATGGGCAATCTCAACTGCAGCAAACTAACAATAATGGGTTTATGGAGATTGCCCATGAGGAGAGCTCAGATGATGCAATGTCATCAGAGAGCTCAGAAGAGGAGTAAGAAAAGAAGGAAAAAAAAAAAAATTTGTATTATTATGTATAAACACAGAACACATAGCTTTTCTCTTTGATGACCTCACCGTTGACAATTATACGGCAATGTCGTGAGCAGGGTCGGCCCGTGTATGTATCAGGACCCATGGTTCGATACTCCAAGCTCCCGTTTCGTGAACTATGTCGGTTTTACAATGTGGACATTGTATACACACCCATGATCCTTGCGCGCGAGTTTGTACGTAATGAGATGGCAAGGTATGCAGACTTTACTACCAACGATAAGGACCACTGCGTCATTGTGCAAGTCGGTGTGAATAATGTTGCGGACTTTGTCAAGTTTGTTGGCATGGTGCATCCGTATGTTGATGGAATAGGCATCAACTGTGGGTGTCCCATTAGAGACCAGGTGAGGGAAGGTGTGGGAGCCGCGTTGATGAGCAAGCCACATCTAGTGGCAGAGATGATCGCCGCGGCAAAGGCTAAATACCCGTTCATATGCATAGACACAAAGATACGTATACATAATGATCTCAACGAGACTATTGCCTTTGCAAGAATAGTCGAGGCAGCAGGCACAGATATGCTCACAATACATGGCCGCACAAAGACTACAAGATCGTCCACGCCAGTAAACCTTGAGGCTATAAAGGTGGTGCGGCTGCATGTGTCGGTACCGGTGATTGCAAACGGAGACTGCTTTACATTGGACGATTGTAAGAGGATAGTTGAGTTCACCAAGGTTGATGGTGTGATGTCTGCGCGTGGGGTTCTAGCCAACCCTGCTTTATTTACAGGAATGGACACTACACCATGGGGCGCAATAGAAATGTTTATGCATCTCGCCACTAGCTACGGTCTTCCGTTCAAACTCTCGCAACACCACGTTGCGCAGATGATGGATAACATGCCGCTGATTCCAAGAAAAGTAGTGAAAGAGGTGAATACATGCAAGTCAATGATCGATATGATCGATGTGTTGGACAAATACTTTATTCTTAAAAGAAAACACGAAAAGGAGTTTGCCAAACTCACCACCGCGCCCACGCTTACTGCATTTCACCATTGAGGAGAGCAACACTTGTTGTTTTGTCCTTGACCTTATAGATTCCAATCAACTTCTGTGCCAACTCAAACATGTTGTTCCTCAATGATATCACCACAAACTGGGCGTTCTTTGTTCTCTCCTTGATATAGTTGGCCACAATGGACACATTGCGAAAGTCTAGAGCCGCGTCGATCTCGTCCATCACATACAACGGCGTGGGCTTGTACTTGTGCAAGGCAAATACCAAGGCCAACGAGCTCAATGTTTTTTCTCCTCCACTTAGGTTTGAGATGTTTTTCCACGACTTCTTGGGCGGCATCACGCTGAAGAGAATGCCTTCGGAGAACGGGTCCAAACTGTCAACCAACTCCAACTCGGCATTGCCGCCCATGGTGATCATCCTGTACATATCCTTTAGTGTCATTGAGATATCCATGAACCCTTGCATAAACTCGTCGAGCCTCTTCTTTTTGAGATCTTCGCAGTAATCACGCTTTGTGTCGCGTTGTTGCACGGCTTTGTTCAAGTCGTCTTTCCGCTGCTGGTACTCAACAATCTTGGCTCCGTACTCCTTTAGAATCTCAATATCCACACGTACATTGGCCATGTATTTTTCCAACTCATCAACCTCTGAATTGACTGCTTCTATGTCTACGTCGTCTAGCTCGGTAGGGGAAAGCTTGTGCGTAGGCGATGGCATAAGAAACTTGGCCCGATCATCATCATCATTATTGTCCATCCAATAAATGTATGGCTCAACATCTCTCACAGCTGTGTTTTCAAGAGCACGCTCATTTTCGTCAACTAGATGGTTCAACTTTCTCAACACTGAGGTTATCTTCTCTACTTGGTTGAGGGTGTCGACCTCAAACTGTTTGAATCCGGATAGTTCTTCTTGCATGCCTTCGATATCCACGCGTATAATCTCTAGCTCCTCATCTTTATCGCGTTTGTGCTGGTCCAAAGCTTGGATTTTTTCATCGAGTAATACCATTTGTGACAAAAGAGACTTATGGGACTGCTGGATCGCTAATAAGTCTTTTTCCAAAATGTCCTTTTCCAAAGTGGCCTCCTCAATCAACCGTTTGTACCGCTGCACATCACTTTCCAACTTCTTAATAGCAATTCTGTCGCCACTTGTTTTATCATTGATGATGGATATCTGCTGTTTGATACTGTCGACACGTGAGTTTTGTACCTTCAACTCTACACCTCCTGCTTCCATTATTTTCTGCTCCAACAAAAGTATCCGGTTCTCTGAATCGGCCATTTCCGACTTTATTCGATTCCTCTCCTCATTCAACAGAGCAAGTGCCCCTTTTTTCTCTGAAATCTGTTTTTCAAACGGGTTATCCGTCTCCATCTGTTCCTGCTCAAGAGCTAAACTTTTGCGAAACTGTGCAATCTCTTTCATCTCTGATGCAAGTCCTGCAATATCCAACTGGAGTTTATCAAGAGCAAGTTTTGTTTCTGGCTCCAATGCTTTTACTTGTTGCAAAGCAGCCATGTTCTCATCATACTCTTTTTTTACCTCTTGGTGTTTTTGCTCCAACTCGCGTAGTCGAACACGAATATCCTCAATCTCAATCTCCTTCTCATGCTCCAAGACCTCCCCCACCACCTTGTTCCCCCCTCCCAACTTCATTGCGCCTCGCTGTACATAACCTCCACCTGACATTGTTCCAAAAGTATCTATCACCTTCCCATCCAATGTCACCACCTTCCATCGTTTTGCACCATACGCAACAGCCTTTGCTTCACTCAAGGTGGGCGCCACTAGTGTATTAAACATCTTGCTGAAAAACGCAGGTGCAAATTTGTCACTGACTGGTGTGATCAAGTCAAATAACCTCTTGATCCGCGATGGGTCTCCTGGAGTACTAATCTTGGATAGATCAAATTTGCTCAACTTGTTAAGACATATGAAATTGGCGTACCCAAGCTTATTTTTCCGCAAGTACTCGATGCATGTTTGAGCTGTTTCGACGGTTTCCACAACCATCGAGTCTAGCCCTGGCGCAGCAGCAGTGGATATCGCAACATCGTACTGCTCGTCAATCGTGCCTAGATCTCCTAACCGGCCATAGAAATCATCGATTCGGCCAGACTTGGCCAACTTTGTTAATGCTGCTAGCACGCTGTTTTTGTTTTCTTTTGTTTGCATTACAGCAAGAGAGTCCAGGAGTTTATTTTTTTGCTTGGTGATTTGCGCTTTCAACTTGTCCAAAACCACTTTTAGTGAGTTTGTTTGCTCTTCTCCAAGTGCGGTTTGTTCAATGATTCGCTCTAGATCCAACTCCTTCTCTTGTAACTGGGTTTCTTTGTTCTTGCCCTCTTGTTTAATCTCTCTCAACCTGTTTTTGCTTTCTTCCAACTGCATTTTCGTGCGATTCATCTGTGTTTCAAGCATATCTATATTCGATTGGGTGAGCTGTATTTGGTTCTCGTTGTTTTTCAATTTGGATGTCCATGGATCCAACTTTTTCTGCAAGTCCTCAATCTCATTGGTGAATGTGGAGGTACGTTGTGTCAACTTCTCCCTCATACTCGTTAGCTTCTCTTCTTCCCTTTGGAGATTATTGGTCAAGGCATCGATCTCACACTTGTACTGGGAGGAGGAGTTGGAGTAGGTGGAAAGTTTTTGGTTTGCGTTGGCCAAAGATTGGGTCAGTGACGTTACTGATTTGTTTGCCTTTTTCAACTTTGTCTCCAAACTCTTTTGTTTTTCTTCAAAAGAAACACTCTTTTGGTTAAGGGTTTTTTTTTCCTTTTGGAATGTGCCGAGCTCGGAAACAAGCGTTTTCACCTGCTTGTTTATTGCCGCTTGGGAGGCAACCTTGTTGTCGATCAGTTTCAACAAGTTTGCATTTTCAAGCCTCTTTTTCTCCAAAGTATCGCTCAACTCTTGTACCTCGCCCTCCTTCTGGTCCACCTCCCTTTTGTACCTCCTCAAATCATACTGCTTTTGCATACTCTTGAACTTTTCCAACTTTTTCTCCAACTCCAAAAATCTCAACGCTTCAACTTTCCTCTCATCAAGCAAAAGCTTATCCTTTTCAACAAATGCAAACCTATCCGACTTTTCCTGGCACATTGTGTTTAATTCTTCAATCTGCACCATGCTGTCCTCGATCAACTTTTTGTACTTTGTGGTGCCAATGATATCTTCTAGGTACTCCAACAACCCATCGTCGTCGCCTTCCTTCTCCCCCTTTGGTTTCATTTGTGCTATCGACTCCACCTCTCCTTGAAGAATGAGAAACCGTTTGTGGTCCAAGTCAACGCCCTTTTGCTTCAATAAAGTGGTCACCTCTGTGTAGGTGCTTTTCTTACCATCTAGATAGTACTGTGACTGGTTGTTTTGGAACGCTTTACGCGAAATCACCAATTGCGAGTTGTGCACAACTTCCAATGGCGGACCATCAAGAACCATTTCAAAATGGATATCCACCTGGCAGAACTCAGGTCTTGTTTCGTCTCCAGAATTGTGGATCAACTCAGAGATCTTGCCTTGTCTCATCTTATTGGCCTTGAATCCAAACACAAAAAGCATAGAGTCAATAACGTTGGATTTGCCACTTCCATTAGGACCAACCACGGACGAAAACGATGTGTGGAACGGTCCAATCACTTGTCTCCCTGCATACGATTTGAAGTTGGTCAACACCAATTGTTTGATCGCTAGTCGTGGTTTGCTTTGGGTATCATTTTTGGAATTCTCTTTTGCTATGGTCTTCTCCCCCTTACTCTCCTCCCCCTTACTCTCCTCCCCCATGGTCTCCTCTCCCTTACTCTCCTCCCCCATGGTCTCCTCTCCCTTACTCTCCTCCCCCATGGTCTCCTCCCCCATGGTCTCCTCCCCCTTGCTCCTTTCCACCCCCTCCTTCACATCATAATCGCTATTATTAACAAACGTGTCTTCCCCCTCGATCTGCCTCTTCCGCTTCATAACAATTCAATCGATATCAAAGGTAGTTCTTTTATTTATTTATTTATTTTTTTTCTACAACTAAGTACTACACCACTATCTCGCTCTGCTCGATAGGGTCGCGCTATATATCAAAAACAATCTTCTTGGGCACCTCTTCGTCCTGCTTCTTCTCAAGAGGAGGTAACCCTCGCAAACTTCTCTGGATCCTTTTCAACTGCGATATAAGCGGCACTGACCCACCATTATTACTAGCAAGACCGGTCTCCTGGTTCTGTTTCTTCACATTGAATGGGTTGTTGTTGTACTCGCTAGCATCGATAAACTCCGTTAATAATGTCTCAGCTTGACTTTGCGGGATAGACAGTTCTGTTCCTACTCGTACAGCAGTGGGCGTATTCAAAGTAGAAGGTAGTGCTCTTCTCCCAGACATCATGACAACAAACTATAATGATGAGATGGGCTAAATAGTTTTTGTCAATTTTTGTGCGAAAAAAAAATCAAAAAAAAAAAAAGAAAGAATGAGAAAAAGAGAAAAAAAAAAAAATCAAATGAGAGATGTTAACTGAGATATTGTTCAACAACATGTTCCTGGTGATCAAATCCTATGTGAGGCCACTGGCCGCGGCACACTTTCCTATTGGACATTCCACTATTGGACAGCCCCCTATTGGACACTCCCCTATAGCCCTTTTGCTTTTACAGCTCCGCTTCAAATCCAGGGGTAACACGTACCAGCCATCAACATTGAAAAGAAAGAGACAGTTTGGGTTTCTAGCTAGGCTCAGAACAAAAGGAGGACAAAAGGTGCTTGCACGAAGAAAAGCTAAAGGCAGATGGTACTTGAGTCATTGAATATATATATATCTATACATTAAGCTTTACCTAGCATCTTGGAGTACTGGACCTCGATTTCATGTACGAGTTTCTGTAAGTTGACTATGACCAATGTATGAGTGATGTTGGGCAACTTGTCCCTGTGTAAGCCAAACCATTCCAATGGTGGCGTGGCGTTTCCCAACTCTTTTAATTGCGGGGCCTCAATTATTGGTGGCGCTAAAGGTGTGTACTGGAAGGTAGAGCCTGTTTCCACTTTCTCCATAGTCTCTTTGATTGCATCGTCAATCTCCTGTGTGGAGTTCTCTTGCAAGCTGTAACTGCGTTGCAGTTGCAGGTGCAGTTGCGAGTCGCCACGGTTATGCATATACTCCCTCCTCGACGCTAGTGCCCTTGTATGGATGTGGTACATTTCTCTAATAAAGTTGACGGACCCTAAATTCCACCTCACGTCTACAGTGCCATTGAACGATGACTGGAACAAATACTCAATCACGGTACTTTTTTCTTTTTGGAATGTCCTCATGGAGACACGGAAGGAGGGAAACACAAAGATGTTGCCGCCCTTGGCCTGGTGAGCCGAGTTCAAAAACTCATCAACTGTGCATGTTTGCACAAATGATTCCAGTAGAGGTGGCACTGAGGATAGCGAGACGTTTAGATCGTTGAATCTCAAATCTAGCTCGTTGGATACGCCATGGGTATACTCGTTCTGCTGAAACTTTGCTCTAGACTCGTCAAGCTTCACAACGAGGACCTTGGAGTTGTCTATGGAGGATGGGTAGACGTGAATCAAGATTTTGCCGGCAGATACATGAATTGTTGTATCCAATCGTTTTATTGTCTGTAGAATGTTGGAGTAGGAGCTGTGCAAAGGTTGTTGTTGCTGCTGCTGCTGCTGTTGTTTGTGGTGACTAATGGATTTGCCCCTCGAGGAGTCCCTAAGTATCTCTCTATACGAGCTTCTAGTTTCTAAAACCATTCTGGAGATTGTATTTGCAATGTCCATAAAGTTTGAGGCCGAGAGTGAAGTTATATACACCTCGAGGCCATTGAACTTGGTGGTAACAACAAGATGGTCCTTGGCAATGGCCAACGCGCTCTTCTTGTTGTATATATCCATTGAAAAGTCTTCAACATAAACAAGGGCAATCACGTGCTCGTCGAATGACATTTTAAGCGACAACTTGTTGACACCACCGGAGACCAACACCAATGGAACGTCGAGTGTTGCGCCTGTAGCAATCTTCCAGCTGATGGTTGTGTGTAAATTGATCTTTTCAACAAGTAGCGACCCGGTCAACCTACCCTCTGACGACAAGTTGATTGTGCTGATCCCCGTTCGCAAATCTTGTGACCAGTCCTGTGCTTTCTTTGACACTGCCCAGAAGTTGTTCATCAGCAACTGGGATTTGCCCAAGGCCTGGCCAAAGTCCGCTTCAAGGTTGACTGTGTTTGCGACAAAGACTACTATCCAAGGGAACGCATAGGTGGTGGATACTTGTCTGAACTTCAGGGCTATATTCTGGTTGCGTGCTAGATCAGTGGTGTCGTCTTTGGCGTCCTCTTTGTCTTGGTGGAATAGATTTTTTGGGAACCAGATATCGGTGAATAGGTTGACGTCTTGGTACTGTTTCACATTGACATAAGCGTTAGTATTGGTCACGCACCCAGTGGAAAACATGCGGCCCTGGGCTCCCAAGTCCAACACACTCAGCAAGAGTATTTGTTCTATTTCTAGTGAAGCACTGATGTCCCTGGAGTAGATGTGCTGTAGTGATGCAGAAATGCCATCTAGCAATGCAGACAATACTACACTCTTTCCTTTTGCATCGTTTGAGTTTACCTGGATGCAGAACCCGTCTAGACCAACCACTGCGGCGACTTTCGCTGTGGGTTCACAGCTTAAGGTGAGCTCTTGCCTTTTTATCCTGATGGCAATGTCGATGAGAAGATTGTTGAAGAGAGACAATGTCGACGCTTCGTCTCCTATCTTTTCCTTTTTCTCCACCTTTTTTTTCTCGTCGTGGACCAATGCCTTGACTCCGGAAGCCAAGTCAAGCATGATTGGTACGCATTGTGGGTACAACACGTTTTCCGACGACGACGTCACCAACTCTCCCATAACTTTCCACAAATCGGAAGTGTTTGTGAATTTGACAATTGTCTTGATTGCTGGTGCATGCAAGTACATTGACTTGTCGTCAGAAAACTCATCCTCCTCCATTCTGGTGACCAACATGTTTGAGCCGGCAAAAGTGGAGACTAGCTCAATTGACTGGAAGGGAATTCGTGTGTTGTTACTTGTTGTTGCTGTTGGTGCTGTTGGTGCTGGTGCTGGTGCTGGTGCTGGTGCTGGTGCTGGTGCTGGTTTGGTGGCACTGAGAAGCTGAGACTTTCTTTCTAGATACAGACGGATCCCACTCGCCAGAGCAGATATTTTTTGTACAATCTGTGTTATTGAAGTGGAGATGAACTTGATGTCAATTTCATCTCCATGAACAGTGAGCAGCAAGTGCTTGGAGTCTATAACATAGATCAATTGTAACGTTGGTAAGAATGCGCGGTTCAAGCTGCCTCTCTCTGAACGAGCGCTGAAAAAGTTTAGTGCGTGATTACCATGGGCTATGGAAAAGTAGGCGCCAATAAGCGTAAACTTTCCCAAACTCTCTTCGGTAGCCGCAAAGAACTTTTCCGCTCCAATAATCACTCCTGGGTAATCCTTTGAATTGTCGTTGAAGAGCCAGCCGATGCAGAAATTGTACGATAGGAACTGGAATGCGGAAAACTTTGCGTAGATGAACTGCTTGAGAGAGGGTGAAGAAGCATTGGGTGTAGCAGTTGGTGTTGTGGCCGCCGCAGATGCCACCTCGTGATACCGCTTAGCAACAGTATCAGCAATCCTAGTCATGGCAATAACCACGGGCTCAGACAAACATACGCGGCAAAATTGGGATTCCACTTGCAAATGCTGGCGGGAGTCACGTGTATCTGTATCGTTGAACAAGCGCACAGCAAACTCCAACGCCAATACGTTGGACAAACCCAAGGGGATATTCTTGCTGAACAAGGTGAATCGCAAGAGAGGCAATGCCGCTTCTCCGTGGATGGGGACCTCTGTACTCACGGCAACGTTGCTGATGTTGAAAAAAGTGTTTTCAAGAGCGAGACTTGGCGTTGTTGAGCCCACGCCAGCAGAAAGCTCCAGGTATGCGTTTTTGAAACTAAGGCGGAAAAGATGGTGGTTGGAAGCAGGGGTAGTAGTGTGTCCTACTATACTGGATATCTCTGCGATTCTAGCTTGTATTTTAGAAACACTTGTGACAAGATTCATAGTATGGAGCAAGTCATTCGAGACTATCTTCATATACCCTAGGGACACTTGCGACAGAGTCAACTTCAACTCTGACAGATTTATGGATTCTGTGTCACATAGGCATACAAAATCGGCACATTGAAGACCTAGAACGTTGCTGCGATCAATACTAAAGTTGCTATGTAGCTTTGCAAACTCGGCACAAAGTGCAGCTGTCCCAAGCTCATCATTGAGACTGAAGCTGGCCTTGGCCCCAAGTAGTACACCCGAGAGGTGTAGAGGGTTTAGTATCTCAACGCTATAAGCAAACTCTTGTATTAGGAGTGTTGATGATACCTGGTGGCGAGCTTGCTGTCTTGGTACGTTTGTCTTCTTTTTGAAAAGACTCTTGCAGAATGGCACATCCTCATCCATCACTGCTCTGATGATTTCTACAAAGTTCATCTTGTCAAATAGGATTGTTTTGCACTTTCTAACTTCCAAGTTGAGTTGTGAATTGTTTTGCTGGTTGTGTGCAAACACTTGCAAATGGTGAAGGTTTGTGTGAAAAACACGCTCGAGCGCATCTAGCTTGATCTCCACGATGTGTGTGTTTATGGTGGCTGTATGTTGATCCATAGTTGCCAATAGGTCTTGCACTGTGACAGTTGCCTTTAGGTTTACAAGTTCTACCAGCTGCACAAAATGGGATATATTAAGTACAAGCTGGAATGGAGATGATGATGAGGAGGAGGTGGATGATGTCTCAGTTTCCAAATTCAATAGCGGCACCAATTCCAAAACCGATTTAGTCAATTTACCTTCATACGAGTCGACAGTCAATAGTAGACACAGTAGTGTGTCCTTATTCAACACAAAACAAAGTGTCTTTATATTGATACTCGTTGGATTTTGTGAACAGAGAGAATTGATATTCACTTCGTTTACTGTAAAGTCAAAGTCGACTTTTCCATCCTTTCCATGCTCCTTTTCGTTTTTGGTGAATATTCTCTTCAACATTGCCAGTCGCTGGTCCTGGTTTGCCTCCCAGACCCTCCATTTGGAGAAATAGTCCCGTACATGGTCGGCACCATAGTCAGGTAGTACAAAAGTGCCATCCTTGAATGCGTTGCTCACGCTTGTTTTCCATGTTTCTGGCAAGGTTTGCAAAATGTGTCGTAACTTGGCCACCACCTTCCAGCTATCGAAAAACCGAATGTGTTCTCTTTTGGCGCGTAGAATGTATGCAGGCCGTGTGAGAACCTCTGGATCGTGGTCGATGGAGTAATCCTCTGACGCTAACGTCAATGCATATAATAGTTGCGCTGCAGCGTGGTGGTCTGTAGAGACTTTGAAGCGTGTGATGATGTCTTCAACCTGTTTAACGAATACGTTTGCTTGTTCTAAAAGCCATGGGACTTGCTTCAGATCGATCGCAAGGTCGATATAGTCAAGGTCGATTGAACCAATAAGACTGGTGGCATCCTGGTCTAGCCAGGCCTCATAGTCCACCAAGGTTAGTGAAACTGCCTCTAGAGTATCAGATGACTTTGCGATCGTAAAGTCTAGGCTTTCGCCATGCACGGCAAAGGAGGTGGTTTTTTTGTCGGGTGTTTTGGAAATAGCCATTGACAAGTTGGTGGTGTAGAGCGATATGTGTGGAATAGTCAATCCGTTGAACTCGGTATGCCTATATGGCTCTATACCAATGTGCACGGTAGTGTGGCTATTCACTATTCGGAAGTTGTCAACCACCTTTGTTGAACTTAGAAGATCATTTGCTATTTTGATTATGGATACTTCTATTTCGTCCATAATCGAGTCTAGATAATGAACACTTTTCACTGAGACAAACTGGGTTACGGTACAAACACAAGCAGGACTGAGGTACATTTCAGTTTCGCCTAAATCAACAATGAGATTATTGTACTTTGTATCTGGATCAGGTTGATATGATGGGGAAAAGTCTTTAGTGTTGTAATTGACTGTGGGAAGTGTGTCCTCCATCTCACCTCTGTAGGAGACGGAGGTGGCGGAGTAGGAGGAGGAGGAGGAGGAGGACGACGACGATGTATCATCAATAAGATTGGACGTTTCCAAAGTTAATGGCATAGGCACTCTCGGTAGACTCATTGATGTCATAAAGCTTCCTCTACTCTCCTCATAAAAGGTGTCCCTGTACTCCTCAGTGAGAATAAATGGTGCTCTGTGGAATGGGGCATCGCCGTTTCTAATGTGCACCTGCTGTGTATCTCTTCTGCCATCCATGTCATCTTTTTGAGTGATATCAGACAACACGAGGGAAGTCAGAATATACCCCAACACGTCCTCCGAGGACAGCAACACTTTACCATTGATGGAAGGGATCTTCACAGACAACTTGTTTGAATAGCGGTCATTGCTCAAGTCGTTGTATGACAACAACACATTATTCAACTCCACCTCTGCTGTATTGGTGTCATTTGGTAGTTTAAACTTGAATACAAATTTCGGACACCTGAATGAGAAGTTTGCAGCGTCAAATGCGGGTGGTAATGCATCATTCAATGCATTTTCGCGATCTTGAAATGTTATGCCAAAGTTTGTGATTCCTGCTTTTATTCCTTGCAATATCAAAGGAGAACCATTGATGATCCATTCCCCACTGTAAAAGTCCCATTTGCACCAGAATGTCGTCTCATCAGGTGGAGGTCCAAACATCCTGTGCGAGTGTACACCGAACCCATCAACGTGCACTTGCGGAGGTGTTGTTGTTGTGATGTAGTCCTTGATATAGTCCTTGACATTCAACTTGGCGTCAGCGTCAAATTGGGTGACTAACGAACCCAAAAGAGGACTGAAATCAACCTGCATATCCATATAATAATTGGAAAACCTAATATCTATATCGAGCATCTTGAAAGTCAATCCGATGTGTGATTTGCAACTGTACAAGTGTTGCGGTAGTATGATAAGACCAGTTCGCACTTGGAACTTGAATAGCACATCAACATCGTTCTCTAGTTTCACCATTGCCCAGTAATTTTTGTCTGTGGGAGAAGAGCAAGAGCTCATGGACAGTTGCTTATTGGTGCTGTTCTCTGTGAACTCTTCAAACGTTTTGAAATGTATGTAGTCACCAAAATAGTTTTCCCGCACAGTAAACAAGTACCTAATGACGAACCCATAAAACTTGAGACACACATCATCGCCTGTACAATTGATCTCCACCAAGTCAGCAGTGTTGATCTCCACGCCACTATAGAATGTGTATGCTCCTGAAACCTCGAACGCGCCCGCGCTTCCAACAACATGCGACTCTTTTAAAAATGCATTCACCGTGTGCCATTGCGGCGTGTCCAATACAAGATCAAACCTGGGTGTCTCCAACCTGTATGTAACAGTTGACTTTTTCGAGCAAGCACCCTCAATTGGGATGTCAACAAAGCATCTCAACTCGTCCCCCTGGAATGATAGATACTTGTTGTTAGTAAAGTCTAAGGCGTTGTTGATGATATTGTAGTCGTTGACATTCAAGAATAGTTCATAGTGGAGGAGTTTCCATGAAATGATGTAGTTGAACCGTCTATACTGTTCGTACGGCTGGGGGTCGCCAGAGCCAAAATCCGTCAACAAGTCACTAAATAACTGGATATGTTCCCTCAATAGAAACATTCTTGCGTTCAAACTGACCTGGTCAAACTTCCACTCGCATTTGCCATTCCACTTCAAGGGTAGTGCCACGTCGGCATTAATCTCGTGCGAGTCAGCGAGGAACAACACATCGTGGTTTACCGAAGACTGCACTTCTGGATCATTGAATATCATCTTTAGCTTATTAGGCCATCTGTCACCTTTAGTAATATAGGATGTAAACAGTCCCACGTTTGACCCTTCGCCTAGCTTTACCTCCAACCAACCAAAAGAACGATTGGCCCTTGGCGTGGTGTCTTTACTAGCCTCTCGTGTCGGCACACGTACCACCAACTCGTCGCGCACAATGACCGTCAACTTGAACCCTTCGTAGTTTCTTTTAGTGGTGGTGGTAATAGGCACGGCGTCCTTGGCCAATGAAGGGAAGAGCATACTTTGCAAGGGTACACGTTGTTTATCAGCCCAAGGTCCGTAGTGGATGGTGCCATGCGAGATCTCAATCTCAAGACCACACTCTGGCGGAGCCTCACTTTCCCTAGTCCTAGTGTCTGTTTGTTGGAGTCCGGGTGAGTCATAAAAGTAGATGAACCGGGTACTGGTAGAGTCCAAGAGCAAGCTATACTTTGCATACTCCTCTTGTGTTGAGCCATTCTGAGCAGCAATAACCTCGTGGTCTTGAAACTCGCCAATGTACCGTTCAAGACCTCTCCAATTATTATTGTATTGCTCATCATTAAAAGAGAATTTGAGGCCATTCTCTTTTTGATGTCTCTTTCTAATCCATTTCTTTGCGCCAGCAAGCTTGGTCCACATTTTTGGAGGTTTAAAGGTATGGCCAGGCCCTTTATCGTTTCCTCCTCCTCCACCACCATACCTGTTCTTGTCCAACCCCAAATTTGGTCTCATCCAAAGTTGAAACTCGTTAAACTGGAAATCGTGGAGTAGTCTATATGGATCTAGGGGATTTGGTGCCTTGGACACGTCAATGAGGCCCTTTCCCGACTTGAACGATGCCACAAGCACGCATGGCGTTTTGACATTCCCCACCACAACTGCACCTTTTTTTATACGAACTTCTATGGGCATGATTTGCAAGAAGAGCTGCAACGAACGGCTCACTGTTGCTTTTTGAAACTGCAGGTTGAAAGTGTTGGTGCTCGAGCTATCCTTTACGGTATCATCCAGCAAAGCATCCCTAGAAAAACCCTCCTTAGGGCTATTTTCCTTGGGGATATTGTCCTTGGGGATATTGTCCTTGGGGCTATCCCTAGGGCTACTTTCCTTACCACTATTGTCCCTATTCTCGCCCAATTTGCTAACAATATCATCAAACGCTGCTGTTCGGTTGTACACAAATATCTCTAGACCATCTATAACCATCAAGAACCGAGACGGCAGGTTATCGTTTTGCGTTTGCGAAACTCCTCCGATCTCATAATCTGTTTCCCAGTAGTAGTTGGAGAGCTTAGTGATTGAGAAAAGCCAGTACCTCCATGTGAGGGTGACATTCAATATGGATATGGTCGAGTCGCAGGTGGTGATGATTAAGTTTTTCACAAATAACCGTCCACCCAAGGGCGATATCTTCAATGCATCAACGTGCACTCTAGTCTTGTACTTTTTCCAAAGTACCAATTTCAATAAAGAGGAAAATATAAAGCCCAATAGTTTGTGGAAGTAGAAGATGAATGCCAACCCCAAGATCAAGGAGAGAACCCAATCTACCAAGTAGATCCAAAGCGAGACCTTGATAGTGGAGGTCGACGTCACTGCTATGAACAGTGATTGAAAAGACATACCTTTAAGCAAGCATGAAAGAGAAGGCTAGTAATAAAAGGGTAATATTAACAGGGTAATATTAACAGGGTAGTACTTTAAGACTAATTTTAAGTAAGGGATTTTAAAAAAAAAAGATCGGATCCTTTATTATCGGATGCCTTTACTTTTTTTCCTTTTTTTCTCAAGCCACAACAACTCATCCTAGAAGGTATCTAATGATGTCTAATCGGGTATTTGACAACACAGAGAACCAGGATGCAGTAAAGCCATTTAGAAAAGATGCACACGGCAGTGGCAGTGGCAGTGGCAGTGGCAACGGCAACGGCAATGGCAATGGCGGTTCTAGCAATGGCGGTTCTAGCAATATCAAAAGAGTACCTCTAGGCGGTAAAAACCAGAATACAAATAGCCTCACATTACATAGGTCCAAATCGAATCTAACCACCCCAAAGTTTCATGTTCCAAGATTAACCAAATCAAACTCAACCTTGGGGATCCCCTCTGTTTCTGTTCTCCATGAGAGAGATACAAGAGTCAAACGGATACAGCCACTATCCGAGAGCATAAGGCGGCCACTCAAAAAACAAAAGCCAAGTGACTCATTGATCAAGAGAGACTTGCCTAGGAAGCCACATACCGAGGCATTGGTATCTACAAAGAGAACGCACCGGTTGCACAGTAGCCACATCAAACAACTGATTATTAGAAACGGAGACCCTGGGAAACAAACACAACGCTCCAAGGAGATAGACAAGCTAGTTGAGCTCCATTGGAGGGACGAGATCGAGTCTATACTACCGGAAGAAACAAAAGAGAACGCAGACACCAGCGAAATACCCAACCTATTTGATGAGTCGGAGTTGATATTCTCTACTCCAAACAATAGCCATGATGCAGGTGAGTTGACCATTATGGGGGATGAAGAGCCAATAGGTTTGAGCCAAGAGGATTTGCGTAATTTGCTAGACTAAGTAGTTTTATTTATCTTTCTTTACTGCTGATTACATTGCGGAGAATGGCTGTTTCTTCCTCCATGTTCTCCTTTTTGTCTCCCTTCCCCCTCATTATATACAGGTAAATCCACATCCTTGATTACTGCGAAATCAGTAAACAACAGGGTATTGGCACCGCCATTAGCGCTAGACTCTTGTGCCTTACCCCCCGGAAGAATATTCCGTAGCTTCACCAAGTCGTCCTTTTCCAAAAACCAATTATCTTTGGGGAACTCGATATCCGGTTTCAAGTACAAGTCTCCTGAGGCATTTGGGAAAAGCAGCCACGATTTATTCAGTTTGGGCATACCTTCACCAATGATCTTGATATAATCACCAGGTCTAATCACCTTACCAGGGGGTGTACTAATCTGAACCACTCTTCCATCTAGATGTAAAGCCACTTGTTTTGTGAACCCTGCAAGCGCGTCCGCTAGCAGTAGAGAAAACAGGATATATAGATCATCGCCTTTTCTTTCAAACACACTGTGCTCTTTACATGTATACTCCAAAATGATATCACCCGTTTGTTTTCCCGGGTACTCGTCGCTCTCGCCGTGTTTTGTAACCACGCCTCTGCTCGGCGCGCCTCTAGCAATCTCAAACTCAAGGATCTTGGTCTCCTCAGTTACCCTGGCACCCAAACATACCTTGCATTTGTCCTTGGTCCTATAAATCTTGCCTGAGCCCTTGCAATTAGCACAGTCCACATACTCCTGGGTCACCAACCCTGGAGCCACCCTCTTGATTTTACGCGTGTGTCCTTCTCCTTTGCATACTGCACATGCTTTGCTCATAGCGCTAGCAGACCTGAGCCCACTTCCTTTGCACTGTGTACATATGATATTCCTTGTCAATGTTGTTCTAACCACTTTCCCTATGTATAGTTCTTCCAACGTGACCTCCACGTGAATATGTGCATCCTCTGTCCTAGACTTTTTCTGGGGACCACCAGTGCCACCATTGAAAAAGAACTCGTGAAAGTCGTTACCTTCGTATTGATTGAATCCGCCGCCATAAAACTGCTCAAACGGGTTTGACGCGTAGCTCGCCCCACCGTAATTATTATCTGTAGTTGTGGTCCCGTAATGGTCATAGTAACTTCGCTTGTCCTCGTCTATGAGCACCTCATATGCAAACGACACTTTTTTGAATAGGATCTCAGATGCCTCACGCTCTTCCTCTGAAACCTTATCCGGGTGGTACTTTAAGGCTAGCCTTCTATATGCCTTTTTGATTTCCGCACTGCTGGCGGTAGAGTCCACCTCTAGTATCTCATAAAGGTCTTCCTCGTCCATATGTGAGAAAGCAGATCTGAGATGGAAAAGAGAAAAAGAAAATGAAAAAGAAAAAAGAAAGAAAAAGGTGTAGGAGAAAAGGAGAAAGAGGTGTAGGGAAAAGGTGTAGGAGAAAAGGAGAAAGAAGTCTAGGAGAAAAGGTCTAGGAGAAAAGGTCTAGGAGAAAAGGTCCAGCAGAAAAGGTCCAGCAGATGTTACTCACCTATCTCGTCAATGGGCCATGTCTATTTTCCTTTTTCAAAAAAAAAGAAAAAATTGTACGACAAAGACAGGGTTCGAACCTGCGCGGGCAATGCCCATCGGGAGATACCTTTTACTTTCCAGTTGAGGAACCTGCACCCGACTCTTTAACCACTCAGACACTTTGTCGCTGACGCTACCATATGCCATACTGGATCCATTTCTCGGTAAGCTCATGTGTCACCCACCGGAACTCAGAAACTGGAAACAGCTAGGCTAAAGTAATACAGTTTTGCGACTTCTGCGATTCTGCAGGTGTAGTGGAAAAGAGAAAACCTCCCCCCAAAAATAGAAAAAAAATATATAGCAAGTAAAAAAAGAATGGGGAATCCTTTAGAGGAAATGCTAATGACTTTTGTTGTATATGGTGCCAACATCTTATGGGTCTTATTGTCTAATCAAATCTGGTGGAATGTGGGGGGGGGGGGAGAGAGAAAAAGAAAAAGTAGTTTGATATAAAACATTTTTTTTTTATAGTGAACTATGAAGCAGACCTCTTCTATAAGGGTGTGCCTCTCAAACGTGGCGCCCATAAGGTGTGATACCCGTGAGGTGTGCCACTCCCCCCCCCTCTCCTCCCTAAAGTGGTGTTGCTGTCCACATGATAATTATGCACCACCCGAAAAACCAACTTCAAAAGAAGAAAAAAAAAAAAAAAAAAAAAAAAACAATTTTTGAACGTCAACAATCTTTCTTTCTTAATATACAGCATTTTTATCAAATATGGTATGTTTATTATGGAGGAACCCAATTTGCACCTTTGGAATACTAACCATTATTGTTTTAGTCCAGATCAGGGTATGTTGTTTCCATACTTATTCTACATCTATTCTGCATACTAACAATGTGGCGTCTAGAGTACAAGTTGCCGACGAATCCTTAGCTGCCTTCAACGACTTGAAGTTGGGTAAGAAGTACAAATTTGTAATCTATACATTGAATGATGCCAAGACTGAGATTGTTGTTGACGAGACATCTGCCGATACAGATTACGATACCTTTTTAGAGAAATTGCCTGAAAATGAGTGTAAATATGCCGTTTACGATTTCGAGTATGAGATTGGTGGAGGTGAAGGAAAAAGGTCAAAGATTGTGTTTTTCACCTGGTCTCCAGACACCGCGCCCGTTAGAGCTAAGATGGTATATGCATCATCGAAAGATTCTTTGAGAAGAGCATTGAACGGAGTTGCTGCTGATATCCAAGGCACAGACTTTTCAGAGGTTGCGTATGAGTCAGTCTTGGAAAGAGTTAGTAGAGGTGCTGGGTCTCACTAAAAGGAAAAATACAACAAAAAAAAAGATGAAAATAAAGAAAAAGAAAAAGAAAAAGAGAATATCATATCTATAAGACTTAATACTTTTCTCTCATTCACTCTTGTAAAAAAAAAAAAAGAAAAAGAAAAAGAGAAAAAGAGAAACAGAAAAAGAGAAAAAGAGAAAAAGAGAAAAATGGGTGCGCATTTTCACGTTTTTCTTATCTTGCTTGTCCCTTCCAAGAAAGCATGCCTTCAAAGGTTCCAAGGGCAACGTTGGCTCAAAAGGTGCAAGTTCTTGACTACTACCACCAGTCAGAGAGTCCGCAGTTGAAAACCGTGGATAGATTCAAAGAGGAGATCTCGATTTCTACATCCTCGTTGAGCGAGTGGTTGAAAAATGAACAGGAGTTGCGTCGACGGTTTGCCCAAGCGGACTTTAAAGCCTCAAAGAATAGTAGAAGAAAGGCAACCTTTAAATATGAAAAGATAAATAGCGCGATGGACAAGCTTGTTCAGGAAAAAATGCTAAAAAATGAAGCTATTACTGAACCGATTCTTCGTAAACATTGGGCTATATATGCGCAAAAGTACGGAGTCGATGATCCTAAACGGTTGCATAGTTTCAGTCACGGATGGTTGAGTCAGTTTAAAAAGCGTCATGGAATAAAAAAGAATCGCATCCAAGGGGAAGAGCAGCAACCACTCAAGGAGTTGTCGCATGAAAGTCACGACTTTGAATCGCATGAGGAACAACCTCTGGTTTTACTGCTGCTGCTGCTGCTGGCTCTGCTGCCGCCGCCGCCGCCGCCGCCGCCGCCGCAACAGCCACAATCGCCGCAGAACAAGCAGCAAAACACACCGCCCAAAGAGCCCAGTACTTCCAGCATTACCATTGTTCCCGCCACTACCATTGCTACCACGGCGCCCACCACCTCTGTCGCCGCGCCACCGTTTCCAGTTTCTGTGCCCAAGAGCTACTTGGCCGAGGTGGAAGTGGAAAAGTTTATATTCGTCACTGCAGATAAGTTCTTTCTCAATCACCAAGGTGACTACCCCAACACATATCAGTTGTTCCAAAAGTTCAAAGAGTCCTTTTTCGATGAGAGGATACTTGCATCTAGAAATAAGAATCATGGGAGTACCATCGAGTGAGAGATGATGATGATAATAATGATGATATTAATGATGATGATGATGATGATGATGATGATGACAATTTACATTAGTCTATTTATACAATACTTTATAAGGCTCCTGTAAAATCAACCTCAGTGTCAGCAACCTCGACTTTTAGATTCGGCTCCACATTGATGACATCGCTTTTCTGCTTCCCGTGTTTGCATTTGCAACTCTCGCACAGCTTTGTACACACCTTCTCAATAGCGCTTGAGTTTTGATTACCGGTGGTCTCTTTGAGCTTTTCCGTCTCCAGATCGCCAGGTATTAGTTTATTGATCCTGGTCTCTATTGCTATATCATGGTCATGTTTGGCATACAAGTAGTTTCGAAGCGCCATTTCTGAACCCAAGCCATATGAAAGTAAAAGATAAAACAAAAAAAAAAAAAAAGAAAACCCAACCGCTTGTGTATATGTTGGTACCAAACTTTATCTCGGTTAAAGTGGTATGATTTTTTCTTTTTCTTTTTCTTTTTTGTTTTTTTTTTTTTTTTTCTACTAGGCTCTTACTTGAGATTGAGGTGTCAACTTGAACCCTACAATCATAATACCTAAAGCGATTGTCAAAAACTTGAACTTCAAGCTATCATCGACTAAATCCTCTTTATTTTTGTATTTTGTGTCTTTACCCATGACCAAATGCCTGATATGGGTTAGCATTCCCAGCTCTTCCTCGGAGGAAGATGCATACTCATCGATGAGTCTCTCCTTCTCCTCCTCCTCCTCCTCATCATCATCATCATCGTCCTCTTCCTCGTTCAGTTGCCAAGTAGTGTCTATATCTGAGTCCACCTCATCTAGCGAAGAGAGGTCTGCTCGGGAAAAAACTTGCGATGCAAACTTTTTAACAATCTTGTCGTTGACAAAGTTTGTTTCTTCATAATGTGGAGCAGATTGGGGTGTTTTCAATCCCAAAGTGGCTATACCAGGTGTGGTGATGAGGTCGTCATACGCCGCATTGATGGAAACAGATCTTAGCACTCTCTTTTTATTAATAAGCAAGTCTCTGGAATCTTTAATGAGCTTTGCATCGGAGTACTCATATGACATGGAGTTGAGCGACTGTTTCTTGGCCAACTTCTTGATGTTTTTCTTTTGTTTCTGCAACTCAAACCCAATGTATGAGAGTAATTTTTCATTGTGCAATTTCAACGATTGTAACTCAAACTTTAGTTTGGTGATCTCTTGCCGCGTGCGGCTATCGTGTTGGATGTAGCTGGATCGTTTCGATGACAGCTCAATCTCGTCGTACGATATGCCATGAGAAGTATCGTACCCGTTTAATGCAAACAAGGTACCATTCCTATAGTCATCCATCGACTCTTGAATCACATCAAACGGTATTGGTGGAGGCGACGGCTTGACATATTCGGGCATCGACAGGACTCTTTGCTCCTCAAACTCCACCTGCACTGGTAGTATATCGTGGCTGTTGTATCTAATGTGTGTTGGTTTGGAACTAGAGTACCTCTTTACAATCGAGGTGTTTGCATCGTCATCACCATCACCATCGGTGCTGCCTGCTCCGTCATTGAATGTATTTGCCGATGTGAGCTTGAAGGGAGATAGCACAAACTCAGAAGTGTCGAATGGTTTTGGTTTTGGTTTGGGCTTGAGCTCGGCTGGGAGAGACTGTCGCTTCAAGCTTTTGGAGTCGGGGTCTGGGGAAGGAGGGAACTGAAAGTCCGTATTGACTCTAATGGAGGTATTGTCTGTAGCACTATCCTCCATCGTGCATGAGCCCATGTGGATTTGTTTCAAGAGATTGTCATTCTTATGAGCAAGGAATTCCACTTGGTCCATAAGCACCAACTTGGAGTTCTTTTCCACTTCAAATTGGTTTTCAAGGATCTTGTAATCTCGTATCACCTTATCCAATAAGGTGCTATTGTCCTGGTGGCGTAGCTCCATCTCCAAATCCAGCACCTTCTGCTGTAAACTGTCAACAAGTTGTGTGTAAAAAGTGCAAAGCTGGCCCTTTTCCAGTTCCAACTCCTCAACAGTTTTTTCATAGATCCGACACCGACCTTTAGCGTTGTCCAACTCCGTTTGGAGCTGGTGTAGTTCTTGTGTTAGTGTTTGATTATCTGTGCCCATACGTTCAAAGTCCAACACACTATCTGCAAACCGTCGTTCTAGATGTTGGTAATCTTGGCTTTCTGTAAGGGGCCGAAAGTGGTCATTTCCATTGTTCAATAGCGATTTAGTTCGTGCCTTGCTTTGGCTTTTTACATCCACATCCATACCTTGAATATGAGCACCTTGAATATGAGCACTTCTCTCTACCCAAGGAGTCTCTATATTTTGTGATATGTTTTGAGTAGATTTTGCGGCACGGGTATTTGATTTTACAAGAATAGGAGCTACCGTTAACGAGAATATAAAACAAAACAAATTACAAATGGAAAGAAGAAAAAGAGAAAAGAAAAAAAAAAGAAGCTTTTATTAAATTAGTTTATTATATCGCCGCTACAACTTGTTCTATAGATGTGCCTGGGTTCAAGCTCTTTTTCAAATCGTGTTTTTTGATACTTGCCCTTAGTATCCTTGGGTCCTTTCTTAATGTTCTCAACAACTGTGCTTGCACCTTGCTTGAGGAATCAAAACCCATGATGAAATGTAACCCTTGAAAGTGTCTTTCTTGCTCTCGCGATATGATTTTCGGCAATGGCTTGGCTCCTAGACTTGTGATGTCTCTAACAACACCTCTATTGTTTAAAATCAACTTGCCCACAGTAGAGGCTATCTTTGTAGCCTCCTTCGTTACATGTAGCGGGTCGGTTATACGTGCAATCGCAAATAGCTCATAGTACATCTTTGAACTGGGGTATGGGTGGGTTCCGTGTTGAAAATTTTCTCAAAAAAAAAAAAAAAAAAAAAAATGAAAATGAAAAAGAAAAAGAAAAAGAAAAAGGAATGTAGAAAGACATTTGGTAGCAGAGGACCATGTCACTGTGTGTCCTCACTATGTATCCTCACTATGTATCCTCACTGTGTATCCTCACTGTATATCGTCATGACCTATCCCCACGGTCTCGTCCATTGACCTCTCATCTCTCCCTACAGTTACTTGCAAGAGTACATTGTTTGATTGTTCATCAATGTCTTTTGTGTCCAGATGAGTGTTGGTCACGTGCAATGATCAATATATACCCCCACCCACCTTCACCAATTTCTCCATCACTTTCTATTCTCCCTCTCCACCACTTTCTCTTCTCCTCAAAGACAATGGCTACTAATATCACATGGCATGCCAACTTGACTCACCAAGAGAGGGCTGGTTTGAGAAAACAACAAGGTGTGACTGTGTGGTTAACAGGGTTGTCTGCGAGTGGAAAATCGACCATAGCTTGTGCTTTGGAGCAGTCGATTTTGGGTCGCGGGTTGAATTCATACAGACTCGATGGTGACAACGTTAGGTTTGGATTGAACAAGGATCTTGGGTTCAGCGAAGCAGATAGGAACGAGAACATCAGAAGGATCAGCGAGGTGGCAAAACTATTCAGTGATAGTTGCTGCACAACAGTTACTTCCTTCATCAGTCCGTACAAGGCAGATAGAAACTTGGCAAGAGAGCTACATGAAAAAGATAACTTGCCCTTTGTTGAGGTTTACGTCGATGTTCCCATTAGTGTAGCAGAGGAAAGAGATCCAAAAGGATTGTACAAGAAAGCTAGAGAGGGGATAATCAAGGAGTTCACTGGGATTAGTGCACCCTACGAGCCACCAGAAACTCCAGAGATCCACATTAAAAACCACTCCGGTCTCACAGTCGAGGAAGCTGCACAACAGATCTTGGACTATCTTATTGAAAAAAAATACATCTCCTGATGTTGACTTATTTATTTACTTTTTTAGACTGTCTAAACGTGCTTGTAAGTCGTTGTCGTCATTGTCATGTGCTCCTCCGCCTCCTCCTCCTCCTCCACCACCACCTTCTCCAATACCCTCTGCAACTCTGCTCCTACTTTCCGTCTCCTCTCTTCCAGTAATCCCCACAGGTGTATCCTTCAAGTTTGCGCTCAAGTCAACCCCAATTTCGTCAAGAACCTTGCCCAAAATCTCATCAATGTTGTCCTCCTCGCCCAACTCCCCCTCGCCCTCATCCAATGCCATTGCATCGTCAATGGCATCATCCATAAACTCCTGTTTCTGATCCATCATATCGTTCTCCTTGGCAAATTCCTGTGCTATCCGTGATAGCTGCGGCAAGTTCATTGATCTGTTCATCCCAGAGAGCACCCGGGTGGCGTCTCGCATCGAGATAGCCATTTGTTGGTTCAGCCTGACACTTTGCACGCGCAAGGAGATTGCTTGAAGTTGTGCTTTCATTGAGTTGAACTTGTTGATGTATGACTTGGTTCTTATTAGATCCTTGGCCTGAATCCTTGCACTTGATATCTGGCCTTGCTTAGCGGACTTTTTGATGTCGTTGATAAGTTTCTTTTCCTGTTGCTGCAACTTGGCCACCTCTCGACCAAGCTCTCGCTGGGTTTTTTCTAGCGCCCGCTGGTTCTTACGAAGCCGCTCCTGCGGCGTGAGTGACTTGCCAAACGCCCACTGAAACATTACTCAGTAGATTGTGTTCTGTTCTGTTATTTTTTTTTTTCTTTCTTTCTTTTTTTCTTTACTACAATTTTACATCTATTGCTAATTTAACTGCTCTGTGTGCCATTCCGAGTCCCGATTGGTAGCCATTCCCAGCAGCACCATAGTTGTGAATGAGTACCCTGCCCTCAATCATAACCCTTTCAATCCTAGCCCCGCCATGTCTACATGGTCTTAGTCCAACAGCTACTCTAATCACCTCTAAACTATCTACAGTATTTCCATATGGGTTCTCCGTCAAGATCTTGGGGTAGAGTGTGGTTGTTCTTTTCAAAATATCTGCCGTTTGTTCCGCTAATGCATCTGGGGTCCAGTCACCTCTTTGATAGAACCCGCCCAAGATCAATTGGTCGTGTGAGTATGGCCTTTTGATGATATATGTTGGTTCGCGGTCGCCCCAGCTTAACACGTTCTCCATAATGTGCGGAGCTCGAACCACAACTACTTGTCCCCTACCGGGATAAACATTTTTATCACCAACAAGTGTCCTTGCACCAAGACCCGTGCAGTTAAACACAATACTTGTTTTTGTGGACTCGTATGCTTGTACAATGTGGTCAAGATGTTTTCTTTGAAACTGGACCCCTCTTTCTTCCAAGTTGGTTTTGAAATGGTACAAAAACTTGGGACAGTTGAAGTTCCACAGAAGAAAGCTTATGCCAAAAGCAGACCCTGTGGGTAATTGGTCGGCCTTGAGCTCCTTGTAATCCTCTAGATAACTCTTTAAAGAGTTGATTTTCTTCTGACTCGGCTTGGTGTCCCAGTACTCGGTAGATATATACCTGTCTAAACCCGCAGTTTTGCCAATGGCCAGCTGTACCTTGGCAAGATTAAGATAAGTGTACTTGTCATCTGCGAGAATATCGTCGTCATCACCGGTGATGCACGAAAAGTTTCCTCCCGCATAGGGGGATGTGTAGTTTATCGACTCGTCGCCGGGGAAATAGTCGGCAATAACAGTAATGGTTTTCACATCTATACCTTTGTCCAATAAGGTGTACACAGTGTACAAGCCAACAATTCCGGCACTAACACATTGTTAATATGGGAAAGCTATACCAACACATCCATCTCATACATACCCTACAACCACAATCATTGTCATTCGGTACTGGCGGGAAGGGAAGAGAAAACCCAAAAAGAAAGAAGAAAAAAAAAAAAAAAAAAAAAGAAAGATTTAGTTATTCATAAGTCGTTGACAATCTTATACAAGCGGTCCATAACCTCAGCAGAGTTGTCCTGCGACACATCCTCCATTCCGTAGTTGTAGATGGACCATGACCCGTAGAGTGCCGCCAAGGCACATACAGCTATAGCAAAGTACCCTTTAGATGTGAACCCTTCTGGCAATGGTGGGCGCTGAACATTTTGTCCTTGCAAGTTCAAAAAGTCCTCATTCCCCGCGGCGTTCCCCTTGGATAAAACGCCAACCTCTTTGCACACTTGGAGATGGTTGTCTGGAATCAATTGTTGTTGTTGTTGCACCACAAAAGGATCTTCCACAAGAATTATGGCCAACCCTTGTTCCAAATGCCAGTCAACATGGCAATGGAAGAACCAGATGCCCGGGTTTTCAGCAACAAACCGAATGACAAAGAACCCGTTACCTTTGACTTCAACTGTGTCTCTGATCAAGGGTTTCTCCGGATAGTCAATCATTGTTTTGTTATTTGGATCAAAAGCAATTGGATCAGACCCTTGCTCGCTTCGGGAGATGACTTGGAAGTTGTGGCCATGCAAATGGAACGGGTGTTTGCCATCATCGACATTGTTCAATACCAAGTCCACAACCTCGCCTCCCTGCAAGATAAACGAGTTTGTGTTGGTTCCGTATATGGCCTCGTTTGTTGCCAACTCATTGCTGGACAAGAGTGTATACAATGTGGGCACTTTGGGCGGCGTATATGTCTTTCCATTGAACATGGCATACGTAACACCATCGTTGAGCATTTCCATTGTGAGGTTGAGTTGTATGGTGAGATCGGGGTCAGGGAGCAACTTCTCACCACTAATTGGCACGAGGTCAAAATCGTCGTACCCTTTGAGTTGGTGCAAAGTTTCCTCAAAGGATTGATATGGAAGGGGTTTTGGCAACGACGACCCGCTGTTGTTGTACCTGAGGTAGTTTGTGGATACCAACTGCAAGTCTTGTGGAACCGTATCCAACATCTCCTTATCCAAGATGTTAACAAACCTGTAATCTTGGCCCAGTGTACTCTTTGTTTTAACAAGCACACCGTACCTCTGCCCCACAGTTATATAAAGCGAGTCAACATCATAAGGCACCACAGGTACCCCGTCCACCTCAACAATGGTCAAAGTGTGGTTTTCAATAAACAAGTATTGTGAAGCAAACAACCCCATATTGACAACTCGTAAGAGATATGTTGTATCTGTACGAACATCAAAAGTGACGTTTCTTGTTTCATTGAATAGACTATTCTGGGGAATGGGCTCCGCGCCAGTAGGGTTGAATCTGGACATAAACTGTTTCATAATCTCGGACGTCTCCATGTGATAGTGATCAGATAAACTCAACTCAACTGCTTCGTCATAATGGAAAGGCATATTGTCTTTTTCTTCTTCAATAATAAACATTCCTCTTAACCCATCGCCATATTGAGTGCCGCTATGTGAATGGTACCAATAAGTTCCAGTTTGATTACCCACAGTAAAGTCATAGATCATGTTTGAGCCAGGAGCTATAGGACACTGCGTAACCATCTCTGGACCGTCCTGTGCATTCTGTCCTTTTTGAAACAATCCATGGAAATGCAAAGATACGTTTCTGTCCTGTAGGTCATTATGGAGATGGATAATGACCCTATCGTTGCGACTTACCCTGAGAATTGGGTTTGGCCATTCCTGGTTGATTCCAATCATGCGTCTTTGAAACAACCCATCAGGATTAGCCTGGACATAGCCTATATTCCAGTTGAACGTGTGGATCCGTGCAAGCACTAGATTACACCAGAGTATTAGTAGTAATGCATTCATTGAGAACAGGATCTGATCCCTAAAAAAAGGGAGAAAAAAAAAAAAAAAAAATATTAAATTAAATATCACATTGCTTCAAGTTACATTTCCCCATCACATTGCCCCTTGTGTAAGAGAAGAATATGCACGGAAGAGTTACACAAATAATAGTGCGCACCCAGGTGGATATAGATGTGATCTTTAACTGGAAGGCACTGCAGGTAAAGGACAAGAGACAAGAGGAACCAACTAGGTGGAGGTAGCCCCCTTTCTATGTTCCTCCTTCTATGTTCACCCTTTTAGGTCCCCCCTTTTATGTCCCCCCTTCTATCCTGTATTTCTATGTTGTTTCTTTTTTTTCTTTTTTTTAGAGGTCCACGGAAGAATTGGAAAATGCGGTATTACTTAATATACAGTACATCATGGTTTGCTCTCATCACACCCCCTCCCCCCCTTACAAGCTGAAAGCTTTCGGAGCTTCGCCTTCTGGGCCAATATACTTTGGATCTCTCCATGGCCCAACATCATTCAAGAGCAAGTCATCGTCACTAACATTGTCCATTCCGCCATATTTTACAGGTAAGTTCTGTGGCGGGATCTGTTTCAACAACTCTTTGCTATAGGTGTACCCCAAGATGTGGATCTTGGACACGGTGACAGGGTCCAAGAATGGCTTGAATAATCGGAAAGCAGTTGCAAAACCAAATGGCGAATTGATCAAGTAAAACTTACCCATTCTCTCGGGGTAGTAGTCCTGTCCAATCTTGGACGCCTCTTTGACATAGCCAATGACATTATATGCAGAGGTGATTGAGATCCCTTTCAAGTCCAAAATGGTGCATGAAGTTTCCACCAAGTATCCTGCTTGTCTCGAGCAAGCAGGCAAACGATACTGACACATTGATTCGTATTCCCATACTAGATTCTTTAACATTCTTTCTTGTGTTGTGACCTTCAACATCTTGGTCAAGTCAACCTTACCCAACTCCTCGTAGTATACTGGGCGGCCGTCCTTATCTGTTTTGTGGTAGTAAGTGGGGTACATCTTTGCTACTATTGGCTTTTCTTCATATACGAAATCTTTCAATATGGTATTGGTGCCAAACTTTTCTCTCCAATCCTCGCAAGCAATAAACATTTCTTTGGCCAAGGCCAAATCGAACTTACGTGCCCTTAAGAATCTCAAGAGATTGGCATCGTCTATTCTATGTGTATATCCTAATTCAACCAACTCCTTGCGTAATTGGATAATGTCCTGTATCTGCTGCTCCGTCAAGTTGGATGTGAACCCCGTTTGGTCGGTGGGGGCTGTGATCTGTGGGTACGACTCCAAGATCTCCTCTTCTGATGCCGTGGTCATCACTGTATCTGTAGTCATTAGGGAAAGAGAGAGAGAGTCAAAGAGGGAAGCCAAAAAAAAAAAAAAATATAAAAAAAAGGGAAAATGGGTGGTCTTTGGGAAAGCTGCTTTTCAACCGTAAGTGATGAGCTACGTATACCACTCTGTAACAAACTGTTAAAAAATTATAGCAAATTGTTTTTTTGTTTTTTTTTTGGAAAAAATTACTGAGCGAGAGTTTCCTTCTTTCTTTTTATTTTACTTTTCTTTTCTTTTTTTTTTTCGCGGAACACGTTGAGTTCTACGAACCGGGTCGGAATTAGAGAGAAAAAGAAAACAAAACAAACGGTAAATGGGAGAGGAGGGAAAAAAAAAAAAAAAAAATTCTCTATACTTCTATATTTGCTATACGAAATTTAGGACGACCTCTTTGTTAACCATTTCCAAAAGGGCATTTTCCGCCCCTCCTTACTGCTCACTAGACTGGTGGCATACCTGTCGATTTTTGCAGCTGTAGCGGTTGATGTTATGGTGGTTGCTGTTTGTATACTCTCACGCGCAGTACTCAACGAGTTCTTGTTTATGTCCAAGTTGGACGCTGACGAGTTAGCTTTGTACAGGTAGTAGTCATCTCCAAAGAATCGTAGTTTCAAACAAGCAAACGCGTTGTCGGCCACGAGCGATTTATAGATGTTACCATTTGTAGCAGCACTATTATTATTATTACCACTTGTTGAACTCAAGTTGAGATCGGAGGTGATGACCACGTTTCGTGACAAGTCCAACCACGCTTTGGATAGAATATCGTTTGCAAACGCAGGCCATAAACGGTTGTCTTTGCCTATATAGTTGGCAGGGAACTCATAATTTTCAAGTGACGCTTCCAATTCAGCAATCTTGTTTGTAATTTTCGCGCTTTGCTTTTGTATATCCTTTAGCGTTATATTTGAGTTGATGAAGGAGAAAAACTCCTCGTTGCCATTGCATAGTGACTTGATGAACCCTTCTGTTTCATTATCTCCAGCAAGGTCCAAAAACTCCAGTTGCTCAAACTCTAGAGACCCAATCTGGTAAATGTTTTCGTTGTTCAAGTTCAACTCTTCCAACTTGATAGGATCGAGGTCTCTTTTTGCACTTGTGTGTTTGGAGTTGGGACTAGTCAACAGACTCTCATCCTTTTGAGCGGCGGCAAACTTACTGTAGTTTAGCAAGTGGACTAATTCGGTTAGTCGGAGATACTTGTCTATGAGATACGGTGTAGTGGGTAACTCGTTGGACGTTTCATCCAACCCCAAGTCAAAACGCTTTACTTCGTGGCTCAAGTTTAGGATCTTTTCGTTGAAATCGTTTTTTCTGCCAGTAATGCGATCAAAGTATTCATACACTTCCTGCTGGTGCTTTCTCAAAAAAACATTCATTTTGACGAGGTGCGGCTCCTTATGTGGACTAAACTCTTGTCTGTTTGCCAAGTTGAGGAGGATCTTGGCAATGAGGGTCAAAGTACGCTGTGTTCTTCCTGTTTGGTGGTTCTTGGTCAAGTAGAACAATTTGGGGTTTAGTATTGCTGGGCAGAAGAACCGAAGAAACACAAATGCGCTGATGCAATTCAAACTGGTCACTTTATCGCCGGGCTCGCATACTAGCTCCACTTTGGTTCTAAAGTTTTTGAGCTGTGTTTTGATCTGCTGCGGTATGTCATTGGACGTTATATAGATCTTGTGCCAAATCTCCTCTGCATAGCCATATAGGTTTTTGTAATTCTCTTCAACCACTTGTTTGATGTGCTCGTCCTTTTCTCTTTCTAATGCAGAGTTATACCCGTCATCGTCACTGGCAACATCATCATCACCGTCATCATCATCATCATCATCATCATTATCATTATCATCAATATCACCACTGTTTCCTGTTTTCCGCCCTTGGGTATTGCCCTTTTCCTGTATTCGGACATACCTCGGGTCAACTTCACAATTCTTACATTCTTTATTGATTTTGGCGAAAAAGTCTCCAAACACTTTCTCCAAGTACTCCTGGCCTATTCGAATATTGTATTTCTCCAAAGCCTTTGAGAAAATGGATGAACCACGGAAGAGTGTGTTGAACACATTATTTTGCGATGAACTTTTTTTTGTAGAGAGTTTCTTCTCAAGCGATGAAAGTGAGATCTCTATCAACGTTTTGAAAAACCGGTCTTCTTGCCGAAGGCACTGGAAAATGTCTAGTAGAATCACACTAATCCTTTCAAACTCAGAAGCAGCCATATTCTCATTAAAGAGTTGGATGAGTTTGTCAATGGGTCCGTTCTTTAGTAAAAACTCAAGGCTTTTAAAGTGCGGCGCTGCAAGAATATGGAACTCCTTGAGCTCAACTTGTAGGAGGAGCTTTCCAATGGGGAGGTTATTAGGATCATAGATTGTTAGCCGTACGATATCCAAACTGCTGGTACCATTATTATTGCTGAAACTCGTGGATATTGGTATAGAGCTTAGATGTATACCGTCATTACTATTATTATTATTATTATTACTACTACTTTTGTTGTCTGGCTCCCCCGTCATAATGGTGGTGCTTGTTTTGATCTGTTTTGTGAGAATGTTTGGTGTTACAAAAACTGTACCAATAAGCTTATCGCCCGCAGAATAAGTATCTTGGAAAGTACACTTTTTGATCAAGATGTGGATCATTTGCGTTGAGATTGGCAATTCTGTCAGAAACTGTTCTTTCCAAAACGGATTGCTCGTGTGGTTAACCATTGCAGTTCTCGACCATGGGTACCCCCACATGCGCACCTCGGCATAGATCTTGCCTCCTTTTGCATCACCACTATAATTACCATCAAACTTGGCTTCAATGATATCGATGGATATCTTCTTGGACACCCTGAAATGCGCGCGGCTAAAGTCTGCAAGGCACGGATTGGGGTTGCTCTCATCTGGTGTTGTTGGTTTGGACTCTGAAGTGCACGATCCAATGTACTCTCTCCTGGCAAAGTAGTTTAAACCAACAAACCAGTCCTCCAAGTCTATGTGCAAGGGAAACTCGATGAATATACGCTGATTACTCTGGATGTTTTTGCCTTCTCGTGTTAGGAGGCTTGTCATTAGTTGGTCCGCACTAAGGGTGGAGGTTGTTCTAATAGCATTGTTGTACCGCAACTCCTTCAATGGTCCTATAAAGAGCACATTTGAGCTATTGAATATCGAGTTGTGCATCTCCCGTATTTCACTTGTGTAAATGCTCTTTATATCAATTGAGTAGAGCAAGGTTCCGTCCAACTCGCTGATGAAGTTGAGAATCCCATTGGAGTTGAGTGCACCCATTGCATAGAACCAGCCCTCATTGATGTTATTGCTCTCAATAACCTGTGGCGTAGCAGGAACGTCCTTCTTGTCCACTTTTGGCTGGTACACGGGCACCTTTGGCCCCGTGATGATATGTAGGTTCTTGTACTTGCTTGGTATTGGTGCATATATCTTGAACCGACACACCAACAACTCATGAGGCTTACCTCCATCAACAACAACTTTCTTCTGACTGTACCATTTCTTGGCCAACCCGCGCGGCTTCAAGTTTTGCCAAACAATCAAGCTGCTGATGAGATTACCAAAGTTGCTTTTCGATGCTACTCGGATATACAACTTTTCATTTTCGCACGTCTTGATGAAAATCGCGGGTGGATCCTCATCAGTGTGTTCAATTGGTCCATTTTCCTTGCCACCTTTCCGTTTAGCCTGGAACGTTGTTTGTGTGGGCGACTTTGGTGTACCTGTATTGGGGCATATTTGGATATAGCATGATTGCAAAGATGGGAGGAGGAGATAATGGTTATTGTTGTTATCTGAGGTGAACAATTGTCCATGCTCAGTAATAGAGATCGACGCTACATAGATCCAGCTGATCGAGTCAGTGGACACGAGAAAGTTTGACCCTTCAAACCTCCCTTTGTTTCGACATACAATCTTGTGGAACTGGGACGGATAAGCCATTTTGGACAATCAGTCAGCAACTAGTGCATTGAACAATATCTCGTTCTTGTTCTTTTTTTTCTTTTTTTTTTCGTTGTCATTTTGATTTTCATTTTTTTTTTTTTTTTTTTTTGGCTCGTTGCGTCTTCGTGTTCGTGTTCTTTTACTTNTTTTTTTTTTTTTTTTTTTTTTTTTTTTTTTTTTTTTTTTTTTTTTTTTTTTTTGGATTTGTTTTTCTTTTATGGTATGCTTTATGGGAGGAACAATGTGTGTGTACTATCAGCAAAAAAAATTACCCCGTGTGTGTATAGAGATGGACGTGGCGCGTAGTGAGTATTTCCAAAACGGGGAAGTATATAGATACATATATGTAATTAGATAATATTGACGACGAAAAACTTGGTTATTGATAAGTGCGTCACTATATACACCCCTGAGTCCACTGAGAGAAAGAGAGTTTGTATGGATGTAGAGTAGCGGGGTAGTCCACCATATGTGTAGTGCACTGCACCTTGTTTTTTATATACAAGATTAGGTCTATTATAATGACGAGCTGTTTCATACTAGTGGTGGGCCCAGGATACATTTTTAATTAATGCTCATGTTTAGTGCGAGTTTGAGTTTGGGCACACACTACTCTATCAATTTCACTAATTACTTTGATTAATTACTCTCATTAATTACTCTCACTAAATACTCATTAATTACCTTCACTAAATCACTCTCAATTAATTACTCTCAATTAATCACTTTCACTAAATCACTCTCATATAATCACCTTTACTAAATCACTTTCACTCCTTGTTTCACCTCCTTTTTTTTTTCCCCCTTCTTATATCTACTTATTTTTCTGCTTTTCTATTATTTTTTTTTGGTTTTTTTTGGTTTTTTTTTTTTTTTTCTCTTTCTTTCTTCCTTCTACAGTAGTATGGACTCTAACCATCCGCCACCTTTCCGTTCATTTTCCACCACGCTGTCTAATTATTCCTTTGGCTCGTCGTCATCATCGACCCCTTCCAGATCCAATCTGTCGGGACCACTCAATTTGAGTAACTTCAACAAACCAAGCAAGCCACAAGATCACTTGTATTACAAATGCGAAACATTAAAGCGTAGACTAATGATGTTGGATGGCATGGAGCCATTAATGAATTTGGCTTTTGCCAAAGCAGAAAAGTTATGTGAGCAGCAATCGCTTAGTTTGGCACAGGAGAGAAACACTACAACAATGGATCGATTATCGATCCAGTCTGGCAGTTCAAACGGAAGTGGATCTCATCGTTATCATGCCACCCACGGCACAAATGTTTATCAGGAGAATTTATTAACTTTTGCTGCTGGTGTATTGCCTGCCAGTATTAGTGTGGACCCAGCAACTCAACTATGGCAATTGTTCCAAGAGGGTGCGTCGTTATGCTTGATATTCAACCATCTCTCGGAGCACACTATTGCTGTTATTTGTTCAGATGATGTAAGGGTGTGCAAAAAGTCGGTTTACGATTTTCTCATTGCGGTTAAAACACACTTGGATTTTGAGGACGATGAGTTGTTTACAATATCAAATGTGTTTTCAGACAGCACTCAGGATTTGCTTAGAATAGTTGCATTTGTCAACAGGCTCTTGGACTTAAACCCAGAGTTTGCTTATGAAGAAGATGATCTCAACTTGGAGGTGCAGATTACAGACGAGCGGTCAAAGGTGTTTAAAGAGATTGTTGACACAGAGAGAAAGTATGTACATGACTTGGAGTTGTTGCTAATGTATAAGAACGAGTTGGTGCAAAAGGATGCGCTAACCTCAGAGCAGATCCATTGTTTGTTCCCCAACTTGAACGAGATTGTCGACTTTCAAAGAAGGTTTCTCAATTCTATGGAGTGCAATATCAACGTGCCTGCGAAATACCAGAGACTCGGGTCCATCTTTATACATGCGAGTTTCGGACCGTTCAAGGCATACGAGCCGTGGACTGTAGGCCAGCCTGCGGCCATTGACTTGATCAATAAGGAGATTGCTAGTTTGCGAAAGGCCTCATCCCTAATCGACCCTGGGTTTGAGTTGCAGTCATACATTTTGAAACCGATCCAAAGGTTGTGCAAGTATCCGCTCTTGTTGAAAGAGTTTATCAAGAATGATCCTTACAGTACCCCCTCAGATGAGTTGCATGTGGCAAGAGCCGCAATGAAGGAAGTGGCAAATCAGGTCAATGAAGCTAGGAGAAGGTCCGAAAACGTAGACTTTCTACACAAGTTGGTGGAGAGGGTGAGCAATTGGAGAGGCTTCAGCTTGAAAGACCAGGGCGAGCTCTTATACCATGGCGTCGTTGGCGTTAAAGACTCTGAAACTGAAAGGGACTATGTTGCATACCTTTTTGAAAAAATCATCTTCTTCTTTGTCGAGGTGGATAAAGCTGCAACAGAAAAGCCAGAAAAGAAGTCGATTTTTAATGGAAGAAAAAAGTCTTCATCTAGCGTATCGCAGTCATCAGCAAGCTTATTGGAGTCGCTCAATGCCAAAAACGATAAAACCCCGCTTGAGCTAAGGGGAAGAGTGTACATACAGGAGATCTACAACATTACTCCCCGTTCATCTAACGGGTACACCTTGGTGATTGCGTGGTCTGGCAAGAGGGAAAGCGGTTCCTTCACCCTAAAGTACCGCTCAGAAGAAACTCGAAACCAGTGGGAACACTGTCTCCGCACTTTAAAGACAAACGAAATGAACGCACACATGAATAAAAAATTACGTGACTCCCAACTGTCCACAAACACAAACGACTCCTCCATATACGACTACATCGGCGGCGCAACAGAGTCGGTGCTGTTTGAACATCACCATTTACGCTCCGCAAACGGGCCGGCGTCTAGACACCACTCTTCTTCGTCCACTCATAGCATGATGCGCAACGGGTCACGTTCAAAGTCTGCCGAGTATATGAGACTATCGTCGTCATCGTCGACGGCATCGTACGGTAATTCCACCACAACAACACCCTTATCACTGGCACCACAATCAACAACATTCGACATCCACATTAGCATGATTTACAACCACACTAAAGTACGCGAGTTGCTCATAGTTAGCTCCCAAATGCTGTTTCACGAGCTATATCTGAAGATCTCGGCAAAGATAGCCGTCAGCGATGTGGTGAGCGAGGATATACTAGTGACCAAATTACGGTACAAGGACGAGGATGGCGACTTTGTCGTGTTGGACTCCAACGATGATTGGAGTTTGGCAGTGGACGAATTAAATGGGAAAAACACAATCACCATATGGGTGTCCTGAGACGACGACTCATATGAGTAATCCACGCAATGTGATTTGCCTCAAGTGTTTTTTTGTTTTTTTTTTATATTTTTATTTTTAGTGGTTTTTTTTTTTTTTTTTTTCTATTGCTTCTCACTTTTCTTTTTTTTTTTTTCCCAGCCTGTACACCATGTTTCGAGTGTTACGCAGAAAGAGTGTATTGGCACTTCTGTACAAAAGTGCTGTATCCAGAGGTATCTGGAAACGGCCCCTTTCTACTCCCCCTCCACCTCTTGCAAGTTGTTCGCCGGAGCAACTCCAAATATTGAACCAGGAGAGGGTGCGGGATGAAGTAGATGTGTGTATAGTGGGAGGAGGCCCCGCGGGGCTAGCCACTGCAATCAAGTTGAAGCAGCTAGATAACCAAAATGGACTGGGAGATATGCGTGTTGTTGTTTTGGAAAAAGCCGCCGACTTTGGTGGCCACACTGTTAGTGGAGCAGTAATAGAACCACAAGCGTTTAGAGAGTTGTTCCCCGACTCTTCTGATCAGGAGGATATCCCACTACCAGAGGATCTTGTGACAAAAGTGACATCTAACCATATGAAGTACCTCACGAAAAAGTCCACATGGCTGTTGCCTGAACCGCCACAGCTATCAAACAAGGGCAACTATATAGTCAGTTTGAACACTGTGGTAAAGTACTTGAGTGAGCAAGCAGAGGAGTTGGGGGTCGAGTTATACTCCGGTGTTGCTGTTAGCGAGGTTCTCTACGATAAAGATGACACTTGTGTTATTGGAGTCGCAACACAGGACATGGGCATAGACTCAAAGGGTAGACCCAAACCATCATTTGAGCGAGGGCTAGAGTTCACTGCACAAACAACTGTTTTTGCAGAAGGGTGCCATGGATCATTGACAAAACAGTTGATTAAACGGTTCAACTTGAGAAAGAACTCTGATCCGCAAACGTATGGATTGGGGATCAAAGAGGTATGGGAGGTCAACCCTGAAAAGTTTAAAAAGGGCTATGTTTCGCACACATTGGGGTATCCATTGACCAAACAGTCGGCCAGCTATGGCGGTGGGTTTATGTACCATTTCGGTAATGGCCTTGTTGCAGTAGGGTTGGTTATCGGATTGGACTATAAAAACCCATACATCTCCCCTTACTTTGAGTTTCAAAAGATGAAACACCATCCGTACTACTCCAATGTGTTGACGGGCGGTAAATGCATAAGCTTTGCTGCACGTACCTTGGTGGAAGGAGGGATCCAGTCGCTTCCCAAGTTGGAGTTCAATGGTGGGCTTCTTGTTGGAGACGGTGCCGGGTTCTTGAATGTGTGCAAGATCAAAGGGACCCACACTGCAATAAGGTCCGGCATCATTGCTGCTAAGTGTATCTACAACAAAAAGCTGGAGCTGGAGCTTGAGTATGAGTCTAAAGTAAAGAGATCCTCCATATATGATGAGTTACACAGTGTGCGGAATGTGCGGCCAAGCTTTAACTCCAAGCTTGGTGTTGTGGGTGGAATGGCCTACTCTGGCTTTACCACCACCATCAAGGGGAAAGAGCCATGGACATTGCAGTTTGGTCACGGCGATGCTGCAGCAACACAAAAAGCTCAACACTATGCTCCAATCGAGTATCCCAAACCAGACGGCGTCCTCTCGTACGATATTGCCACCTCGGTAAGTCGCACTGGTACCATGCACAGAGAAAACCAGCCTAGCCATTTGTATGTGGAGAATCTACAACAACATGCGGAAAAGAGCTGGCCAGCATACAAGGGGGTCGAGGAGAGGTTCTGTCCTGCGGGAGTTTACGAATATGTCGAGGACAAATCAAACCCATTAGGAGTTGAGTTTAGAATCAACTCGCAAAACTGTATCCATTGCAAAACATGCGACATCAAAACTCCTACTCAGGATATTACGTGGAAGGTCCCCGAGGGGGGCGATGGTCCAAACTATTATATGACCTAAGGGGGAAGAAATAAAAAAAAAATAATAAAATAAAAAAAAAAAAAGTATATACATATAATACAAGCAAATATACATGTACATGAAATTTTCATATCTAAAAGAATCGATCCAAATCGGACAAGTTCACATCCTCGGGGGCGCCAATATCGACAAACCCAGATCTAAACCATTTCAAATGCTCTGCATCAAAGCTGATGGATGCTGCTCTGCACGCTGATGCATGGAGCGCAGCACCTCCAGCAGCAGCATCTGCACTATGTAGACTGAAAGCTCTAGATCCGCGCCGCGCAGCTGATGCAACTGTTACTAACAGATCCTCTTCATCCAAATTTTCAACAGAGTCCCTAGTCGTACTCCTGGTTAGTAAGAACCCGGGGGTGGTGGTTGGCACACATAAGTGGAAGTTCTCTATACCTTTGAAACTGGTTGTGGCTGTTAATGATGGTAATGCCGCTGCTGCCGCTGCTGCCGTTGCCGCTGTTGCCGCTGTTGCTGCTGATGTTGCTGTTGCTGCTGTTGCTGCTGCTGCTGGTGTTGCCGCTACCGTTGATTGTTGTGCTGCTCCTGTCGCCATCATTGTGTCCTTTACATTTTCCGTTTCAAAGCTCACCTCTTTCTCAAACTCAACCTTCTTTTCCTTTTCACTCAACTTTCTTGCTTCAGCTTCCCAGCCTGGCGCCAAGAGCCCCCTGTACGCATAAACCATTCGCTTGGGCGAGTTGCTGCTCCATGCACGTGAGATTGCGTATTTTAAAGTTGCATCACCGCGTTCTAATCGCTTGATATACGCATTCATCTTTGCCGAAACAAGGTTTGACACCTTTGTGCTCAAGTTGCTCACGTCTTGCTCAAGATGCTGACAGATCTCCTTCACGGTGATTCCTTCGTTGCTTTCCCAAAGTATCAAGAATATTTGGTATAAAACCTCGTCTTCAAATGCAGGATGGTCCTTTTGCTCGGGTCGCGGTCTTTCTCCTGTGACTGGAATGAATGTGGAAATGTCTGTGGCAATGGGTGCTCGTGAGATGTATTTTGTTTTCTTCTTCTTCCCTTTCGGGGTGGGTGGAGTTGATTCTCTAGTGTCTCTTGTGGATGACAGGTCCACCTTGGAATAGACGTCATCGTCGGAACTCATTATAGCATCTTCTTCTGGTGCAATAGCAATGCTACTAGCGCGTGCTTTAACAGCAAACGTATCCGCATTGAATGTAGGGGCAAGCTTAGTACCCATTGCAAAGAAGGAACAAAAATATAAAAGAAAAAAAAAAGGACAAGGGAACAGGAAGAAGAAGGGATAACAGCGGGATGGGGGGGGGAAGGGGGAGATGTTGGTGGTGGATAGATTCAATGTAGAGTACAAATGCTAGTTCATACCAAAGCGCAACCGGGTGTTTCAAAAATGGAACAAATGATAATTAAATATTTGTTCGCTGTTTAGTATTGCACTCCAGAGAGCGTATGAGATGGGGAAGTAACTTGGTGGAAAGTGGAAAACTAGATAAAGAGATATTGTGTTTGCGATTGAATTTTTCAAGAGAAAAAAAAAAAAAAAAAGAAAAAGAAAAAAGAAAAAAAAAGAGGGACAGAAAGAGAGAGAGGGGGAAGATGGGGGATGAGAGGGAGGGAGAATATGGGGGATGAGAGAGCGGGAAAAGACGGGGGATGAGAGAGAGGGAGCAGATGGGGGATGAGAGAGAGGGAGAAGATGGGGGATGAGAAAATGAGAGAGAATGGAATTAATAATGGGCATCTAGTTGTCTCGTTGGTTGGTCTTCTAAGCTACTAATATATATAAAAATGCATCTCTTTTAGCACACACTCTCCTTTCTCCTTTCTCAGGCTCACGTGCTGATAAAAGGGTATTTGGTATCCAGTATCTGGTATCTAGTAGACACCACCTATAGAGTAGTAGATAAATAGAGTTTACGTATCACTGACCATCATCTACCCCACTGCACTCAGTGTTGGGGTCTACTAAGTTCAACTTTTCTTTTCCACCTTAGGGCTCCAACCACTAGGTTAATATTTTTCGCACCAAAACATATATAAAATCAATTGACTTTAAAAAAAAAATAGAAAAAGATAAACCCACCAAAAAAAAAGAAAAGTGCTTCTAACAAAAGTGCCTAACAAAAGTGCCTAACAAAAAAGCCCACCAAAAAAGCCCCCTATTGCATGGATGTTGATGGGAATCACGTTTTGAGTAAGGATATTGCTTCCTCTATGAGCTTCCAATCTTCTCTCCAATACTCGTCCTTATATGGATTAGAAAAAGTCTTGGCGTTTGGTGGAACAAACCAGTAGTTGACGGCAATGTGCACATCCTCGCGGCCTCCGTTAAAGCTCGACACTTCATGAAACCAGCCGGCAGGTAAATACAACATTTGACCCTCTTCTAACCACACTTCCATCTTATTCAATTGTAGAATGCCCGGGAAATACTTTTCTGCAAACACTTTCACATGCTCTTTTGTCTCGGTGTCCATTGACTCCAAGTGAAGAAGCGCAGGAGGCACTTTGGAGAAGCTTGGTGGCTCTACTACATTGGTGCTAGATGACAGGATAATCTCTTGGTCTTCTTCATTATCGACCTCCTCACCCTTCCATCTCGAAACGTCAGCAACAATTGCACCGTCATCGCGTATAGAATTCCATTTGGGTGCTGCCTCGTTTCTCTCATAGTCAATTACACCATTCTCAAAGACCTTGTGGATCTTTCCAAAGGTGTACAACTTTGTTGCATCTGCTGGACTATAAAGCGTAAACTTTTTGTGTCCTTGAACTTGTATGTAGAGATTGTCGGCATGGTCATGGTGCAACCCGGAACTCGATCCGTGCATTGGAACTTGTCTTCCCAAGTGTGTCAAGGGACGTGTAGTATCAACAGTAAACTCTGTAGGTCTGGTTCTCCCCATCCACAAGTTGATTTGTTGCGGAATCAAGGTGGGGATGAGTCGAGGGTGTAGTGGAAGAGTCGTGGTATCAGTGAGATTTGTCAATGGTGCTTGGTACAAATCTTCAACTCTGGCCGCTGCTTCTGCTTCTTTCACCTCTCCATTAATCATCTCCTCAAAATCATCATGGATGTTGCTGACATTCATTGACAATGCCGAAGGCGAATCTGAATCTGAATCTGTGTCTGAATCTGTGTCTGATCCAAATGGCTTTTCATGTCGTTCGAGCTGTTCATACTGCGTGGTTAAGTAATAGTCGTCCTCTCCTCTCTGCAACCTTTCCACCAACTCATTAAACGTCATATAAACTCTCTCCTGCGAAGACCCAAATCCTCCGTCACAGCTTCTTTCCACTTGCAACTCGTCCTCGTCGTCATCCCATTTCAATGTGCTCACAATGTTTGCCAACTTGAGCCTGTCTAATAAAACCAAACGTTCCCCCACCACCTTAACAGGTTGTCTGTTACTGATAAACTTGTCAAAAAAATCCTCTCCTGAGATTGTGCTGCCATCGACTGTCACAATCTGGGTTCCTGGGGCCAATGTATACCCTTGGTACTCATTGATCTCCGTTACCGGTGTCTTATCATCACCATCAGTATCAGTCATTGCTTACATTACGAAAAGAATTAACTTCTCTTCTCACTTAATTTTTTTTTCTATTTGTACTTACAGAAAAAAAAAAAAAAAAAAAAAAAAAAAAAAAAAAAAAAAAAAAAAAAAAAAAAAAAAAAAAAAAAAAAAAAAAAAAAAAAAAAAAAAAAAAAAAAAAAAAAAAAAAAAAAAAAAAAAAAAAAAAAAAAAAAAAAAAAAAAAAAAAAAAAAAAAAAAAAAAAAAAAAAAAAAAAAAAAAAAAAAAAAAAAAAAAAAAAAAAAAAAAAAAAAAAAAAAAAAAAAAAAAAAAAAAAAAAAAAAAAAAAAAAAAAAAAAAAAAAAAAAAAAAAAAAAAAAAAAAAAAAAAAAAAAAAAAAAAAAAAAAAAAAAAAAAAAAAAAAAAAAAAAAAAAAAAAAAAAAAAAAAAAAAAAAAAAAAAAAAAAAAAAAAAAAAAAAAAAAAAAAAAAAAAAAAAAAAAAAAAAAAAAAAAAAAAAAAAAAAAAAAAAAAAAAAAAAAAAAAAAAAAAAAAAAAAAAAAAAAAAAAAAAAAAAAAAAAAAAAAAAAAAAAAAAAAAAAAAAAAAAAAAAAAAAAAAAAAAAAAAAAAAAAAAAAAAAAAAAAAAAAAAAAAAAAAAAAAAAAAAAAAAAAAAAAAAAAAAAAAAAAAAAAAAAAAAAAAAAAAAAAAAAAAAAAAAAAAAAAAAAAAAAAAAAAAAAAAAAAAAAAAAAAAAAAAAAAAAAAAAAAAAAAAAAAAAAAAAATTCCTTCCATAAATTTTTTTTTTTTATATTAGAAACAAGAAAAAAAAAAAAAAAAAAAAAAAAAAAAAAAACATAGAAACAAAACAAGAATCATTAATCAATAATCAAATAGTCTTCAAGTGAGCTCACTTCTCGGTTTATCTGAGTTGTATAATTACTAATTTATCCACTATACGTGTTTCATCAAGAACTTTCACCACGTTCTTCTATACATAGCCAATGGTGCAGAGTACACTATGATGGGCCACACTTGCATAGGTATGTAGTGTAATTCTGAAACTCTCATGCGCATCTAAAATATGCTACAATTAAATTACTCTCTCTTATCCCCTGTTTTTTTCTTCTTCTCTATTTTTTTTTTTTTCTTACTACCAATAATACTATCCTTCTGCTGCTCCCCCCTCCCCCCCTTAACCCCATGGGTGGTGTGATTACTGAAGAGAGTTTTTTTTAGTCAATTGTGTTTTTTCCAATTTCAGGTTCTTACGAAGAAAAAACAAAAGGGAAACAACCATTAAGACATTCTAATCAATAGAATCTTTTTTTTATTTTTTTTTTTTATTTTTTTTTTTAATTATTTTTATTCTATTTCCTCTATACAACTTCTTCTTCTTTTCACAACAATACTTTGCGATTCCAACTCCTCGCGCCTTTTTCTTTCTGGGTTCCCTAAAGGACTTGGGCCAGGAGTTCTAGGCATGGCCATTCTAGGGGTTCTTGGCATATTTCTTTGATGAATAGGTTGGTGCGAGTATTTCTTTTGTAAACTATTTGGTACACTCAAAAACCGAATGTTTCTAAATACTTGCTGGAAACTCTCAATGCTCAATGGGGCGGTTGAGTAGAAGTTGTAAAATTGTAGAATATACATCAAATTTATTGGGAGCTTCAACTGCGAAATGCTTGACATTGTAGCCAAAATCGCAACTTGCGATGATGTATAGTCAAAGTATATATTTGGGTAGAATTGGAATAGTTCGCCAAGATAATAAGCAGAAACCTTGATCTTGTGGTAGGACGTCTTGATGATTTGTGCGTTTGTGTCGTCAAGAGAGGTGAGCAAATTGAGGAATAAATCCACAAATGAATCACATGTGGGGCTGTAAACAACCCAGTCCAACGACTTTAATATGTGTTTCTCCATCTCCATGAATAAGCCTTTGGAGTAGCCACCAACGCAAATTTTACTCAAATCGTCCAACGAAGGCACCTTATGCTTTGAGTCGAGATTCTTGCAGCAAATCCATAAACACGTAAGCCCCAACAATTGGTAATGTTGCTTCTTGATAATCCTCGTTGAGCAATAACGGTCAATCAAATTGACTGTAAAGGGGAACGTGGATCTCGAGAGATTGAGGATGGTGATCACTTCCAATAAAAAATCAAGGAGCAAAGGTCTCATGCTCAATCTGATCTCGGGCTGCTGCTCTATCAACGCCAAGCATGGTAACGTACTAATCTCCACTGAAAGCAAATGTTCCAACTGGTCCAATTGATATTCATCAATGGATTCCTTGTGTGCACTATGTTCCATCTGTTGCACCATGTAATGAGAAGCTTTCCTTTGCGATTCTGAAACTCTAACCTGGAGGAAGGAATCGGGTGAATTAGCCATGATGATATTGAGGATGATAATGTGTGTAGTTCGTTGTGTGGGGGAACGGGGGAAGGATGTTTTTTTATATACTTATTCTAATGTTGTAAAAAAAAAAAACAAAAAAAAAAAAAAGAAAAGGAATATAAAAGCTAAAAATGTATATATAAAAAAAAGAAGAACAAAATTTGGTTGTAAAAAAGATTTCAATGTAATAGTAGCCAGTACTATAGGGAGGACGATTGATAAATGCAAATAACTCGTAGAAGATAACGTTGAATGAGTGTGTGCTCTCTGTATCTTTCTCTCTCTCTCTCTTTTTTTTTTCTCTTTTCTTTTTCTTTTAGTGTACTCAACAAGTGGAAAACAAAAGAGTGGACAAAGAGAGTTATGGCAGTAGTGAGCAGCGTGAAGTCAGGAAAGCAAGATGGTTGGCAGACAACAACGGGTATCAAGATACAGGTGTTTAGTTAAGCTAGTTAAAGCAACTGAGTATAGTTAGTAGTAGTTGTTGTTGTTGTTGTTGTAATGGTAGTGGCAGTAAGCAGCAGTAATAGCAACAGTTGATACTATAGGCAATACAATAATGTTCAATGATTAAGATTGGGAAAAAAGTTTATCGAAAAACCTAGGAAATTTGTAATGATATATATATTGAAACTCCTTAATTAAAGGAGACATTATGTGTTGTTCTGCTTTACCCGGTGTCGTTGTCGCTGCCGTCGTCGTCGCCGCTCTCATTGTGTAACTTTTCACCAATAATTTTTCTTTAATATCTTCTGAGTTGGACATTGAGATTTCTTTTTTATTAATTTTCTCACTTTCTGTCTCTGTCTTTTTCTCATTTTCTCTGTCTTTTTTTCATTTTCTCTGTCTTTTTTTTAATTACTTTGTTATTTTGTGTCCAACGATTGACAATAAAAAAAAAAAAAAAAAAACATTATTTGGTGTCTTCCGCATCTTATTGATCACAAAATGGGGAAAGGGAGGTAGAGAGGAAAAGAAATAAAGTGCTGAAATTATTGGAGATAACTCCCGATACTCATAGATATTAACCATATGTGCTAATTGCTATTATAGGTGTACGATGCTGCCTTTAAATGAAGACAACTTGTAAGGCAAGATCACAAGGGAGGGAAAAATAGAAGAATCAGGGAGAGAGTGTCTCTGAAAGAGTGTCTTTGAGAGATTGTCTCTAAGAGATTGTCTCTGAGAGAGTATTTGTGAGTTTGGGAGTTTGTTTGTGACGACGACAACGGCAACGATGGTATCTAATCTTTGTGCAATAACTACAACGCTCTAAATGAAAGTGCCTCAGCAAACCGACTAACAAAGAATGATATTTTATTTTTTTTTTTGGTTTTTTTTTTTTTTTAATTATTCTTCTTTTCTCTATAAAGTAAATCTCTTTTGTATCTTGTCGTTGACTGTTGGTGGGATCAACTAAATAGTAGATGACGTTACTTATCAACATCCCCTGGAACCATTGTTGTTTCATTTTTTTATATACACCAAAAGAGATATCCATGAGCTAAGATGATTCATGATGAGCTATTGACCAAGTATGGTATGGACTATAGCCATATTTCCATGTTTCTTCCTTTTTTTTTTTTTTTTTTCTCCAATGTGATCCCCTATATTTATCCCTCCGATCCTCCTTTTCCTTCTCCTTCAGCTTCTCCTCCCTTCCCTTTCCATTCTTGGTTTTTTTTCCGCTTCTCCCCCTTGAAATTTTATTTTGTGTCGGAGCATAGTAGTAGACAGACAACGACTTTTTTTTTTTTTTTTCTTTCTTTCTTTTTCATATTGTTAAGCTGTTTTAACTTTCTTGCTATTGACTCCACAAAATCTATATGTACTTTGCAAAAACGGTAAAAATGGTTTGTAGCAATTGGCTAAATGGTTAGCAGTAATGAACGGGTTTGACATTTTTAATAATGATGCAGAGATAACGAAACTGATGAAATCAGCCAATTTCGATGTAAAGGGGAATATTCTCAAGTAAGAAGAACAAAAAAAAAAGAATGGATTTAACTGCCCTTTCTTCTCTACAGGAATGGTGAAGTAATCACGAGTCGAATCACATTCTCCTTTCAAAGCAGCTCGTCTATAGGAAGAGACACAAGTGAGACACACAGAATGGTATTTCAAATGAAGCTCTTTTTCTTTAAACACTATTTCTGTTTTCATTGGATAAGCTCCCCGCTTAACAGTCCCTTATTCTGATTGGCTTTAGTATATGGTTCTTCTTCTTCCTCCTCCTTTTTTATTTTTTGTTTTTTCTTTTCTGGATGTTGTTCTTCTTTTCTTATTTTTCTTAGCAAGATCTATTTACTCAAATTGGTGAGTCTTTAATTTTCTCAGCTACCAAGAAAGGGGGAGGAGAGGAGAGAGGAGAGAGGTATAAGGGCAACTAATCCCCGTGCCGCAAATCAACTAAAAGAGAGAAGGTATATACTCTGGAAAGTGTACGCTTTGGAAGTTAGAGAAAACTCTTTTTAGAGGTGTACGTTTTGGTTGTGCTTTTTGTTTCCTCTAATTGATTATTATTATTATTTTTTTTCTTTTTTTGGCTTTTTCCCCGTCAAGAAAGCGGAATGATTATTATAACTTTCTAGAAATTCAAAACCTAGTAAATAACCACTATCACAAGCTATCTTTCTCTATTTTGCGCATCTATATCACCTGGCGCATCTCCCCCTTTCAATTCGTAAAAAACCAAAAAATGAACAATCAGTACAGCATACATGAAGTATATAATTTGGAGGACTTAAAAAGAGAATGGCGCTCTTTATATGTGAGTAGCGCCTGATTCTGGGAGGAGAAAAAAAAAAAAAAAAAAAAAAAAAAAAAAAAAAAAAACAAAAAAAAAAAACAAAGATAAAAAAAACAAAAAAACAATGTCACTTCCAGTTTAATTTACTCTTATTTAACTTCTCTCTTCATCGAATTCCCCTCTTTCATCCCCANTCTTTTAAAATGAAGATGTTCAGGTATGGAATGACTGAAAACAAAAAAAAAAAAAAAAAAAAAAAGATTGCCGCATCATTAATAGCACACACAGACACTACACACTAAACAGTACACACTAAATAGTACACACTAAATAGTACACACTAAATAGTACACGCTAGACACTACACGGTAGACAGTACACGCTAGACACTACACACACGACTTGTGACGTACATACTATGAGCCTATTGTTGATCCTTAAAATTAGATCCGTGTAGCGCCATAGTCTACAAACAATCAAACCACTGTATGCTTTCATCAAAGATGTGTTCTCTCGGGGATTAGAAGTTTAACTAAAAGGAGGGAGAGGGTACAGAGGTGGTGATGGAAGAGGACAGGAGTAGGAACAATAGAACAATGACGGAGGACTTAATTCACCATTGGGCAACTACTAGCGAGAGGAAGGTTGCACCTCGGCAATGGCACACGGGTTTGAAAGATTACACTTGGATCGAGTTCCACCTGATCTTTCCCACGTTTCATCATTATGTTTTGATCTCTGGTGTATTCTTCTTTTTTGTTTTCTCATAACACTTGAACAGTTCTAGTTGTCGTCTCCAGTGAGATAGTGTCAGTGTTTCATGCCAATTTGACAAAATCAGATAAATTGAGTAGATCTTTGGTTTTTTTTGTCCCAAAAGAGGATAATTGCTTAACTGTCGGAGGACCTTAACTAGTAGCAACTTATAATCTTTTTTTGTCTCTATTTTTTTTTTAGAGAAAATTTTTTTTTTCGACACAAAGCATTTTTTATTGAAAGATGGTGAATATGGAGGAGCTCTGTCAACGCCAGAGAAAGGAGCTCAGGGATTTGGTCAATACCATCACTGGGTTAAAGAAACAGGCTACGAAAAAGACGCGAAAAGGTGTGCTTTCGAAATGCCAGGAGTTGGAAGACAACTTAAAGAGAAAACATGCGGAGGAAATGGCTCTACTAAATGGAGATGAGCAAGCGGTGACAGAGGTGGAGGTAACGCCGGAAACACTACTTGCCCAAGTATCACTTGAAGAGAATGAAAATAAGGATAATGAGGAGCCGCCTTTATCCAAACCCAAACGGCGAAACAGACAGAAGGAGCGTCTTGCAATACGCAAAGCCGAAACAGAACGCATCCGAAACGAGGCAAAGAATGAGGCCGCAAATAGTATAGACTATAGGCAAATTGAGATGGACTCAATGAACCAACTTTTAAGTCTTCATGGGTTGTCCTTGTATGAAATCAAACCGGACGGCCATTGTCTTTTCGCAGCAATTGCAGATCAGCTTTTGCAGCGACGCGGCATTACAAAAACAGTCCAGCAGTTGAGGGATTTGGCTGCAGACTACATCTTATCGCACAAGGACGACTTTATCCCTTACCTTTTCGATGAAGTCACCAATACAATGAGAGATGTCACAGATTACTGCCAGGAGTTGAGAGCAACAGCAATGTGGGGGTCAGACATGGAGGTGCTAGCTTTGGCAAGAGTGTTTGACTGCTGTATAAGCATCTATATGGCAGGGGCATCTACTATACGGATCAACGAAGACGCAAAGGACGAGCCAGAGCTCATGTTGGGCTACTACAAGCACTCATACGGATTGGGTGAGCACTACAACTCCTTACGTGATGCATCTTCTACACTGTAGTGATAGTTTGTTTCCTCTCCTGCCGCCTGTGTCTTTCCCTCCAATTATACTTGTAATTGAAACATCACTATTTTCTTTTTTTTTTCTCACACAACTTAAATTGTCGCGCAGATTTAGATCTCGTATATATCGCCTATATGCAGTCTACAAGCAGACACAATGTCTCAAACATAAAAAATTGAGCCCCTTCACGCGTATATTCGTAGTCAGGACAACTTGACATTAGCTGTCCCCCCACTGACTACCCATGACAACCAAATAGAGCCATGGCAATGAGGCATATCTGTCAGAGTCCACTCCATTACATCACCTGAGCCTTTATCTTGCGCCTCCTTTTGGTTTCATCTTATTTAGTTTCATCTCAATTAGACTCCTTTAATTAGTTCCCACTTGTTGTATTTTTTTTTGCACTAATTTGAGAAAAAAATGTCTAAAGTGTGAAAACCAAAAAAAAAAAAAAAAAAAAAAAAAAAGTAAAAATTTAAAAAAAAANAAAAAAAAAAAAAAAAAAAAAAAAAAAAAAAAAAAAAAAAAAAAAAAAAAAAATGTCTGAATTTTAAAAAGGAGAGAGAGAGAGAGGGAGGAAAAAAAAAAAAAAAAAGAAAAGTGGCTGGTTATCAGGGGATGAGAATTCTCATTCCAATTAAGAATGAGTGCTTTTATTTTAAAAATAGCACCCGGTAAAAGTCATTTCCTTTGAGATCAAGATAAAGCCTTCAAATAATATTTACCTCCAACCTCTGTAGAACTAACACGTACGCCTTTTCTATTTAGATGCACCTTGTAGAAGTATCTACTTTGGGTAAGCCCACTTTCCCAGTAGAAGCCCTTGCCTTTTGAAATAGTGTAGGTGCCACTAAGATGAAGAGTTTCATCTTAAAAGTTTTCTTTTTCCCTTTGATCCGCACGTGCACCTACTTTTCCAACTGCGAATCATCTCTCTTATTTTTTGAATACTTTTTTTTTTTTTCCTTCTTTTTCTCCTCTTCCCAGATTAATCTTTTTTTCTTCTACAATGGGATGGTTTTGGGCAAACACTAACAAAACGATCCCGATCCCAGCAGCAGTAGAGGGATGCCCTGTAGACCACTCTTTTTTGAAAGCGACATGTCCTGTGACATCATCGAACAATGAGCTAAACCCTTTAAATAATATGCCCATGGGTATTTCGAGCGAACATGCACCAGGCCAAAAGATCCGCTTACCCACCGAACGAACTATATCTAGCATCCCGCGAGGCGAGTCGCAAGACCAAGGGTTATGGGAGTACCCATCACCACAGCAAATGTTGAATGCAATGTTGGCCAAGGGAAAAGGAGATGGCATACCTGAAGACGCAGTTGAGTCCATGGTGGAAGTGCACAATTTCTTAAACGAAGGCGCATGGCAACAAATATTGGAGTGGGAGGATAAGTATACTAAGGAAACAAAGATTGAGCCTAGGTTGAAGAAGTTTACCGGAAAGCCTCATGACTTGTCACCCAAGGCAAGAATGTATCTATGGTTGGGTAGTGTTTTCCCCAATACTTTCAACACAACGCCACCATTTGACAGGCACGACTGGACAGTGTTGAGAAGTTGCGGAAAGAACCAAGGATGGAAGGAGGTGAGGTACATTATTGATTATTACGGGGCGCCGGATGATGAGGAGACGGGAATGCCTTCATTTGTGTTGGACACGCGGCCGGCATTGGACAGTGCAGAGAGTCTACGAGACAGAATAGTTACTTTTGCAAAGCCGGTATGGCACAAAGCAATGGGGGATGATGTAGTAGAAAGGATATAGTATATACAAGTTTTTTTTTTTTTTTGGTTTTTTCTTTTTCCTTCTTATACAAGGGTTGCATTGATTTGACTCAAGAGTTTACTCAACTGTTCACCATACTCGTTTAGAGGAGTTTTTGCCAAATCACCAAGAAGCATACGAATCACATCTTTGTTTGCCCTTTTGCCAAAATGGTCAAACAAGAAGTAGTAGGTGTATCTATTTGGGGAGGCACTAGTTTGTAATTTGAGTTTCTCATAATACTCTAGGGCCAACTTGTCATTACGCGGTAGCAAGTTCTTGATCATTGTGTTCCAAATGATTGTATCGTTTCTGATTTCCTTCAAGTAGTGGAGAAAGATTGCTTCTGCAGTGGTAATATCACCAAGGGTCAACTCTGCAGTCAACATGTTACTATGGATCCATGCGGATCTGGGGTACCGCAAATGCAACACACGGTACAATTCTCTTGCCGCTTGGATGTTTGCAGATTGAATCAACCCATTAAGCACAGAGGAGAAAGTGTAGTCATTCAACTTTGTGGCAGACCCCTTTAAACTGTTTAAGAAAACGGCGAGGTTGGGACTTCTTCCCTTTTCAACAAGAGCACTGACATATGCATTGGTTATGGTTGTCAATGTTGATACATTTTCGGGAATTTTGTTTTGTTGCATAAAGTCGTTGATGGCAAAGATGGCATTATAGTTTTTCCTTTTTGCATAGTAGTTGAGGAAGTCGTTCATCAAATTTGTTTTTGGCCTGTACCCATCCTTCTCGTTGACATACTCTTTCAACTTGGACTCTGCGTCTTTGATCCTTCCGTTGAATATCAATCCTCTTAGTATTCCATCTTTGGCAGTGCTGGTGATTCCTAGTTTGTCGTACTTTTTAGCGTACTCTTCTGCCACATCGAATTTGTCGGCTATGGCGTACGAGCTGATGATGGCACCCAAGGTCTCAGCGTTAAAGTCTAGTTTGCTTGCCTTGATGGTAGCGAGTGTTCTTTCAAACGCCTTGATAAACTCTTTTCTTTGCTCAGTGGATGCACGCAGGAACCTATTGGGGTTTATCATACCGCGAAGAACCACGTTCCATGCTCCGATGGAAGGAGCAATGCCTGAGTTGATGATGTTCTGAAACATACTGAACACCTCGTCGTACTCGTCGAGGTAGAAATAGCTTTCCATAAATTGAACCAATATCCTCTCTTCGATCTTCAAGTCACGTTGCTTTGATATCTCGACAATCTCAGCATAGAGATTATCGAGCGATCTTTTATCAGAGGCATTGTGAATCCTAGTGATCATGCTAGAAGAGTTGGGGTCTATCTTCTGTTTTCTATCTTCCTCCAAGTAGTTTACAAATCGGCCAAACTCGGTTCGGGAAAAGATATTGTTTTGCTCTAAAGTGACACGAACTTGTTGGTACGTGGGGACCCTATCTCTCATCAAGAACTTTGTAGCGGTGTCTCTGTCGAAGGCCACTCCTTGCTGCAAACACGATAACACATATGCATAGTATGCAAGGTTAGTGAAGTAGAATGGCTGGTAGTTGATTGGCTTTTTGGTGAGCGATTCAGCAGCAGGAAAGTACACTTGATTAGCACTTTTATACTCAATATACTTGACCCATAGTTGTATCACTTTGTCAAGATTCAGCAGTGGTATAGAGGGCTCGTGCCTGAGCCATGATGCGGCAAGCTCGGTGAAGTGGTATGGATGTGCAATACGATGCTCAATGAAAAACTCGACGAGCAGTTCCAAATCAGCTTCGTTTTTGGACTTGACCATTTCAAATAGCTCGGTAGCTAATGGTGTAAATGCATTAGCTAGACTCTGTTCCGATATAAACTCTTGTTTCTGAACTTGGTTTAGAAAAGTGATTCCCTCTTCAATGATATTTTTTATTTCCTTTGTATCATTGGAGACTAGAGTTTGTTGGATTTGGTCAGTGATATCTTTCAACTTCTGATTGACATGAGTACTTTTCTTCGTAGTAGCTGTCTGTGAAGCTGCGGCCCTAAACACAATACCACTACGTCCAACATAGTGCCTCGCCTGTCTCCTCAACCCCTGACCGAGAATATATCTGCACGGTATCATTTGGTATTGGGAAAGGAAAACGGAAAAGAGTTTGTTCTTCTTTTTTTTTTTTTTTTTTTCCCACTAATGGTGAGAGAAATAGAAAGTTTATTGGTGGTGGTGATGGTGATGCAATCTGTATTTGCTATACAAACTATATACACTATGTTAGTACTATTCCTTACAATCACTGCAGATATCAGATAGAAGTATAAAAAAAAAAACAGGTTTTTATCATAAACAAAATATCAATTGAGCTGGGTTTATGGTATGGAGTCTATCGACTCTGTATCATCATAGAAAGCGCAGTGTAAACTTGGAGACATACTTGGAGGAGGATAGACTTAGTGGAACCCACTAAAGAGAAAAGAAGAAGTAATGAGAAAATGAAAAAAAGAAAAAAAATTTTTTTTTTTCTCTCTTTTTTGTTTTCTTTTTTTTCTCTTGATCTATTATGAACCATGTTGATGAGAAGTACCAGCTTTCAACACCACTTGTGTTTTTTAACCACCACGAGTATTTGGTGCTGAAAGGAACACCTTCATTGGTGGTGAACCATTTCCCCAATATATATGCAGATGCGCCATTGCATACCAGGGTAATAAGAATCCCGCGGTGGTATTGCAATGAGTATTCAGATTTGATACCTCAGTTTTCAACTGTATACCCCGGAGACGAGGAAGGGGCAATTAATGGTGGAGATGCGGTGGGAAACTACGACTTGAACAAATTTGGCGTCACTTCTAAAGTTTTGGGATTGGATCTGGTTATAAGTAAGGACGAGCTTTATAAGGTAGTGCTTGAGATTAACAATATTCTAAGCGAAGCGTTTACGCCATACTCATTGTGCACTGCAGTGGAGAATATCTTGGATATACTAACGGGCGGGATGTCCACTCTTGTATGGAACCATATTGGTGGCACACATACAAACAGAACTCTACGGAAACTAGATACATTGATTGATGAGCAGAACAAACATTTCAAGGAAGCAGGTATCGACTTGGTTGTAGTTTCACCACAAACAACCGGGTACTTATCAGTATGTATGAGGAGTAATAGCAGGGAGTCACTAAAGCGTTACTAACAGTTGAACACAGCTAGATATAGTAATTCCCAAACCATAATCACTCTCATCTCACTCTATTTTTTTCATTTTTTTCTCATCTCTCTTTTTTTCCCTCTTTTTCTCTTTTCTTCCCTCCCTCAATGAATGGGGTTTTTGCAATATACAAGCCTGCTGGAAAGAGCTCGGCCAAGTTCATTGCCGAGATCCAAGAGCTCTTTACCAAGTCTGGGGTATTTGCTAGCGACTTGAAGTTGATGAGAGAGAAAATAGAGTATGATCTCAGCCGCGATAGGAAATGGAAACATCGTGCACAACAAAAAGCCAAGGCTGCAAAGATCAAGATTGGACATGGAGGAACGTTGGACCCCATGGCAAGTGGCGTGCTTGTTGTTGGAGTTGGGCTGGGAACAAAGAAACTACAATACTATTTGTCTGAATGTCAAAAGACGTACGAGACAAAGGCATTGCTAGGAATGTCCACCACTACAGGCGACTCCGAGGGAGAAATCCTTACTCAAAACGAAATCCAGCATATCACGCCGGAGTTGGTGAAACTGACAGTGAAGAGATTTGTGGGCGAGATCAAGCAAACGCCTCCTATATTCTCTGCATTGAAAGTGAATGGCAAACCATTGTACGAGTATGCAAGAGAAGGGTTGCCGTTGCCTAAACAGATCAAGGTGAGAGATGTCAAAGTAAATAGTATCCAGGTCATTGACGACGACTTGCTAAGTACCAATCACGAGTTTGTCAAGCTTGAAAGTGAATTGGACGAGAACGGTGTGCCGAAAGAGCATGCGTTGAAGAACAACCCTACACTAAACGACTCTCCATTGTACTTTGCAGACAAGGATGCAGTGGTGCCAAAGCCACGGCTATTGCCAGAGGGGGAACTGCTTCCGCAAAAGTTACCCTTGCTTCACCTTATAGCAGATGTATCATCTGGAACTTATATAAGAAGTCTCATTAGTGATATTGGACGAGCTATGCAATCGTCGGCATACATGGTAGAGCTTATTCGAACCAAGCAATCCGAATGGGAACTCGATAAAAACGTTTTCACAATACAAGACTTTCACAAGGAGGAGAGTGTATGGGGTCCCGTATTGAAAAAAGTATTGGATCAAGGTGGTGCAAACATTGACTTGGAAAGGGAGCTTGCAGGAAGAAAGAGAACCATCGATAAGGTAGAATAAAGGAAAAAAAAAAAAAAAAAAAATAGCTTTTTTTATTTCATTTCTTTCACATTATTATGTTCCGTAAATTTGCACGTTTCAGCAGTACAAAGTCGTATGCTCGATGTATAATCAACCCCACAGATTACCGATTGGTGGTGCCGCCACCACTACGTACAAGCTTCTCTGTTGAATCTGTGGTTTTATTCTCGACACCGAATAACCTTGCGCAGGTTATTCAAGACTCTATTGCATTGCACAGGGAGAGTGACCTTCAAGTTGTTGTTGCTGGTATAGATACTGTTTTGCACAGTAGAAACGGGGTGAGCGAGCTTTGGCTAGACCATAAAGTGAAGATCCATAGTTCAGTATTACTTGAAGAGGCAAACACACGCAATTGGAGAAACATCAGCGGGAGTATTGGCTTGAATTTGAGACACGAAATGAATATGAAAATGAGTGTTGCAAATACCATTTTTTCCACAGGGTCACTGGTCACGTTATTCTATCTCGATTCAAATGGAGGGCCCTCCGGACTGGGGCCCGCCCATTCTGGTGAGCACTTGTCCAGCCTCGTGGTGGACCTTCCGCGAGGCGTTGTACCACTGCATGCCAAAGCCACTGTGCTCGATAATTGGGTTCCACTTTTTCCGCGCAGTTTCAAGATTACTAGTTGCATTGGGAACTTGTTGAAAACAGTTGAAAAAGCACCTGCTGCACAATACTTAGAGGAGAGTGAAAAGTTGATGGCTTTGAAAAGCAAAGAGACTCAGGTATTTGTAAGGATATGTAATACTGGGGAAAGGTTCAAGGTGGTTGCAGGGGGAGGAGGCTGGGGAGCAAAAGCTGGCATTCTTGCATTATCTCCTGAGGCAGCACCCAAAGTAGGTGACGAGATTGAGTTTTATATGGTGCCAGAGAACAATCATCTGGAGCAAAAGCAGCAAGAGCAGCACCACCGACACCGACACCATCACCACATGATATTCACCAGTAGCTATGAGGAAAAATCCTACTCGCCAGCATCCACATCCGAGCAAGTTCTCGAAAACGTACTTGCGTGTGGCTCGGAGCAAGGTTTTTTTTTCAACGCGATAAAACACCACTCACCAGGGGAAATGGTTGTAATAAAATTGTAATTGGTACACATGTACAAAAATTCTAGTTCCTCTCTCTTCAATGACAATAACACAATATATCCAAGGCGATCTATTTACGTCTACGGACTCAGAGGGGCAGGTGGTATTAGCACATGCGTGCAATACACAAGGGAGTTGGGGCGGCGGCATTGCTGCAGTATTCAAGAAGAAGTACCCGATGGCTTTCAAACAGTATAATGAGCATTGCAATAGTCACACCGATTTGTTGGGAACAGCTCTACTTGTTGAGGAGAGCGGCACTTCCATTGCGTGTTTATTCACCAGCGACTTTACTCAAACACCGCACCAGATTGTGAAGCACACCGAAAACGCATTGAGAGATCTTTTTAACCAAGTGGGCCATTGTAAAGTGAACATCCCCAAGATCAACTCGGGAATTTTCAATGTACCTTGGGAACTCACCGAGGCAGTGCTTATCAACAGCGAGCTAGAGTTTAATGTGTATATCTGGTAAGAGGTAGTGTCCAAAACAATTCATCCAAGTGCCACCCAAAGAAACGAAAAATATAATAAAAGAAACATTATCTCTTTTCCTCATTCTTTTTTTGCTCTACAACAACATGGACGAAACGTTAATTGCCACTATTAATAAGTTGCAGGATGCATTGGCGCCTCTTGGAGGAGGGTCGTCGTCACCTGTTGACTTGCCCCAGATCACCGTTGTAGGGTCGCAATCATCAGGTAAATCATCCGTTTTGGAAAACATTGTTGGTCGAGATTTTTTACCCAGAGGTACAGGAATCGTTACTAGGAGACCGTTGGTGTTGCAGCTTACCAATAGACGAGCCAGTGTAAAGAAGGAGGGCCAAAGGGACTTGGTTGACGTTAATTCCAGTGAGAATCGCGGTGGGCAGACAGAAAACAATATAGACGAATGGGGGGAGTTTTTGCACTTGCCAGGCAAAAAGTTTTACAATTTCGAAGATATCAGAAACGAGATTGTTCGTGAGACTGATGCGAAAACAGGAAAGAATTTGGGGATCTCGCACGTGCCCATCAACTTGAGGATCTATTCTCCACATGTATTGACCTTGACGTTGGTTGATTTGCCTGGTCTCACCAAGGTGCCTGTTGGCGATCAGCCAAAGGACATAGAGCGTCAGATTAGAGATATGATTATGAAGTTCATCTCGAAACCCAATGCCATCATTCTCAGTGTGAATGCGGCCAACACGGATTTGGCCAACTCTGATGGATTGAAGTTGGCTAGAGAAGTGGATCCAGAAGGGTCGAGGACTATTGGTGTGTTGACAAAAGTGGACCTTATGGACCAAGGCACGGATGTGATTGATATATTAGCAGGAAGAGTGATTCCCTTGAGGTTTGGATATGTTCCTGTTATCAACAGAGGTCAAAAGGATATTGAAACAAAGAAAACTATCAGACAAGCTTTACTTAATGAACAAACCTTTTTCGAGAACCACCCTTCGTACCGAGCTAAAGCGCAGTTCTGTGGTACTCCCTACTTGGCCAAGAAGTTGAACGGGATCTTGATGCACCATATCAAGAGCACATTGCCCGAGATCAAGATGAGAATCGACCATTCGTTGAAAAAGTACCAGGCCGACTTGAGCATGCTAGGACCCGAGATGTCCGAGTCGCCTGCATCGATTGCGTTGAGCATGATCACAAGCTTTACAAAGGACTATAATGGCATTTTGGACGGTGAGTCGAAGGAGTTGACGTCGCAGGAGTTGACTGGAGGTGCTCGTATATCATTTGTGTTTCATGAGATCTTCAAGAACGGGATCAATGCTTTGGATCCGTATGATCAGATCAAGGATGCAGATATCAGAACCATTTTACACAATACGTCAGGGTCAGCACCCTCTCTCTTTGTAGGCACATCTGCATTCACAGTCTTGGTGAAACAGCAAATCAAGAGGATGGAGGAACCCTCCATTCGATGCATCAACTTGATCTTTGATGAATTGGTTCGGATCTTGTCGCAGATTCTCAACAAGCCGCAGTACACAAGGTACCCAGCCTTAAAGGAGCACTTGTCCAACCACTTTATCCAGTATTTGAGAGAGGTGCTTGTTCCTACTACAGAGTTTGTGTCGGATATTATAAAGTCCGAAGAAACATATGTCAACACTGCACACCCGGACTTGTTAACCGGTACACAGGCCATGGCGTATGTGGAGGAGAAGTTCCATCCAAGACCGCAAGTTGCAGTGGACCCAAAGACCGGGAAACCATTACCTCAGCAACAACCACAACCACAACCACAACTACAGCAGCACCAGCTGCAACACTCATTATCTAACTCCAATGAAGCCAATAATGGATTTTTTGGTGGGTTTTTCTCTTCAAAGAATAAAAAGAGATTGCAGCAGATGGAAGCGCCGCCTCCAGTGTTGAGGGCAACTGGAACCATGACCGAAAGAGAAACCATGGAGACGGAAGTGATCAAATTGTTGATCTCATCATACTACAATATAGTTAAGAGAACAGTTGCCGATGTTGTTCCCAAGGCAATTATGTTAAAGTTGATCAACAAGTCCAAAGACGAGATTCAGAAGGAGTTGTTGGAGAAGATGTATAACAGTCCCGAGTTGCCAGAATTGGTAAAGGAGAACGAGCTAACTGTGCAAAAGAGAAAAGAGTGTATAAGAATGGTGGAGGTGTTGAGAAATGCTAGTGAGATTGTCTCTGCCGTGTAATAGAATAGAGAAATGTACCCATGATTTTGTTACACTCTTACACTATCGAGCTACACTATTGAGCGAAGCGAGATAGTGTAGCTCCATTACACTGTAGCTGTTACATTTACCAACAGCCTCTCACTTCACTATCGAGCGAAGCGAGATAGTGTAGCCATTACATTTATGCAGCCGCTTGCTCCACTATCTCGCTTCGCTCAATAGTGTAGCTCCATTACACTGTAGCTGTTACATTTACCAACAGCCTCTCGCTACACTATCTCGCTTCGCTCAATAGTGTAGCTCGATAGTGTAGCTCGATAGTGTAGCTCGATAGTGTAGCTTTTTTTTCTTCTTTTTTTTCTTCTTTTTTTTCTTCTCTCTTCCCTGGATACAAAATTTTTCACTCTGCAGCAACAACTTAAAAGGGACCTCCTAAACACCAAGTCCATCCGTTACATGCCCAAAAAACCCCTACGAAACAGCTTTTACTTTAACAAATTGAAAGAGCCTGGATAAGAAAATGGTTTCCGTTGAATATGTTGACCACGAATTATCAACAAACTTGGACTCTACTAATGCATTTGAAGGGCCAGAGAAGTTACTAGAAATATGGTTCTGGAAGTCAGAGTTTGACTTGCCCTCTGGTGCAGCCATTGATGGAATGAGGTCTGTGCCAATGTCCACTTGGGTGGACATTTTGGATTTGGTCAGTTGCAAAATCTTGTCAATGAAGTCGTGCAAATTTATGGACGCTTACCTTTTGAGTGAGTCCTCGCTATTTGTGTTTCCGCATAAGATCATCTTAAAGACATGTGGCACCACTACTACATTAGCATGCTTGGATAAACTTTTCCAAGCTACAAAGATGCTTCTTGGCATCTCCAGCAAACAAATATACCGAGTTTTCTACTCAAGAAGATCGTTTATGTTTCCTGAAAAGCAGGTCCATGTTCATAGAGACTGGAAGAGTGAAGTGGCTTTGTTGAATGAACATTTTGTTTCGGGAAAGTCCTATGTAGTAGGAGACTTTGCCAGTGATGACCATTGGTACCTCTATGTTGGAGGCAATGCCAACCCTAGTGGGTGCCAAACCAGTGGACTCCACCCCAATGGGTCCCATCCCAATGGGTCCCACCCCAATGGGTCCTTGCTGGACCAAACGTTCGAGATCTTGATGACGGAATTGGATCCAAAATGTGCATCAACATTCATCTACTTGAGACAGCCCGGAGGTGAAAAAGATTTGGGACACGAGCTTGGCTTTGAAACTATGGTGGAAACAGAGTTGGACACTATATTCCAGTCTCCCACTGTAAACACCCACTTGCCGTCGCCATCCATAAGTGAGGATGAACATGAAAGCGTGGTACCAAAAAGACTGCACGTGTATGAGTTTATCCACGACTCCTTTGCATTCACTCCGTGCGGATTCTCATCCAATTCAATCTGCACCAATATTGGCGGGGGGTACTACTATACTTTGCATATCACACCAGAGTCAGGATGGAGCTATGCATCTTTCGAAACCAACTACCCGTTCAACGAAACGGTGGATGTGATAACAGTTTTAACCAAAGTCTTGAAAACGTTTCATCCAAAGAAATTCTCAATGACACTCATCAGCGAGGTAGGCGACGACGAGCGCCAGTCGACTAGTCAAGCACTACTCCACTGCGACTTGTCGGAGCTCAACTATAAGAGAGCAGAGAAGGCCATTTACGACTTGAATGAGTACAGCTTGTTGTATATGAACTTTAATACAGAAAAATGAAAAATATGAAAAATATGAAATATATATATATATATATATTAGAGGGCTATCTTCTATCAATTCTCCTTCTGTATGTTATTTTATTTACTTGAATTTCTTACCGAATAAGATGACTTGGAGTTGGTCATACAATGAAATGACACCAGCTCCTGCAACACCTCTCAAGATGTTTGCAGCACAACCCTTGAACAAAGAAGCAACACCTTCAGCAGCAATGACCTTTCTAGCACAGTCAATAGCACCATTGTACTTGACTTTTTGACCTGAGGTCATCATCATACGACGACGAACGGTATCCAATGGGTAGGAAGCAGTAGATGCACCGGTGGTAACAGCCCAACCCAAAAGGAAAGAAGCCAAGAATGATCCTTGCAATGGTCCAACAAGAACAACTGGCTTCAACGAATCATAGAGACCAAAGTACAAACCTCTGTAAACAATGATACCAATAACAGAAGGACCGAAACCTCTGTACAAACCAGCAATACCGTCAGTAGCCAAAGTCTTTTTGTAAACATCGATCAAACCGTTGAATTCTCTACCTTTACCGTCACCCTTGGCAGATTTGGCGTCATTGGCCAATCTGGTTCTGGCATAGTCCAAAGAGTAGACAAAAGCCAAGGAAGTGGCACCGGCCATACCACCGGAAGCCAAGTTACCACCAAACCATTTCCAGTAACTGTCTTCCTTTTTGAAACCAAACATAGCCTTGAACTTATCTTTGAAAGCAAAGTTCAAAGCTTGGGTTGGGAAGTATCTGATCACATTAGCAGTGTTACCTCTCCAAAAGGAAGCAATACCTTCTTCACTAGCAGTTCTTCTGAAACATTCACCAATACCAGAGTATGGTTTAGCCAATCTACCTTGTTTCAACATCTCGTCTTGGTTCTGAAGCAACAATTTGACTCTTTCGATTGGAGCAGCAGCGGTTTTGGAGATGGCGGCGGAAACACCACCCATCATGAAATCAATAAAGAAGTTACTCTTTGCACCTTTTTCAGACATTGTAGAGGAATATGTTACGATGTGTTTTTTTTGGGGATATAGAAGAAGAAGAAAAAGAAGAGGGAGATGAATGGAAAATTTTTTGTCAACGAATTTGAAAAAAAAAACAAAAAAGAAAAAAAAAAAAAATTAATAATGAATGGAAAAAAAAAATGAAAAAAGTGAAAAAATGTAGAAATGAAAAAATTAAAGTTGAGATATTAATGCAGTGTAATTGGAAAAAGAAAAGGGGAATGCAGAATAGAAAAGAGCCGAGAGAAGGTAGATGCCGATGGTGGATAGTGGTGCATAGAGTATTTAGTGTTGTAGAGAGAGTCCTCTGTCCTCTTCAGTGTCTTTACTGGTATGCTCTAGTCATATTTGATATTATTCTAGCTGCATGATCCGAGGGCCATTTCACGGTGAAACACGGGTTGTCAAGTATGTTACTGTGAGAAAAACAAACATATTTCATTGGCTGATTTGAATAAAGTATCTCCAATCAAAGAGGGTAGCGCTACACACAAACTGAATTCCCCGGGAAAGTACTCCGACATTATGGAGCGACACTATCGAGCGACACTATCGAGCAGAGCGAGATAGTGGAGCAACTATTTGTAGCTTGTCACAAGTACTAGCTTGTTACAAGTACTAGCCTGTTACAAGTACTAGCCTGTTACAACACTATCTCGCTCTGCTCGATAGTGTTGCGATAGTGTTGCTCGATAGTGTTGCTCGATAGTGTTGCTCGATAGTGTTACTAGCCCGTTACAACACTATCTCGCTCTGCTCGATAGTGTCGCGATAGTGTATAATTACAAGGTTTTTCTTTTTCTTTCTTCTATCTAATTTCTATTTCTTTCACTTATCTCAGAGAACCTTACTTGGTTATTATTAAAGTCGTCCATTTGGATAGTCTCTGTAGCCAACAGCTCATCTGAGTTTGAGTTAAAGTAGTGTTGTTTAACTCTTTTCATTTTCGACACAAACCCGGGAGGTGGTGTGTGAGGAGTGATGTTGTCGTTGCTGAGGTCCACGCGTTCTGGCTTTAGCTCGTCGGATAACTTATGGTCCATACTCATTCGAGTCACCACTTCACTGCTATATGCACTGATCTTGGGTCGTTCTGGATCCGTGGGGTCGTACAGGTCCGGGTACGGGTCAAAGTCGCCTCTTTGGATACATTCGCGGATCACATCGACATCATGAGGCCAGAACTCTCGTTGTATGATATCGTAGAATAGTCTTGGTAGCAAGCAGCAGAGTATTCCGATGAAGATACACGCCCAGAAGGAGGTCATGCCAAACACCTCTGCAGCAGCTTTGTAGAACTCTTGAGACGAGTACTCTGAGGAGGACCATATACCTGTCCATATAAACACAATGAGAATGGAGATGGCAATGATCAAACTGCTTAGCCAATCCCATCGGTACTGGTGGAATAGGATGTACAAGTTGCAGCTGGTACATGCAATAACAGTGACGGGGACTCCGACCCAGAACCTATGATCCACAGGTCTCCCGCTCGAATCTGGAAATGCAACCATATACATGAGGTAGGGGAAAAAGTATGAGATGGCACTTTGGTAGATCCCATCAAGACAATAAATGTAAAACTTCAAATCGCTCATTTCATTGCGCAAGATCCCCGTTCGGTACAACGCCGGCACAAGCAAGCCTACTTTTGCAGGAACATCCTGGTCAAATATACCCAAGAAGATCACTGGAAGCGAGGTGAATGCCAAATTGTAGAACATAAGATACGTAAACTCAAACAAATAAGTTCCGTCAAAGTCACAGTATATTCCGTACCAGAACAACGCAATGTTGAAGATGATGTTCTTGTAAAAGAAGGAAGGGATCATCTCACTGAACCGTTTGTACGACCACCGTCCATGTGTGAGTAGTAGCCGCACAAGGAACCTAAACTGGCCAAATGCATAGTCGGACGACATCACTGCTTGTCGCCCTTCTTCTCCCGCAATGCCTACACCTACATCTGCTGCTTGAATCATTGCCACATCGTTGGACCCATCGCCGATTGCAAGAGTCATCACGTCCAAAGTATCCTTGACCAACTTGACAACTGCTGCTTTTTGCGCAGGCGAGACTCGACAGCAAAGCACAGCTCGACATTTCTTGCACAAAAGAAGAAACCTTCTCTTTGTGTCTTTATCCAAGAGCGCGAGTTTTAGCGCATCTCCATCAATAACGACACCAAACCCTTCGTCTGGTGGAGAGTGGTCCTTTGATGCAACCTCCTGCTCTTCAACAGTGCCTTCCATATTGAAGTGGTGTTGCAAGTAGTACGAGATAACAGTATCAATAGTTTTTGCCTCTGAATTGCCAAACCCCAACTCAAGGCCGCCGCCTATCTTTTCCGTTTCCTCTTTGGAGTATGCGGTTTTGATAACTAGTATCTGCATCTCGTTCCCTAACAAGTTGCATGAGAACCCAATATTGATGGCTGTTTCTACCTTGTCCCCAGTTAGAACCCACAACTTGATTCCTGCTTCTGCAAGCGTGGATATGGCATCGGGAACACCATCTTGCAATCTGTCCTCAATGGCAGTACCTCCAAGAAGAACCAACTCACGCTCAATCGAGTCTGCAACCTCTTCCATTTTCTCCTCTCTGTTCTCCAAGGAAGATGCAGCAATCTGGTGTCGTTTGTTCCACTCTGTATACTGACTCCATGAAAGCTCCCTCTCGGCAATGCAAAGTGTACGCAACCCTTCGGTGGCATACTCCTCGAGGTGCTTTGCCGTGGCTTCGAGCATCTCGGGGTTGTTTTCTGTTGGCGACAATCGTTCATAGATGATGGAGTCTGCACCTTTGCAGATTAATAATGCTTTTGGCTCTGGATCCGCGGGAATCTTGATAATCGTGCTCATTCTCTTTCTTGTGGAGTTGAACTCGAGTGTGTTGAGTACTTGGTACTCCTTAGTGACGCCGTGCTCGTCCACTAGGAACCCTCTTTTTGTCGTTCCTTTGAAATTGAACCCAAGTGACCGCGCGGTTGCAACTAGTGCCGCCTCATCGGGAGACTGTGCCTTGAGCACCAATTTGTGTGGGTTCTTGGTACTCTGCTCTGTAAGAACCGAGTGGCACAATGCCAATGCCAACATGAAATGAGTATTTGCTTCCTTTTGCTGTGCCCCGTCTGCACCAAGCAAGTCGCTTACAAACTTCAGCGATACAAAAGTTATCTCGTCATCATAGGTTTTACTTTTGAGCAACTGACGCAATTCTTCAATCATTCTTGTTTTGTCCTCGGCAATCACTTCACGCTCATGTGCAGCCTCGGTTTCCACATCTATTCCCATACGCTTGCGCAACCCTGCAAGTGCCTCCGTATACGCAAGACCATACGAGACACCATTAATAGTACACTTTTTAAACTCCATTACATTCTGTGTCAATGTACCAGTTTTGTCGCTGAATATATATTCAATCTGACCCAAATCATCACTGATGGACCACGATTTCGGGGTGCATGGAAAGTCCAATTTCGGGTAGTACATGCCGATATCGGAGTAGATAAAGTATGCCTGAGCCGTTTTGATAATCTCAATGGTGATGTAAAGGGAGATTGGCACCAACGACTGGTACAAGATCACGGCAACAAAGAACCCTACCAACCCGTTCACTGCGGGCGACCCAGCAATAGTCCCAAACTCAAAGAAATCTCGCGAAGTGTTCTTTTTCCTATAGTATAATCCATTGATCAAACCAGAAACAAAACAGATTATGAAAAGCAATACAAAGTTCAACAACACATAGTAGTTGAGCTCACGCGACATGCGTGATTGCTTTGTTGGTGTTGCGCCTGCATTGAGCATAATCTTTGTATCGTCTCCTGTGAACATGACTATCCCAATGACCCATTTGGTGTTTCGCAAAGTGCACCCACGGAGGAGCAAGTTGTTGATGGTGACGGGTTCCTGCACCTCTTGGCCTCCTCTTGATGTGTACTTGAGGTTTCCCTCGTATGAGTATAAGTTTGCATGCGGGCCTTCAGAGTCAATCTCAAATGACTTATCCACCAAGTCGTCGGCTCTTTTAAGTTTATCCGAAGAATATTTCAACGACTGTTTTACTTTCAAGTTGGTCTCACCATCGAGGTTCTTTGTTTCAACAAAGCAACAGTTGTCGTCGTCACTGGTTGCGAGAATGGCCACATCTGCAGGGATCTCTTCGTTGTTATATATCCGAAGCACATCACCTACTTTCACGTCCTTCCAGTACTTTTTCGCAAACCTGAGTGTCTTTGGATGTCTATACCCGCTGCGGCTATTACGTTGGAACGATTTGCGTAATGTATCAGTAAACGGATCACCCTCCTCCTCATCATTGGACCCCGTAGCTGTGATGTCACTTTCAAACGATTTTCTGCCCCCCTGGTCTTCCGCATTGATGTTTTTCCTCACCTTATTTGCTCTGCCTTCTTTTGTTAGGTTACGCTTGGACGCGCCCCATACGCGTGCTAAAAGCTTTGTGTTCCATTTCTTGTACTTTCTCCAAAGCGACACCTTCTCGTCATTGACATTTCTGTTTTCATATATGTAGTCATCATTGTTATTTTCCTCTGCTTGTGCAAGAATGTGCGTGTTTTGGTTATTAACTTCCAAGTCTGTAATGGTTCTTCTTGAGTCTTCGATGGCATCCTTTATAGCAGTGATGAACACAATGACAATCAAGGGCACAGCAGCCATTCCTGGGGACGGAACACCAAAGATCTGGAAAGCACCCAAGATCACCAATGCAAGAAAGTAAATGTTGGCAATGTTATGGAGGAATTGATGGAGTATGTTTTTCGGCAAGAACGATATGGGTGTATACTTTGTAGTTCTGATTTTGTTCCGCGGGTAGTTTGTGATTGGCGCGCCTGTTGCTGGGTCCGTATACTCTGGGGGTAGTTCTTTATTGAAAACAACAGTACGTTTTTCCTTTTTCCTATTTTTGACATCGCTTGCCTCGGGATCAGTGTTGTCGTCCGAATCGGACTCATGGTGGTGGAGTTCTGGAAACTCAATCGAGTGCGTGTTTGGTTTCCTTATAGAGTACAACCTCCCTTTCAACAGCAGCAGCAGCAGCGGCTTGTGTTGACCATCGCTATGATGCCGTGGATGTAGGATCCGGTGTAGCGTTCTGGACCGGCTAATGTTCTCCTTCTTTGGCTTACCGTTCTTGTTTCGCGTCGTACCCCATCTGTGTCTCTTTGTTGGTGCGCCCTCAGCAAACTCCTTAGTGAACTCGTGCTCCTCCATCTTGGGTTTGTCCAAGCTGACTTCTTCCATTATGGAATCATCAAGAAACGGCGACTGTGGATTGTGCAGAGATGACGATGGTGGTGTTGGCTGCTGCTGCTGCTGCTGCTGCTGCTGCTGCTCTTGCTGATCATCGGGTAACTGGAACCTCAATGAAGAGGATCTGCCACGGTCAAATCTATCCGTATTCAACTGTGGTGTTGGTGGTGCAGAAAACAAATCATTCGACGTTCCTTCATAAGAGAAATCTCTTCGGTCAAAATGCGTATTTCTCGGCGTTTCCGGGAACCGTTCCAGTGGATCTACAAAGGGGCTCTTTGTAGCCTTATCTTTGACCATTTTGCGGGAAACAATTCAAGAAGGTATTCACCAGTCTGGCTCTATATAGATCTCAGATCTGGTATCTGATAAAACGTTGCTCTCCTGTTGGAAGTAAGATGCAAAACTATGGAAATTGAAAAAATAAAAAAAATATAATAAAAAAAAAATAAAAAGAAAAGAAAAGAGAAGGAAAAAGGAAGGACTAAAATAATGGAGGTTGGAAAGGGAGACAGTGGGGGAAGCTAGAGGAGAGCATATAAAGGAGAGCATATAAAGGAGAGCATATAAAGGAGAGGATGTAGGGGAAGGGATGTGAAGTTCAGGAGATGAGTAGTCTAGGAGTGCTGTGTTGCGCTGTATCGTGTAGTCTATTGGCTGGTGGATCCCCCCCCCGTTGTCATTAAAAGGAAGACGCGGTTATAAAATCAAATGCGGCCATAAACCAAATGCGCCCATAAATTAAACGCGGTCATAAACCAAATGCGGCCTTTATATTTTTCCGTTGTCCGGATGGCATCGGCAGACCTAGTGCGCCATTGGATGCAGAATCTACAAATCACTCAACTATTAAAACTTATTCATCTCACTTCTTTTTGTTCTCCTCTACTTGTTTGGACTCAAAAGTGCACAAAAAAATGCGCTTTTTTTTTTTTCATTCTTCTTTCTTTAGTGCAACACCACTATACTACTATATACTCTTATGCTAATTTTTTCTTTTCAGCATACATGTTTGTCCACTCCTTAGCCACCTCTATGGCCTTCTTCTCATCCCTCTTCCAGTCTTCAGCAACATCGTTTGCCAATGGGTCATCAGGATTGGGTGCACCTAGCAATGCCTGTATGCTCAACAAGATTGTGCGGATCTGTAGCGCGGGCGACCAGTTATCCTTGAGCACGTCGAGACATATTCTCCCCAACTTGTCTATATTTGGGTGGTATATCCTTGTGAGAAAACGCACTTTTGGCGCGCACATTGGGTAGTCATCTGGTAAGTAGAGTTCGAGGTGGAATATGCCGCTGGCATACGGTGATTGGTTGGGGCCATCTATAGTCACTTCAAAATACCGAAGATTGTCCTCTGATGGTGTTGCTGTTATTCCAGGAACAGGATCACTCACCAACCGTTCTGTTTCCTTGAGGATCCGTTTGGAGAGTGCAGCCATGGTAAATAGCTCAGCTTGGTATGTGTGTCACTAAGAGATCTTTTTTCTGGAAAAAAAAGGAAAAAGAGAGAGAGTCGGAAAAAGTCGTGTGCAATAATATGTTTTTGGTGTATTCTTTTTTATGTGTATATTTTGTTTTGTTTTTTCCCTCTTCTTATTTGTTATTCCTTTGCTATTAGATGAAAAGAGTGTTGAATCAGGGTGCACCTATGGTGCATCGAATAGTGGTGGGCACACTTGCTGTGCTTGCGGGGGCATATATCACCTATAAAGCAGGTGCCGACTTTCAGTTTATCAAGTATGAGCCTCACTCTGCAGAGGAGGTGGCAAGGCGACAGAGAGAAGAAGTGCCATTCAAAATGACTGTAATGGAGACGGCCACCTTAGATTTGAAGCCAGAAGCAAAGGAGCGGATCTGGAAAAAAATGCAGGAAACGAAAACTGAGACAAATGAATAAGGAGACCAGTAGTATCTTTTACCAGTATCTTATATGAGTATCCCTTTTTCTATTTTTGTGTGATAAGGAGATATGGTTATTGCGGGGACGGCTTCCCCTCGATATGGCCCCTCATACGGGGAAATTCCACTAAACATGTTCGATATACTATTTGATGTACTGTTTGAAATACGTTAAGTATCAAATGGTGGGGCAAGAGTGTTTTTTTTTTTTTTTCTTTCTTTTTTTTCCTCTCTTCCTTTGCTGCCCCTCCTTGCCTTATGAGGACCCCGCTCATCTTTTACAAATTAGTGCCCCTCTCTCCCGTGAAACGTTTGGCTTGATATCAATTAAGCTAATTCAGTGTGTAGTATTTTTTGTGTAACCTTTTGGTATTATGTTTACGACTTTAAGTTATGTTTTCCGAATAGCCTGAATACACTAGGGAATCGTAGATACCCAAGGGTATCCAAAGTAGTCCCTTAGTTAGTCCCTCCTCTTGTCCCCAACCAATTTCTTGTACTCCCCAAAAAAAAAAGAAAAAAAGAAAAACCTGTCATGCTGATAGTGTATACAGCAATTAGAAAAAGTGGACTAATTAGGAAAGTGGAGGTGGAAAAAGAAAACACAAAGTATCTCGTAGAGGGGAGAACAGAACATGGAGAGAATAGTTTAGGGAGAAGAAAGTTTATTTCATTTGAAATTCACTACATGACACTATGACACTATGACACTATCGAGGAGAGCGAGATAGTGTCATTCCCTATGGTGTAATGCTCCATAGTGTAATGCTCCATAGTGTAATGCTCCATAGTGTAATGCTCCATAGTGTAATGCTCCATAAGCAATGCTCCATAGTATGGTGCACTACAATATGGTGCTTCATAATGTCATTCTCTATATTTCATTCTCATACTACTCCCAACATGAAAACTTTTCCTTTTGTGATACAAGCTTAACCTTCCTGTTTAGTCATTCATTTTACAGGATATGACTAAATAGGAATGATACAAATGCAAGGGAGATAGTTAGTGATGGTTATAATAATAAAGACATAATAACGGAGTTACAATGGTATACTTTAAAATGGGATTTGCATACTTGCTCTATTTTTGGGGTAGAATTGAGGGGCAGGGAATTGGAAGTACGCCAGGCTGAAATGGTGAAATATTGGAGAGTTGTGGGGGTCAAGCACGGCATGAACTCGCTCAGGGACCGGCATCAAAGACACAGAGTCCTAAGATTCCGACACAGAGTCCTAAGATTCCGACACAGAGTCCTAAGATTACAAGACACAGAGTCCCAAGATTACAAGGCACAGAGTCCCAAGATCTCTTTCGAGCTTGCCTTTCCTTCCCAACATTTATCGAGCACATCTCAAATGTATCCAAAAATTGCCATTTTTGGTTAATTACTATTGTTCCTGCGGCTAAAAAAATGAATGGTACTTGTGCAGTAAATTATACAAGTGGTGGATTGCCTATTTAGTCTAAATGATAAATTGCAACCTTATACTACAATCAACCATTCATCAACATACCCTTTATCAGCAATACAGTGTCAATGAGGACATACGGGTCAGGGTCAGGGGTAAAGAAGCCAAACAAATTAAGGTATAACCTTTTGAGTCGTTTTTTTTTTTTTTGTCTCGTCAGTTTCAAGAATTGAGAAAAAGGACAAACTCGTCGTTTTACCCCGCCCCCACCAACACTCAACTGTTCAAATGGTATAGTGCCCTCATTGTTTACCACTTAGTTGTCTCATTTATGCCCAACTGCCTCAAATACTGACAATCAAAAAAATCTTTTTTTTTTTTCTCTTTAGCTATTATGGCTTTCATTAAATTAGGTTGCCCCTCATATTACCCATTCAGGTAAATTGGAAAACTGTAAATCAGTACTCCCTATTGTCTTCAATGCACATAAATTTCCTAATTAGTCAACTTTCTTGCACTGGGTAATTAAGGTTAGCGTTTAATGCATCTAGGGGTAAAACACACAGATCACTGGGAGCGTTCTTGGCCAAACTATTCAAAAATCACACAAACCGTACCCCTCGCCGGGCCCTTTACTGTATGAAACTCTCATCTGCACAAGGGGGCGGGGGGGGGGGGGATGAGAGAGATGAGAGAGATGGGAGAGAAGGAGCAGGGAAACAAGGGAACGACAAAGAGTCAAACTTTAGCTTTGTGTTTATTGTTTCAATCAACAATAAAGAACATAGAATATATATATAGCAGGAGAGATGCCATGAGAAATAACAAAAAGTGCAAACTCCTCTGATATCAAGTATTCAAATATGAGTTCAAACGTGTATGTTGATACAGCCGAGGAAGCCATCCCACATTAATCTTTTACTAACTCTCTCTCTCTTGCTTAGTGTACTCCCCCCTGCAAACGGTAAGAAATTGTGGAGAGTGAAGAGAACAAACTCAGGATCGTGCAAGAGCTCATCTGCATCGTCCTCATCTCTCACATCCGCCGAGTGTTTAAACAGTTCATTGAAGATTGCTGCTGCTGCTGCTGCTGCTGCTGCTGCTGCCAACTTTACTGTCAAAAGACCTCCATTAAGAAGACCCAAAAACAAACCTGGAAAACCAAAGGATTATGTGTTTGTTGACTTGTCTCCTGTAAAGTCGCAAGACTGTGTGGAAACAGTAAAGGCCTCGCCTGTTGTACAGCAGGTCCCTTCGCCTACCCTTTCCACTGGAGATTGCACATCTGTTGAAGAGTCGCTATTTGACTTGCCTGGTAGTCATGATGGTGGTGAGTTGGGTCTAGGGATAATGAATTTGGGGTTTGATTGGAGTCAAACACAACCGATCCTGCAAGAAACCGTTGATGTTACCGAGAGCTACTTGTCGCAACAGCTATACGGGTACCAGCAAGCAATGTTGCAGCAACATCTTCAAATCCAGCAATTGCAACAGCAGTTGTTGCAGCAGCAACAACAACAGCAACAACAGCACCACCACCACCAGCAACAAGATCCCCCCAACCAGCAGCAGGATCCCCCCCACTTCACACCAAAGTTGAGAAAAAGAAAACAAGCTGCGGGTCAGCTTCAGTTTAAAACATACCAACCAAAACATAACAGGTCCATCTCCGACGGCTCTATCAGGAAGCCTCTGCACACTAAGCGCGCTTCAGTACACGAAATACCAACACCCTCCTCCATTTCCTCATCGCAGTATATCCCCATGGAATACTCGGACTCTACCTCCTCCGACGTCAGTCTAGACGACTTTATGATGCTAAACGAACAAATTGCAATGAACCTACCCCAAGAGCAACAATTGCACCCACTAACCCCTGCATCGTCGTACTCCTCAGACGTGGAGCTTTTCCCGCTGCAAAACTTTGAGTTTGAGGAGTTCCTCTCTAGTGTGCTGCACCCAGAACATTACCCTGCACCACCACTAAACTTTGCTCCAACATGGACATGATTTTGATACCCTATTTATTCTCACATATATATACCCTTTTATTAATAGATACAAATATAAATACTAGTAATTTATTAGCTTTCTTTAGAGATGTGCACTTAGGTGGAGCGACTTGCCCTTTCTCTTGGGGATTGGCTTTGCAGTGATGATAGTGGCGTTATTCTCGATATAATGCTGTTCCCACTCATTTGCAAGCTGCTGCTGCTGCTGCTGCTGCTCTTTCTCCTCCTCCTCCTCCTTCTCTACATACTCCACCACGTCCCTATCCACATGTATATACGGAATATAATCATTTTGTACAGTTGGCTCGATATAGTTATCCTGGTCCTCAGTGAGCATGCACTGTTTTCTTGCGTCCACCGTGAAACTCGTTACTTTGCACACACTATCCGTGTCAACAGGCCGATCCGTCCATCGTGTTTCCAATCTCTGGTACATGAGCTCCAACTCGGGAACCTCGGCAATCTTCCTGCTGACATTGTGCCACCACTCAGTGGTCAATCCACACTCCAGCGGCCATGCCATCTCCGGGTCATACGTGTCTCGTGCAGAGTACGCAAACTCCCAGTTGGGCTCGGCGCCATCGTTGCGAAACGATTTGTCTAGAGGCGTATAGTATGTGAACGAGTTGACTATACTGAAGCTCTTCAGGTCAACTGCATAGTACCTCCACGAGGGGTTTACACCGGAAAATGGACTCACCAGCGGTCCTATCAATGCATGGTTGATAGCATTCTCCAACTCCTTTTTGTCAGTGCCGTCGCTTCCATACTGGATGACAAAGGTATCGACTTGGATATAGCCAAAGAATATGGCAGCAATCACTCTTGGAGAGAACCGCTCTATAATGTTGGTGAATATCTTGGTAGGTAAAGGGATCGATTGGTAGCTCGGCGGAAGATGCGCTATTATCCAGACTCTTTGATGGTTTCTTTCCGAGTCAAGCAACTCGTTGATAAGAAACTTCCAAACTCCATACGAGTCCACATTGAGCACGTTCCAAAACGCATACAAATTCTTTACATTCCACACATTACTATTAAGGGAAATGATTTTGAGTTTGCCCTCCATGGCGAGTAGTGAGAACCCCGTTTGGGTGTACCTGATTTGCTTGGCCGTATCGTGGTCCACCCACCCTAGTTCCAGCCACAAGTCGGCAATCAAGTCGAATTGCCACTGGTAAGTATTGGAGTTTTCGCTAAGATTCTTTTGCGGAAGCTGGTTCATAGGGAAAATGTCACGTGTGCCAAACGTTGGAATCACGTCAACCGTGTCCAAGTAATGTTTCATGATCCGGTAACTCGTCTCTTGAGACTTGATGTTTTTTTCTTTGCTCATAAAGCATCTGTCCAGATGGTCAACGGTACCGCCGGTGAAGAGGGCAAATTGGAACGAGAGGTGGTTTTGATGCAAGTCTCTTATACACTGCATGGTATTGTTCAACAAGAGAACTGGCGTGTCGCATGTGTACTCGCCAAACTGTCGTGCAGGCGACCATGTAGGCTTGCGCACTTTGGATATATCCAAGTATTTCCCCTTTTCAAAATGGTTCTTGCTGTAGCTGCTGTCGTAGTACCCAGAGTTGGCGTTTTCATTGACATGCGGCGCAGTCGCCTTCTGGTTGCGGCACTGTGGCGAGCAGCACAAGCTCTGTGTACAATTGGCTTCCGAAAACACTGTATAGTCTAGCTGCAAGTTGATATCGCTTATGTGTAGCACGTGAAACACCTCGCCGCTTCCATCTGGCGGCTGGTAGTTTCTTGGCTTTGGTGGCCACATGTTGCTCATATCGATCATTGGAGTCTCGGGCAAAACATGGCACGAGCTATCGTGATAGTAGCAGAAATAGTCGCCGTCCAACCCGGAAGGGTTCATCAAACTAGCCACTTTGGCAAAGTCGTTTCCTGTGGTGGAATAGTCCTCGCTCGGGTACCCATAGTTCATATGACATTGGATCTCATCATACTCGGCTTCAATGCACCAAATGGAGAATACTTGAGGAATCAAGTCGGGCCGCGTTAATCCTAAGAACTTGGCTAGTTGGAGCCGCGCCTTGCATGTCAAGCATTCGTTTAAATCGGTCGCTGCATCGATATTGTGTAGGTCCTGTACAGCGCGCTTGACAATCTCCTCGTCGCTGAGCGACGTTTCCAGGAAATAATGTATCGGATACGCCTCGTGAGCTAGCACGAGATGCAAGAAAAGCAGAAGCTGGTACACAATCAGACACAACATTTTGAGGAGGTCTCTATATTTTGCAACAGATATACACTAAAAAATATTTACCCTTCTTTTTTATTTTCTTTTTTCCCTACTCCAACATCTCCTCAATATTTGCAAACTTGTTGGCAAGATGCTCGTTTCCGGAAAGAGCAAACTCGCCTTTGAAGATCGAGATGATCTGCCTCCCATAATCTGCTTGCTTGACTAAGAACTCCTCCTTGGCACGCTCCATCTTTTCCACGTGAAGCTCCAAGATCCGGTTCACTTTCGCCTTGACAAACTCCGTATCCCTCTTCATTGTGACCTGGACCTCATGTGCATGCACCAATATCGACTCTAACAACTCAAACGCCTTGTGGAAATCCCCAGACACACTTTGCACCTCCTCCTTACACCTACCGAGCTGGTCGTGCAACAACGTCAGCAACTCCTCTAACCGTTGAGTGGTGGACGACGAGTATGTGTCGAGAAGCTCCATTGAGTTGCTGAGGGATATCGCCGGCGACGACTTGATGCGAGGTCCTCCACCTCCCTTCATAAGATTACTGCTCTCTAGTTTCAACTGCTTGATCTTATCGCTGAGCTCATGTAGATCAAGTAGTGCACGTTCAAGCTCTTCTGGCGAACTCATCAATGTGATGTGCTGAAAGGTGTAGTACTCATCTGCGTCGATCTCAGCCAAAGTGTTTGGAATCGCATGCAAAGTGTCTATTCCACTTTCCAACTGCTGGTTACGCACAGACTCCCCCTTGCGTATTGCCGCAACTAGTTGTCGTTGCAACGTACGCACAGTGGGGACTATGAAGTTGGTGTTATTCTGCTCCTTCAATTTCATATCGTAGTACTTGTTCTGGATAAGCTCCCATTTCCTAGTCTGGCTCTGCGATCTATTGCCCACATACTTGAATGGCTTCACCTCCACAATCAAGTATAAGATCAACTTGACATCTTCAGGTGAGAGTTTCATTCGGTGTGGGTTTTTCATGTTGGTCATATGCACGTGGTGCCATGCCGATGGTCCAAACTCCGACCGTTCTCGTACCTGTTCCTGTTCTTGGTCCCGGTGTTGTCTCTTGCTTGCGGCTACTGCTGCCGATGCCGTGGCTGCCGCGGCGGTCGCTGCTGCGGACTCTGCGGCTAACCCTTGATAGTCAATTGTGTGGTCGGTGGTTGTTGTATGGTGAGACTCTGTTAATGATGCGTGTAGTTCTGCATCGCGTGGCCGCTTCTGTGATTTCTGATTGTACTGCTCCTTTTTTTTACGATGGTGACTCATAAATGGAAACTCTGTGTCGTGACGAAGTGTATGTTGTTGTTTTCGACTTGAAAAAAGAAAAAAAAAAAAAAAAAAGGAAAAAGGGAAAAAAAGGGAAGAAAAAAGGGGGAGGTTATTCATTTTTAAAGCTACCAGTTACATGTTAATATTTATCCTCTCTGCAAAGGAGCTTGTTATACTCCTAATATCATCCTCTATACTCTCTCCAATGTACCTACCTTCATATTTCTCGTCGAGCTTATGCAACTTGCTGTAGAAGTTGGCACTGATGGTGTTTGCACTGGTATAATTGGTGGTGCTTAATGGCGGCCAGAGAGACTCCTTGAGCCCTGGCGCATGCGGTATGGCAAGAGGTGTCTCTCTTTCCTTTGCTGCTGCTGTTTTTGCTGCCTTTCTCTCATAATTATTCAACTGCACCATCGACATCTGCAAGTTATCCAATGGACCATCTACTAAACACCCCTTTTCTCTGAAATGGATGAGCAAGTGGTTCCACAACTTGTTGCGACAAAGGGCGCGTGGGTTGCCCAATACAAGCAACCCATACTTTGCTCTTGTCAATGCAACATTCAATCTTCGTGGATCACTTAAAAACCCAATACTTTGGGAATCGTTGGCACGCACACAACTAAGAATAATGAAATCCTTTTCGCGTCCTTGGAACGCGTCAACACTAGTGATTTCAACTTCAAGGTACTCATCCCTCTTGTCCAATAGTGTAGAGTTGATAGACATAAACTGAACAAGGTATGCACGCTGGCCCTCATAGGGTGTGATAACACCAATCTGTTCAGGCTTGATCCCGTCTTTGAATAGTCTAGTGATGATCCTCTCTACGTTCATAGCCTCGACTCGGTTCAAGTAAGAGTTACCACTACCACTCAACTCCTCGCGTCCATAGTTTGCCCAGAACATCATTGGTGTTTCGGGTACAGGCCACGGAAACATTGCCCCTGAAACCACCCTATCGTCGCTGGTGACTCCGTTTTGCAAAGACCCTTCATAGAACATGTTACTTGGAAACTCAGACAAACACGGGTGCATCCGGTACTGCACTTCCAATCTAATAGGCACGTGACCGAGAAACACCAAGCGTTCGAAAAGCGATTGTTTCAATCCAGCATCGGCGGCTTTTCTATCGAGAATAACTGGGCCCAACTGTTGGTGGTCCCCCACGAGAATCACCTGTTTGGCTCCTTTGACTATAGGAATCAAGACTTCTGGCTCCGAGGCTTGTGTGCTCTCGTCAATCAACACAGTTCGAAACTTGAGCTGCGCCAACCGTTTGTCGGCGGCACCAACACATGTACAGCACACAACATCGGCTTTGCTCAATATCCTCAGCTCACATACTCTCAAGAGCTTGATGTAAGCTTGCGAGTCGTCACTGGAAAGCTCGCCAACTTCTCTTTTCAACTTGATGAGCTTTTTCAATTCACCTTTGGCTGAATTGTCTACCATATTGTGTAGTGCCAAGTGACTAACTGAGCTTTCAACGTCCTCGCGTGATTTCGCAGTAAGCCGCACCACCTTCAACCCAGTCATGTTCAATTTCTCAGCCAAGTGGTCAACTGCAACGTTTGATGGTGCACAAACCAATATTTTCTCTCTGTTCAATTGTGACAAGTGGAAGATGATGGTTGCAGACGTCACGGTTTTGCCTGTACCAGGCGGACCCTGGATGAGCGAGAGCGGTCTTTGCAAAACAGACCTCACGGCATTTGTTTGCGACACATTCAACTCGGTTAGTTTTGGATGTGAAAAGTGCTTTGGCATCTTGATGTCAAGCTCGACTGGCGCAACATTGTGTCCAAGAAGCTTGTGGTAGATGTAGGATGACACAGACTCCTCGTTTGTGGCAAAGTCCTTCATTGCTTGTTGCATACGGTCATAGGATGTGCCCTTCCATACAAACTCCGCGGTGAAGTCGGTGGTGAGAGTTGTAGGAGGCGCTTGCTTACTAGGATTGAGCTCTAATGTAAACTCTTCTTGATGCGAGTTGGGCAAGCGCAAGATAAACCCACGTCCTTCCCAGGGCTCCATCGCACTGCCGCTGTACCTAAGAATGATCTCGTCCCCAACAGCAACCTTCAAGTCTGTTGTCTCGTATGTCGATAATGCAAACGACGCCAAGTGGCGGTTGTTCAAGCCTAGTGCCCACTTGACTTGGATGTGCTCGAGTGCTTGTGACTCTTTTAAGTTCTTGTCATAGTCGGCTTCGGCCTTGACTAGAGGCCCAAATGATCTTTGGTATTGGAATCCATCATTATACCTCATCAAGATTGGCAATATCTCCTCCTCATTGGTGATGTTGTTGTCGACAACATCATTGATGGTTGCTGCACGATTGAGCCTCCATTGAGCCTCCAACTTGGTAATCTGTTGAGGAGTCACTTGTCGAGCCTTGATTAGTGCCTCTTGATCTGGCGGCGGCGCTAGCCATGGAAGAAACTGCCGGTCTTCAATGAGCGCCTGCCAGTGACTTGTATCCCAGTTGATATCCTTGGACCGCGCGCAGGGTAACCGACATAGAATCACCACCACAGACTCCTGCTTTGCCGAGACAAACCCCAACATAAACACATTCTTGTTGCCGCAGTTGTAACACTCGAGCGTGGTGTCTCCAAGATCAGACTCTTCGTGCAAGCTCACTTGGTTGTGGCGTGACATCACCAAGTGTGTAACAATATGCGAAGAGGAACTACCGTAGGAGCCATTGTTGGAGGAGGAGGTGCTATTGGAGACGGTGTTGGTCTTGTCGTTGCAGAACCATTTGTGGCACGTGTTGCACTTGATGATGGTATTGGGCGCGTCTACACCGCAATAAGCACATGCATGGCCTTTATCATCACTCATCTCTGATGATAAAAGAGGAGGAACAAGAAGTTTTTTAATTGTTTTTCAATTTTTTTTTTTTTCTTTTTTTGCTTCATTTTGGTATAAAGAGTTGTACCATGGATGACCTCCCGGACATGTGTCCGATATGTAAAACGGACAAGTACCTCTCGCCGTCCATGACATTTCTCATCAACCCCGAGTGCTACCACAAGATATGCGAGTCATGTGTTGATAGGATATTTTCACTTGGTCCTGCACCATGTCCGTATCCGAAATGTGGCAAGATCCTTCGAAAAAACAAGTTCAAGCAGCAAGTGTTTGGCGACTTGAAGATTGAAAAGGAGATCGATGTGAGGAGGAAAGTGGGCGGTATTTATAACAAGACACAGGAGGACTTTGCTACCCTCGAAGAGTATAACCAGTACCTTGAACTTGTTGAAGAGATTGTTTTCAAATTGAGTAATGGCATCGAGGTGGAGAAAACGGAGCAGGATCTAGCTCAATATGAACAAGAGCACAAGATAGAAATACTCGAAAAGAATATGCGCGAGTCGCAGAGAACGGCCAACTTGACCAAGTATCAAGATGCAATGGAAAGATTGAAACAGGAAAAGCTAAAGATCCAACGAAAAATGGAGATGGAGGACCTTGAGTTTAAGAAGTTGCAGCAGCAGGAGCTTTTGGATAGAATGTCGAATAGTGACATGAGCTCAGCAGAGTTGATCCAGCATCACCAGATGCAATTGAATAAACGCAACTCGCTAAGAAAGAAACAGTTGCAGCAGATTACAAACAAGTTGGACCAACAGTTTATCCCAAAGCAAAGCGAACCCAATAATAGTATACCATTCACGCCATTTGAAGGAGATCGTGCATCGCCAATGTACAACACAGAGGAGTACCACGACCCATATATCTTTGAGCTATCGTCCAAGAAGGAGTATTTGGCCGCAGGATGGAGACTCGAGTTGGTATTCCAAAGAGCATTAGACGAGGCATTCTGTGGTATAGGCTGTCACGTGGAAGCCGAAAAAAAGTTGGTAACGGTTTAAAAATCTATAAATTTGATCTCTGGGTGATAGTATATGGGACACGCAAAGTAGCTCCTTTTCACATCGTCCCAGACAGCTGTATCTGTATGCACCTCTTTTGGCACATTCACCTCTGTGATATCGCACTTGAGCCCATACTGCTCAAGATCAATAGCGATCAACTTGTTGTACACATGGTACACCACTTGTCGATCCGCACCAAGCCCGTTGAAGAAGGAGCACACGCCTTTTGGTTTCAATAATGCTACAACATAGTCAAACAAGTCAAGCATATCGCTATAGTGTTCAGAAAACGTGTCGTAGTAGATCCCGTCAAGCACAACGTTATCGTTGAGAAGCTTGCTGAGATTATCCTGCCACCTTCCTGGCATCACCACCACATTCGGCTTATCGAACCATCCGTCCAGTTGCATCTTGGCCAACACATCGGGGTGCGCTTCACAGATGTAGTGTTTCGTTGGGTTTTTCGCCTGAATCATATGGTCTATGATCCCCATACCAAACCCAATGTTCAACACAGAAACATCTTTATCCTGTTGTGCACCTAGAAAGATGGAGTCTGCACCCAATTGCATAATCTCTCTTTCCCAGTCCATCATCACAGCATCCCTAGAATCCTTGGTCACCAAAGCATTCTCTACATACTCAAGCTTGGTGTCAAGGTATGCTTGCTGGTTCAGTGCAGGGTCGACGTCCTCTGCAGAAGTAAAGCCGTCTGCAAGGCCAAACTCGGCCATTTTCCTTAAAAGCAATTCTGCTCTCACACCAGCATCTACGATTCTATCATAGATGGACGGAAACACTCTAGCCAAATCACGCCGGATCAATATGCACCCTGGCGTTTCGTTATTGGCATCCGTCAAGCTCCACCCTGCTCCATGTTCAAATAGTATATCGACCATCTCTTCAACAACCGCGAGTTCACTTTTGTCCAAGTCGGGAGGAATGGCATTGCAGAGCAAATGAAGGGGCGTGGTTGTTGCTGCTAGTGCTCGGCTTGTGGCCTCTTCTACGGTGTACGTCGCAGGGACGCCGCTGTTCATCAATTGGGTCAACCTATCCAAGTATGTGTAAGTGATAGGTCTATCTCTGAGATTACAGAGTTCATGCAAGTCTGTCATTGTTGATATGTGCTTTGAAGTGAAGAAAAAAAAAAAGAAAAAAAAAAAAAAGAAAAGAAAAGGAAAGGGAGGTGTAGAAGGGGAGCAGTACACCAGAGCAGTGGGAGCAGAGCAGTACACCAATACAGTACCAATACAGTACCAATACAGTACCAATACAGTACCAATACCGCAGCCATACCGCAGCCATAGCGCACCAAGCAGTACCAGGACGGAGTTTAAAGCTATAGGACCTAGGTGCAGGAAGTGCGTACTCGAATATTGATTTCAGGAATCGTATGATTTCTTGAAAATTAGTTGGCTTTTGTGTTTGGAACACTACCCATATATCGCCAGCCAGTTGTGAGTGTGTGATAAAGTTGATCGAGTTGTGGTTTCAAGATTGGATCACACAGAGAGGGGCATGTAACGGTTGGTCATAATGGGGTGATGAAAAAGAAATGGAAAGAAAGAAAAGGTATGGCCAATATGGCCAGTGAGTCCAATGTGCTTTCTGTTTTCTGTTTGTTTTTTTCAAGGGGTATGCATTTTGCAGCAGAGACTATAAACTACCCCGAAAATGACCTATAAGAAAATCTCCAGTTCCAAACCAGGTTTACAGATCTTTGCAGACTTCAACTAAGAACGAACGGTTGGGGAAAAAGAAACCAAATCATTGGCAAGTGTACTTGTGGCTATAAGTAGGTCGAGTCCGTACGTCTCTCTCTTTTTCGTTTTTTTTTTTTTGTTTTCAATCTGAAGGCCACCCCTAGAAGTGATGTCTTTTAGATTACTGGAGTACAATACGTTTATCCCAGCAGAGGATATGCAGAGTGAGCCCTTATGTCTTCTTGGCCAAGGAGACGCCAGTTCGGCGAGAAGGGTGCCTACTGAGTCATCTTCGTTCCCTGTTGATATAGACTTTGGGTTGAGTGAGTATATGAGTAATGGGCGTGGGCGGGGCACGCCTGAGGGTGGTACTGAGTACTTGGATGCAGAGTATGTGAATTACGAGCAAGAACTAGCGGGACAGATGGCACAGCAAATGACAGGGCAGGTGCAAGGGCAGGTGCAAGGGCAGGTGCATCCGATGCCCCAGCAGATTCCAATCCCTTGTAGAGACACAGCCCTTTCGACTGTGCCGGTATTAGGGTCACCCTTATCCATGGAGACGCCTTATCCGCAAGTTTTCCAAGATAGTTCCTCGCCGCTGACGCCCAGCAGTACGTCAAAGGACAGGCAGAGACCCTCTTTATACACAAGGTCGACGCTGTCTCTACCGACAAGCGGAGTTTCTGCACGACCCGGAAGACCGCGTGTTAAATCTGCACATAATGTTATAGAGCAGCGGTACAGGAACAAGATCAACGACAAGTTCAATGCGCTACAAGAATCCGTTCCCACGTTGAAAGTGTTGTCGATGAAGAAGCACGAGGAGAGAATGAGGCTGGAGGATGATAGTGACGAAGAGGACGAGGAGTTGAGCTCAGCAATAGATATAGACTTGGAAGGGCTTGAGCCGGCGCGGAAACTAAACAAAGGAACGATCCTTGCAAAGTCAATTGAGTATATAAAATTTCTTGAGTCGAAGAACGATAGAATGAAGCAGGACCAGCAGGACTTGCTACGCCGGGCGAAACTGATGGGAATACCCTTAAATAGCTTGCAATAAAAAAAGGTTTGTTTTTATGGGATGTTACTAATGTAGTGTTTGTGATACGATGAAGAATTTTTTTTTTTTTTCTTTCTCTCGTAAACGACGGAGTCAGACCATAAGAGATTATATAAACGGTGAGCAAAACCCTGAGAAATAGAAGAGTTAGTCCTTGATACTATTAAGATGTTGCTTGTAGATTTACTTGTCTCTGGATACAGCTACTTCCAAGCGCTTTCCACAGCGCAGCAAGTAGCATTTATAATTGTTGTTCCATTTATCTACAACTTAGTGTGGCAGTTGGTTTACTCGTTTAGAAAAGACCGTGTCCCCTTAGTCTTCTACTGGATACCTTGGATCGGGTCAGCTGTTCCGTTTGGTCTGCAACCATATGTGTTTTTTGAACAGTGCAGAGAAAAGTATGGAGACGTTTTTGCGTTTGTGCTTATGGGCAGTGTTATGACTGTTTATTTAGGTCCCAAGGGCCATGAGTTTATCTTGAATGCCAAGTTGTCTGAGGTCTCTGCCGAGGAGGCGTATAAGCATTTGACGACGCCTGTGTTTGGCAAAGGTGTTATCTATGACTGTTCCAACGCGCGGTTGATGGAGCAGAAAAAGTTTGCCAAGTTTGCCTTGACCACCGACTCGTTTAGAAAGTATGTGCCTTTGATTCGAGAGGAGATCATAAAGTACTTTACCAATAACGAAGCATTTAGTCTTGACAAGAGGAGTAGCGGAGTTGCCGATGTGATGAAGACACAACCTGAGATCACGATATTCACAGCCTCGCGCTCGTTGATGGGTAAGGAGATGAGAGATAGGTTTGATGAGCTGTTTGCACAATTGTACTCCGACTTGGATAAAGGGTTTACCCCTGTGAACTTTGTATTTCCTCACTTGCCATTGCCCCATTACTGGAGAAGAGATGTTGCACAAAAGAAGATCTCTTCCACCTATATGAAGGAGATTACAAAGAGAAGAGAAACCGGTACTGTTGATGAGCACCAAGACTTGATCAGCTCATTGATGACCAAGTCGACGTATAAGGACGGAGTGCAAATGTCCGACCAGGAGATTGCTAATTTGTTGATTGGGGTATTGATGGGAGGACAGCACACAAGTGCGTCCACCTCTGCGTGGTTCTTGTTGCATCTTGGGGAGAAGCCAGAGTTGCAAGAGGAACTCTATCAAGAGATCCAAGAAGCCCTTTTAGCAAAGGGGGGCAATCTCAGCGACTTGACGTACGAGGACTTGCAGAAGATGCCGCTTGTGAATAACACCATCAAGGAAACCTTGAGAATGCACATGCCATTGCACTCGATCTTTAGAAAAGTCATGTCTCCCATGGTGGTGCCCGGAACAAAGTATGTTGTTCCCAAGGGACACCATGTATTGGTGTCTCCAGGGTATGCGCATACCAGTGAGAGGTACTACAAGAACGCATCGACATTCGACCCACACAGATGGGACGAGGCCAACATGCCTTCTAAGGATGCAGACGAGGTTGATTATGGGTTCGGTAAAGTGTCTAAAGGTGTAGGCTCTTCGTACTTGCCATTTGGTGGGGGCAGACACAGATGTATTGGAGAGCAGTTTGCATATGTGCAATTAGGAACCCTCTTGACCACTTTTGTATACCACATGAAGTGGAAGTTGAAGGGCGACCATGTGCCGGCCGTAGATTACACGAGTATGGTGACACTTCCTGAGCTGCCTGCAGAAATCCTCTGGGAAAAAAGAAAAAGAATGTAGAAAAAGAAAAATAAAAAGAAGAAGAACCATCACTCAGTATTTTTATAAATAGTTTTTAATGCACTTTGTTATCAAGGTACCAGCCTCTTCGGCGAATATCGGGCCTGGGTTCGATGTGTTGGGTGTAGCGTTGCAGCTTTATCTTACTGTAGAGGTGGACGTTGACGAGGGGAGCAAAACATCGGGGGATGTATCGGGGGATGCATCTGTGTACGGAGCGCAGCTCTCCTACACCGGAGATCTTGCCGAGAAGGTGCCTTTAGAGTGCGACAAGAACTTGATTACCAAGACGGCAATGTATGTTCTTGAGAGACATGGGGTGAGCAGGTTCCCCACGGGTACTCGAGTGAAAGTCCACAACCCGATCCCATTGGGACGAGGATTAGGATCAAGTGCCAGTGCTATTGTTGCCGGGGTGTACTTGGGCAATGTGATTGGGAAGCTAGGATTGAGCAAGAGGAGGATGTTGGACTATTGTTTGATGATCGAGAAGCATCCTGATAATGTAGCAGCAGCAATGCTTGGCGGGTTTGTTGGATCATATATAAGGGAAGAAGAAGAGAGTGAAGGCATTCCCTCGAATGTGGAGTATTTCCAGTACAACTGGAACAAGAAGATCAAGTGTATAGTGATAGTTCCCAGCTTTGAGGTGAGTACAGACAAGTCGCGAGCAGTGTTGCCCATGTCCTATTCAAGGGAAGATGTGGTTTTCAACATGCAGAGAATAGCTATTCTCACCTCTGCATTGGCACAGGACCCGCCCAACCACTCTATGATATACGAGGCAATGAAGGATAAGCTCCACCAGCCATATAGAACGGTGTTGATACCTGGGTTGGATAGAGTTTTGAAAGAGGTTGTTCCTGAAAGGTTTGAGGGGCTTTGTGGGATCTGTTTAAGTGGTGCGGGGCCAACGATCTTGTGTTTGGCAACAGACAAGTATGAGGATATTGCACAAAGTGTGGTTAAGATATTTCAAGAGGAGAATATAGAGTGCGATTGGAAAGTGCTTGAATTGGCGTATGATGGGGCGACATTATCGAGCTAGCAACACTATCGAGCGCAGCGAGATAGTGTTGCAACAGTAGATAAGCAACACTAACGAGCGCAGCGAGATAGTGTTGCAACAATAAATAGCACTATTGAGCTAACAACAATAAATAGCACTATTGAGCTAACAACAGTAAATAGAACTATTGAGCTAGCAGTAAATAACACTATTAACATTATTACCCCCGCTCCATAGTGAGCAACACTTTGTAGTCATACTTTGTAGTCATACTACTAACACTATCGAGCAGAGCGAGATAGTGTTGCTCGATAGTATTGCTCGATAGTGATGGTGAGAAAAAAAAGAAAACCAACTGTTGGTCAGTCTGCTCCACTATCTCGCTCTGCTCGATAGTGTCGTTATCATGAACACGCAGCCTGTTTTCCTCTCGCAAGTCTTAGTGAATGATTCGGACTCGTTTAGCGACTCCTTCTATGGGAAGCTATTGAGTCCTGTATTGAGCAATGCCGATTGCACATTAGCGCAGATGTGCCAGAGGATCCACGAGTCTGCACAAAAGCTACGCAGTACAGGTATATTTGAGACCATCAAGGTCCGGGTAGAGCCGGACATATCCACTTCCGTACCCTCAGTGCCTCATGGTTTTGAGTGCATTCCTGCTAAAGTGATATTTGATGTGGCCACCAAACCGGTGAAGAACAACTACATATATCTCAGATGTGATCAAGAGTATCTCAATGTGCAAGTGGGCCACGAAGCTTTCAAAGAGAATGGGGAAGAGGTATCATTAGGGGTAGACTATAACCCATACAAGCCGTATGACCGTTTATTGACACGGGTCAAGTTTGGCACGTGCTTAAAGGACCCTAGGGTCAAGATGGTGATGGATATGGCGTACAGTAATGATATGCAGTGCAAGAATCAAGCAGGGGCCACAATTGGATTACTTAGGAAAGGAATGTTGGAAGCGTTTGTTGGGATGTCGATATACCAGAGACGCTCTAGATCTCTCAAGTCTAGTATAGTGAGCAAATTGCACTGGCACAATGTAAAGTATCATGGCGACACCTTTGCAGTGGATGGGGATACCTTTGCAGTGGATGGGGACACCTTTGCAGTGGATGGGGACACCTTTGCAGTGGATGGTGTTGACGCTGTGGTGGAGTGTGAATGTGCATCTATCAAAGAGAGCAAAGTGTACGAGTTTTTCAAGCTGAGAGTTTGTATTGATGTGTATAAGACGGTTTTGGATACCACCGTGCATGTTCACGGCGAAGCTGCCGGGAAGTTCCCAGAGGAAACCTTTAAAAGAGATGGTATTGACTACAAGATTCTGGGTACCGTGTTTTCGAAAATGCCGTATTTCGGAGTTGCCAAAAAGGAGGTGCACCCACTCCGGCTTTACGGGACGACTTTAATAGACAGTAGCAATGGCCTTGGGTATGGAGTTGGGGTTCGGTACTTTCACCCGTGGGCCAGTTTTGATCTTGGTTACGTAGCCAATGCCCCTGGCGTGCACATGTCCATTTCTATAGGCGCAAAAATATAAACATAAACACCCACCTCTTCTCTTTAAAATCAATGGGCATTCAAGGGTTGTTGCCCCTTTTAAAGAGCATTTCAGAGCCATGCACTCTTGAGAAGTTCCGTGGCCAGACATTGGCCGTGGATGCGTACGGGTGGATGCACCGGTCCCTCGTGTCGTGTGCCGAGGAGCTCTATAAGGGTATACCTACACGAAAGTATATCAACTATATTCGAAAACGAGTCGAGATGCTTCAACATTTCGGGATAACCCCGTACATGGTATTTGACGGAGCAAGCTTAGCCACCAAAGCTGCCACAAACGAGTACCGGTTAAGGATGCGACAAGAAGCCAAGTTCAAGGTTGAAAGGTATTTGAGAGAAGGGAAAAAGCATTTAGCATCCAAAGAGTATGTCAAAGCCACAAGCGTCAGTTTTCAAATGGTGAAGCTGGTAATGGAAGAGATGGATGAGATGAATGTGAAGTATATAGTTGCGCCGTATGAGGCGGATCCACAAATGGTGTATTTGGAAAAGACTGGTGTTGTTGACGGGATCATTAGCGAGGACTCCGATTTGCTTGTGTTTGGGTGTAAGAGATTGATCACAAAGTTGAAGGACGATTCTAGTTGTGTAGTTGTGAACAAGAATGATTTCCACAAGGTCAAGGGGATGCCGTGTTTAGGACGGTTTTCGGAGCACCAGTTGCGGCTTGCCGCGATGATGTCCGGGTGTGATTATACCAAGGGGATTCCCGGGATAGGCTTGAAGACGGCTATTCTGTATGTGACGCGGTATACGAGCATGCGCAAAATCGCCATAGCCATGCGGTGCACCGGGCGAAAGATCCCTGAGAACTTTGAAGATGAGTTGGAAAAGGCCAATCTTGCATTTCAGTTTCAAAAAGTGTTTGATCCAAGAAGAGAGATCATGACCACGCTTAATGAGATACCGAAAGATTTAGTGGTGGATATAGAGGTTTTGGAAACGTGCTGTGGAAGAACAATCCAGGACCCGGATATGGTGAGAAAGATGTGCAATGGCAAGATCAATCCGAATGAGACAAAGAGGAAACGGTCATTATCGGAACTGGATATCGAGACGCCAAAGAGGCCGCGGCTTGTAAACTCGGCAACAGAAGTATCGCCAGCGACAAAGAAGTTGCAGAAACTCTATACGCATCTTGATATGACATTGTTAAAGTCAAGCAGGTACTTTATCATCCCGCCGTCTGTGGATTATCCGAAAGTGCGCACCGAGAGCAAGTATGATGTATGGGACTCGAGTTTGATTGAGGACTCGGAGGTACCCGAGACGTCCCCGGTGAAGGGGGGGGAGGAGAAAAAGAAGGACAACCAAGGGGTGATCCTTGATGGAGAGACCCTTGATGGAGAGACCCTTGATGGATTTGATGTTTCCAAGACAGATGACGAGATAGAGGAGTCGCCGGTGAAGAGGGAGATGAAGGTGAAGAGTTATATATTGAAGGAGTTTGCGTATAGGTACTGACCGCGACACTAGCGAGCAAAGCGAGACACTAGCGAGCAAAGCGAGCTAGTGGAGCAGACTCACTGTCATCAAAATTAAAAGCACCTAGCTTAATACAACACTATAGAGCAGAGCGAGACACTAGCTCGCTTTGCTCGCTAGTGGAGCAGACTCACTGTCATCAAAAGTAAAAGCACCTAGCTTAATACAACACTATTGAGCAGAGCGGGATAGTGTTGGTCAATAGTGTAGCTGTATAGTGTTGCTCTATAGTGTAGCTCTATAGTGTAGCTCAATAGTGGCTCTATAGTGTTGATAGCTATTTACTGTTGCGCAACACTATCTCGCTGCGCTCGATAGTGTTGCTCTGCACGATAGTGTTGCTCTGCACGATAGTGTTGCTATTGCCAACCTTGTCAATTCCCCCTGAGATGTCCCCTCTATTTTATAAACTCCCCTCACCTCATGTTCATTACATAGATGGAACAACTCTATATCCAGTACATCTGTCTCCTCCACATTCTCGCCAACTTTCACCCTTATGGCAGTACCACTCCCCTTCATGCCGAACCTGTTTATTGCGTCCGAGATGACATTTACAGGAGACAAGTTTAGGAGAATCTCTGTGTTGAAAGACTTTGTTTGCATTGAGCCGTCTAGGTAGCTTTGGAGGGACTTGTAGACACTATAAAGAAGATGCTCTTTAGACACAATATACGCCGGGTTTATATAACAAGCCTCTGGCTCGTCATAATGAGTTACCAAGGAGATTGCGATTTTGTAGTTTGGAAACTGAGGAAATATCATTGAAAGAAAAAAGTATTCCTCAAGTGTTCTTTTTTTTTTTCTGCATGAGTTCTCTTCACCCCGAAGCGATTCTCCAGCTGTCAGCACGAGGCACGAAACTTTACTCCACGTTGAGCACGGCGCCGAATGGGACGACCGTGCGATGGCACGAGTCGACATTGGGTACAGTAGAGCAGATTCTTGTTGAGAACTGGCAAACGCCAGTGGAGGACGGCATGAAAAGTACACGAGCCGGACTATTCTGTTGGGCAACAAACGAGACCGAGCCTATGCCCAATACAGAGAAGAGGATAATCCAGAGTCTTGGGCTATCATTTAGGAGCGGGGAGGCCACCTTGACCAGGATCGCAGAGACCGAGTCTAACAAGTTTGTACAAGAGAGAATAAATAGGGAGAAGCATAGAGAAATTAGCTTGATTGATATATAATCGAAAAAAAAAAAAACATCAATACTCTACCTCTCCTCTCTACTTCTCTTCTCTATTCTTTTTATGAAACGGCTTTATAGTCCTGTGGTGACACATTTGAGTAATGGCATTAGAGTGGTTACCGACTCTACGCCGGGCCATTTTTCAGCGCTAGGTGCATACATTGATGGCGGGTCGAGGTATGAAACCTCTTCGACGTTAGGGCTTAGCCATATCCACGACCGGCTTGCCTTCAAATCGACGAGAAACTATTCTGGAGTCGAGATGATGGAGCAGTTGCAGAAGCTCGGAGGCAACTATATGAGTTGTGCGCAACGAGAGTCGATGATCTACCAAGCAAGTGTTTTCAACAAGGATGTGGAGAGTATGATGGATATGCTTGCAGAGACTATCCAGAACCCGCGCTTTACCGAGAGAGAGTTTTTGGAAGCGTTGCAAACTGCGGATTACGAGGTGCAAGAGTTGGAGTATAAGCCGCAGATCTTGCTTTCGGAGAAGTTGCACGAGGCTGCATATAAGGGCGGTTTAGGGAACTCTCTATTCATCAAGAGAGAAAGAATTCCAGACCTAAGGAGAAGTGATGTTGTGGAGTACCATAGAGAGTTTTTCCAGCCAAGCAATATAGTGGTGGCGATGGTGGGTGTACCAGAGGAGAAAGCCATCAGGATGGTGGAGGAAAAGTTCAATGGATCTCCATCAGGCAAGGCCAGGGAACGAGTTGGTTCTTATATTGGGGGAGAGGTGTGTGTCCCCCACCAAGTGCCGCTTTATGCCAACCAGCCCGAGCTTTACCACATGCAAGTTGCATTTCAGACCACGGGGTTATTGGATGACGATTTGTATGCGTTAGCGACATTACAGAAACTTCTTGGTGGCGGGTCCTCGTTCAGTGCCGGGGGTCCAGGGAAAGGGATGTTTCTGAGACTTTACACAAACGTGTTGAACCGGTGTCATTATGTCGAGAGCTGTGTTTGTTTCAACCATTCGTATATAGACAGTGGCCTCTTTGGGATATCGTTGAGTGTGGAGCCTGAAGCCGGAGGCATTGCCGGGGAGATTATTGGGCAAGAGCTAGTCAAGTTAGTGGAGGGGGAGATTGGGGAGGAGGAGGTGCAGCGAGCCAAGAACCAGCTCAAGAGTTCAGTGTTGATGAATATGGAGAGCAAATTGGCGCGGTTAGAGGATTTGGGTCGGCAGGTGCAGTGTCAAGGGAAGGTGACGAGTATAGATGAGATGATAGGTAAGATTGAGGGGATGAGAGTGGCTGATTTGAGGGGAGTAGCCGAGAAGGTTTTAAAGGGGAGACCATCGATTGCTATGCAAGGGAGGAGGAACCAGTTTGGGGATGTAAGGGGGGTGCTTAGGAAAATGGGGTTAGGGACTACACTATCGAGCGACACTATCGAGTGAAACGAGATAGTGGAGCAAGACTAGACGAGTGAAACGACACTATCGAGTGAAACGAGATAGTGGAGGTGAGACTAGACAAGTGAGACTAGACAAGTGAGACTAGACGAGAGAGACTAGACTCGTTTACTCGTCTAGTCGATAGTAGATAGATGTGAGCGGGATAGTGTATAACAATATAGTCTAACGAGTCTAACAATATAGTATAATGAGCCTACAAAGCTACTCTAACGAGTCTACCGATCTAATCTAACGAGACTAGCAAGTTTACAGAGATAGTGAGTGCTGCTCGAATGGAGTGAGAAAGTGCTGATGACAGTTAGTAAGTGCTGCTCGATAGTGAAGTGAGAAAGTGCTGATAACAGCTAGTAAGTGCTGCTCCACTATGTCACTCGATAGTGTTGATGACAGTTAGTAAGTGCTGCTGGATAGTGGAGTGATAAAGTGTTGATGACAGCTAGTAAGTGCTGCTCCACTATCTCGCTTCGCTCGATAGTGTCACTCGATAGTGGAGTGGAGAGTGTCTCTCTCCAACCTCAACACAGCCTCTTTCAACTGATTATTTTCCTCTCTTAACCCCTTCATCTCCAACTCCCTCTCCAGACTCTCCAAATGCATCATCTCTATACTACTTTTATAATGGTTGATTTTATTCTGAAAGTCAAAGTTTTCATCATTGTACCGTTTGCTCAATTGAGTTTCTGACGCCACACGCGACTCCAACTGTTTGACGTGTCTTTGGAGGGCGCTGATTGTCACTTCGCAATCGTGTTTCTCCTGTACCGCCAGCGCCAACTCATTTGAGAGCGACTTGTTTCTGGATTCCAAGTAGTTGATTTGTTTGTTGCTATAGAGTTTGTATTCTAGGTCCTTTACTTTTGAGTGTAGTTCCGTATTGATTTTTTTGAGGTGGTAGTTTTCCTCATTGGCTAGGAGGAGATTGTTGCGGATCTTTTGTTGTTCTTTAAAGTCTGAGGAGGATGCTTTTTGGGATTGGCCTAGTTCTTGTTTGACGGCCTCGGCCTCTTCTTTTTGATTGGCAAGGTGTGTTTTTAGAAAGGAGAGCTCTGACTGGAGGAGCTGGATACTGAGGTCTTTCTCGTGAATGGCGGAGACACCTTGAGAAAGCTCTGTTTTGAGCGAGTCAATCTCAAAAAGACAAGACTCTAGACGAGCAGTAAGGCTTTGTGTTTGTTCCTTTAGTAGTGATGCCTCCTTTTCCATATTGTTTATCCTGCGTTCATCTTCTATAGTCTTTGCCTCGAGAGATTTATTCATCTCCATCGACTTGTTGAGCCTGTGCTCTAGCTGCTCTTGGCGCAAGGCCATCTCCTCCATCTCCTTTTCACACCTACTCTTTTCCAGTAGAGCTTCTTCAACCTCTATTTTCAATTGCTTATTCTCCTTTATCAAAATGGTTTCTCTTTCCACCCTTTTATTAAAGTCTATACTCAACTTGCGCATCTCCTCCCTCAACATTTCATACGACTGTTTGTTCTCATAGTTCTGCACATGGTACGAGAGTTCTTCCTCCAAATCAGTAACTTTTTGCTTATAAAAAGCTTCCTTTTTATCAAACTCCAAAACCCTTGTTTCCAACTGCTCCCTTTTGGATAGTTGTTCTCTGAACATGATTTGGGAGGCCCGTGCCTCCTCCTTTGCCAAGAGCAAGCTGGACTTTATCTCCTCCATCTCTTTTTGCGCAAGCTGCTCGTGCTTTTTGGCAAGTGCCACTGCAGACTCGGCCAACTCCAACTTTTTGAAATACTCCTCTGCCCTCTTTTTGTAAAGCTCGTTGGTGTCCACTAGATCTTTGTTCTTGGAGAGTGCACTGTCGTACTTGACTTTGAGTGTAGCCATTTCCAGCTCGTACTTGTCCATTGCACTTTTGGACTTTTGTTGTTTGACTTGGTAGAGTTCGTCCTCAGACTCTCTAAGCAAAGCCTTTAATCGCAAGATCTCTGTTTTGGACGTGCCAAGCTCTTCGCGAGTGCATTTAAGTGTTTTGTTTGTATCTTGGTAGATCTGGACAAACTCAGGACTCACGCCTCTGAATATGAGGTCTGTTCCTATCAAGTTGGCCAATTTCTCTTCTAGCTGAGAAACTCTTGCTTGTGACTGTTTTAGTTTGAGCTCTGTGTCTGTGGAGTGGTTGAGGCCTCGAGAGGATTGGAGTTTGTTTAGTTTTTTCTGGAGTTCGATGGCGTAGTTTTCGGCGCGGAGGTAGTTGGCTCGGAGGAGTTCCATAGAAGGAGATAAAGGCGTAGCCGAAGGCGGAGCCTTTATCTCCAGCAAGGGGGAAGGAGCTGCAGCTGGAAGCAGAGCGCTCACCTTTTCAAGTGGAGCCTTTGGCTCCACCTCCCCTAACCTAATATACAACCTCACCCACAGACTCTGAGTCTGGATCACCTTAGAAATCACCTTAGCCGCATTCATCTCCCTCACTCTACCCACCATATCTCTCCTAAAAGCATTACCCCGAACTTTCCCCTGCAACCTCGTCACTACCCCCTTAATCCAATCCTCCCTCATCAGCTCCAACTGCGCTAGGATGGCATTTTTAAAAAAGATCTTTGTAATGCCCACTTTATAAGTGCCCTCATCCAAGTGCGAAAGCACCTTTCTACACTTTGCCTTTAAAGGAGCATCTCCCTCACACAAGACCCAGTACCTCAGATAGAACTCGTCAAAGGTGAGTTTGTTCGGGTACCCAGCACGAGTGATCCGTATCCCTTCAAGGACCCCATTACATCTCAACTGGTTGAGAACAAGGCGTTTATCAAAGATACCAGGTTTTTTTTGCAAGTTTGGAAGAATGCACCTGACAAAGTGAGGTTCTGTTTGTTGCAACTCCACCATCAACTCTTGTAGTTGCTCCTTATGTTTTTGAGAAGAAAACCTATACTTTGTAGTTGTTTTGGAAAAGAGGCTTGCCATTAATGGGCTGGACGAGGTGGCCATGAGCTGGAGAAGGGTTTCGTTTATGGGGTCGGTATTTTTCTGCACCCAGCCATGCGAAGTATACTCCACACTGCCTGCATAGTGTTGGATGATGAACCCATTATGCAACTTGTTGTGTATCAACTTGTCACTAGAGAGCAGGTTCAACCTGTTGATGAACAGCTCGTCAGAGGAGTTGGGCATGATACATTCCTCATCTAGTAGTTTGAAGATCCCCATGGGTGACTTTGATTCAAGAAGGTCTATAGTTGGTTGCAAATCCTTGCCAAAATCTATAAATTGCCATTCAATGTTTTCTCGGATATACTCATTCTGTTCATTGATGAAGGAGTGGTGGTTGAAGAACTGTTGGAGCTTTTCGTTTGTATAGTTGATGCACAACTGTTCAAACGAGTTGATGTCGAAGATCTCAAACCCGGCAATGTCCAACACTCCTATAAACGGCCCGCTCGTGTGGCTGCTCTCTAGGCTGATATTGATCTTGTCAATAATGTACTGGAAGAGGTTCTCGTAAAGGTGTTTGGCAAATGCATCAATGGCCGATTTCACTTCGGGCGGACGCCGTGAAATGGTCACCATCTCTCTGCCTGCTCTCACCTTGGGCGAAAGGAAACTCTCTTTGAGTGAGGAAAGAGGTACTTGTAGCAACTGCGCTATAATGGGGAGCTCCTTCTCACTAATGTTGGCCTTTTCCGAGGTCATGGAGGAGAAGGTGATGTTCCCGAGATGGAGAATCGCTCCTAGAATGGTAAAGATAAAGTGCACCTCCTCCTTGGTGAAGCCGACTATATCAAACGCTTGCATCAAATGGTGGTACTCCTTGAGATCGTCTATGGGGGTATCACCTTCAGGAGAGAGGTATTGGTACGTCTCCTCTTTATCCAACGAAAGAGCACCCAAATCATATCCCTTTAGAAGTTGATAAAACACATGGTAATTCCGCTCCTCCTTTCTCTGACTAACGACCCTCGACTTTTCCAACAAGTAATAGTCGATGTTGCCTCCTGTTAGCTTGCCGCCACTAAAGTAGATCTTTATAAACTTGCCGAACCTCGAAGAGTTGTTATTTTTGATTGTTTTTGCATTCCCGAAACTTTCTAGGATCGGGTTGGCCTGGAGAATGCGGTCATGGATATTGCCCAGGAGATGCGTGTTGGAGATGTACTGGATAACCTTTTTGGTATTTTCTGTTTTCCCGGCGCCCGACTCGCCCGTGACCAAAATGCTCTGGTTGGTGTTGTTGCTTAATAGCTTCCTATACGTTTGTTCTGCTATGCTAAAGATATGGGGTTTGGAACTATTGATCTGCTGCGGCAACTCTTTATACGGGTTGATGGCGACTAGAAACAACCCGGAATACGTATACACAAGGTCGTCGTTATACCTGAGGAGCAAGTTGTGCACTACAGACGGCTCGTTCAAGTGCGTGAGCTCGGCCATATCCTCGCACTTGTCGAACTTGGCGGGATTGCACTCATAGACAGAGTCGAGCGGGAACTCTAGAGGGGTAGAGTCCACAGTGACGCGCACCAGGCTAGTAAGGTACTCGATCACCTCCCCTTTGCAGTAGTGGTCATGATACGGCACCCAAAGTGACATCAAGGTAGGGAAAGAAGTAGGGAAAGGAAGAAGAAAGAAGAAAGAAGAAACAAGGTAAACAATGTGAATAAGGTAAATATGGTAAACAAGGTAGTGCCTTCTTTTTTCTATTTACTTTTGAAGAGCTACCAACGCTCTAGCGTGGATACTCTCGACTCACTACTCCACTAGCGAGCAAAGCGAGCTAGTGTCACTACTCGCTAGTGTCGCTACTCTCTGCCTATTACATACTGCTCACTGCTCACTACTCACTACCCTTTACATACTGCTCCACTAGCTCGCTTTGCTCGCTAGTGTCGCTAGTCGCTAGTATCGCTTTACATACTGCTCCACTAGTTCGCTTTGCTCACTAGTGTCGCCACTAGCTCGCTTTGCTCACTAGTGTCGCCACTAGCTCGCTCCGCTCGCTAGTGTCGCTTCGCTCACTAGTGTCGCTGTCCACGCTGTAACTACTAAACAACGAGTGAGGGCTGGAGTAGACACTCTGCTCCTGGAGTAGGGTATCTGCATAGTGGAGCATATCTGTATTCTCATTGATCAACTCTATGATATAGGAATGTTTTGAGTGGAACTTTCGTATGATGTGGATGACACTTGTGTACTTGCGCGTGAGCACATCTGTCACTTTTGTGAGCAGGAGGATGAACTGGATACATATTTTGCGCGTCGTTTGGTCTAGCCGTCTGGGTGCAGGCCGGTCGGCCATTGAGCAGGCTAGGAGGTGGGCGGTGGTGGCCACCTTGCTTGTCGGCACCGACAAGTAGAACCGATCGTATAAGGACAACTCGCAAAGGAAGCGTGCGAGTGTGAGGACCTGTTTTTCTGGTGCGCTCAATTGTAAACACTCTTCCAAGGTGGGGTGGGCAATGGCCCATTGGAGGGTGCTGAGGATATGCATTTCCATCTGCACAAACATCTCCTCGTCATAAGCGTGCCGGCACATGATACACAACTCCTTGAGGGTGGGCACTCGTGATTTCTTGTCTTCGTATTTGCCTGCAATCCATAAAGCCGTGCATCCTACGAGCTGGTAGTGTCTTTTGAAAACAATGCGTTTGGCACAGTACCGGTCGATGATGTTGATGCAGAGAAAGAGTGTTTGTGGCTGTAGTTTGAACGAGGAGTGGAGCTCTATAAGGAAGTCGAGGAGAAACGGCCGCATGAACCATTGGATCTCGGGCTGCAAGTCGATCATCGCGGGGTTGACTGAGGAGGATACCTCGAGACGGGAAAGCGTATCGAGGTAGTCGCTAAAGTACTCAGAGATCATGAGGAGGAGGAGACAGCTGGTGGGAGAGGAGCTGAGGGAGGAGACAGCTGAGAGAGAGAGGAGAGAGAGAGCTGGGGTGGTGGTTTATATACAATGAATTAATCCGCTTTGGGACATACACAAAGCGCGAAAGGGTCAAACGCGAAAACAACAAAAAGAATCAGAAACAAAAAGCACCAAAAAGAATCAGAAACAAAAATTAATAAAAAGCACCAAAATTAATAAAAGCACCAAAATTAATAAAAAGCACCAAAATTAATAAAAAGCACCAAAATTAATAAAAAGCACCAAAATAGTTCTTTTCAAGTAATCACCAAAATAATTCTTTTCAAGTATCACCAAAATAGTTCTTTTCAAGTATCACCAAAAATTAATTACCAAAACAATTCTCAAGTATCACCAACAATTCTTTAATCACTATTAGTCTTCTCTTTAATCACTCTTAGTTTCCTCTTCTTTTTACTTCCTCTTTATAGTTTCATCTACGGATAAGATCACTGTAGCCGCCTCTGTGGCCGAGTCTATAGCGTTGATCTTGACTAGAGAGGGCTCCCAGATATGCCCTCTCATATTATCTGCTATAGACTCTGTTTCAAAGTCGATGCCCATCCAGAGCTCGCCCTTTGCATGGGCGCTTCTCAATTTGTTCAACAACTCTATAGCGTCCAACCCGCCGTTTTCACAGAGCTGTCTTGGAATGACCTCAAGCGCGCGTGCAAACGCGCCGATGATGAGCTGCTGCTTGCCAGCAATTGTTTTCGAGTACTCTCTAAGGTGTTTCGAGAGCTCCATTTCAATGGCGCCGCCGCCGGCAACTATATGGTGGTGGGTCTTGGCCCGTTTCACCACCATGATTGCATCGTGGAGAGACCTCTCCACCTCTGCAATCACCTGTTCTGCGCCGCCGCGGAGAATCAAGGTGGACGCCATATGCGGGGTGCCAGTAAACAAGTTGTACCTCTCACTGCCGATCTGCACCTCCTCAAACTTGGCACACGTGCCAAGTGTGAAATCGCTGCACACACTGTGCACCGTGCCATCTATAGCCTTGGATAACCTGAGGAGGTCCTCTTTGGCGACTCTTCCTGCGCAAAAGATATTTCTATCTGCAAAGTATTGAGTGGCCAAGTCGCCAATGGGCTGCATGGAGAGCACGATATTTGCGCCCAGGGCGCAGATATGGTGCAATTTTGTCAATACAATCTGCCACTCTGCATCCACAATAGACTGGTACTCATAGACCTTGCTCACACGCACCTCTGCGTTATCGCGCTCCTGCTTCAACTCAAGCTCGATATCAAGCAAGAGGATCTTTGGGTTGAGAAACAGTTTCGGCTGTTGCTCGAACCCGGCATACGAAAAGGTCTTTTTGAAAGCAATGCCTGGGATGAAGAGACTATCTTGTAAGGCGCCGCCGCTAACCTTTTTGATGGCATAGTCGCCGCTGGCCACAGCGTCGACGGCCATCTTTGTGAAGAACGGCGAGTTGCAGAACTTGGACGACATGGCCGTGGATGCACATTTCTCAAGTGATGAGGCATCGCCATGGATAGTGATGGAGAGCTCTTTAATCTTTTCTCGGCAGAGTGCAGCGGCCACTCTGTAGCCCTTGGCAATCACGGTTGTGCTGACGCCCTCCTCGATAAACGCCTTGGCCTCTTTGAGCAACTCTCCTGCAAGGATGGTGACGGACGTAGTGCCGTCGCCCACCTCTGCGTCTTGTGCTCTGGAGATATCCACCAAGAGCTGGGCCGCGGGGTGCACGACATCGAGCAATTTCAAGATCGTGGCGCCGTCGTTGGAAATAGTGGTTTTGTCGGAGACTATGAGGATGTCCAGGCCCAAGGGGCCTAGTGTAGGCTTTAACGTGTCCTGGATGGCGAGACACGCATTGATGTTGGAGATGGTCTGGCCCTTGCCTTGGGAAGTGTCTGTGTCCTGGAGGACAATAATAGGGGGGGGCATAGAAAAGGAGGAGTGGTGAGAAGAGGGAGAAGAGAAGGGAGAAGAGAGAAGGGAAGAGAAAAGAGAGGGAAGAGAGAGAAGAGAGAGAGAAGAGAGAAGAAGCACAGTAGTCTTTTTTCCTTTCTTTTCTTTTCTTTTCTCAATTTTGAAAATTGAAAATTTTCAATTTTCAATTTCCAAGTGATAGGTAGAGGCGATTCCATGAGCAAGTACATTTCCGAGGTGAGTCTCTCGACGAGACGGGCTATGCGCAAGATCCAGCAAGGGAGGGCGCGGCCCAGTATAATGTACCAGTTCGACACGCTCGTTGAGATGAGCGACGGGTCAGTAGTGAAGAGGCGGTCGCAGGTGCCTAAAGACGAGGTGCGGATGATCAATGACCAGAGGAACAGTGTGCGGTGGAACCCCGGAGTTCTCATGGCCATAGCGTCTACGGGGCGGGTGAATAAGTTTGAGAGCAAGTATAAGATGGATGAGGGGGTGATTGATATGATGGGGGAGAATGCCAAGGAGATAGTCGGGGGCGGGAACATCTATGATAAGAGGCAGGATATAAAGAGGTTGAAGTCATAGCACAGCATAGCACAGAGGCGCAGCCTATGTGCTATGAAGACATACCAAGCATAGCTCAACAAAGCACAGAGGCGCAGCCTATGTGCTATGAAGACATATCATAGCATAGCACAGAGGCGCAGCCTTTGTGCTGTGCTCAACAGTGTAATGTAGTATTCTCCATCTTGCAATAGTGTTATAGTGCTATGAATAGTATCTATCTACTAGAGTCTCTCTACTATCGAGCAGAGCGAGATAGTGTCAATCTATCTACTAGAGACTACTCTTTTCAGTATCTCAATAGTATTGATCTATCTACTAGAAACTCTCTACTATCTCGCAGTTAATTGTATTCATCTATCTACTAGAGACTAGTCTCTCTCTCTCCATCTCACTCAACTACTCTCTTTCCACTACTCTATTTACTAGAGACCAGTTTCTCCACTATCTCGCAGTCAATAGTATTTTATTACTACACTAGTCTCTCTCCACTATCTCGCTCTGCTCGATAGTGTCCCACTACTCTCTCTCACTACTCTCCCTCCACTATCTCGCTCTGCTCGATAGTGTTCTATTACTCTACTACTCTCTCGCCACTATCTCGCTCTGCTCGATAGTGTCATCTCGCTCTGCTCCATAGTGAGGAGCTACAATGCCCAGAATAAAGGCTACGCCTTTATCCTGGGGTTCTAATAGTCCCCTCTACCCACTCTCTATCATAATGACAAAGATACTCCGTAACCGAGTCCAAATGCCAGCCGCACTTTCTCAACTCCTGGATACACCAGTAGAGGGCTATTTCGTCTCTTTTCTCAACGGCCTTTCTTGCAATGGCTTTGATGTGGAAGCAGTGGTGCAGCACCAGCGGGTGCTTGCAGTAGTGGCGTATAAGGTCTCGTACTGAAACATCTCCAGATGCACCGTCAGGTGTATTTGGAAACAGATCTGTAAACCCCCCAAGTGCATCTACAAGAGCATCTGGAAACAGATTTGGAGAGGCTTCAAGTGCATTGACAAGTGCCTTTGGAAACACCTCTGCACCTATCGGTGCAGTGCTTTCATTCACCATTCTCCACAACTTTCCACACTTGATGGTATCACCATTAACTAGATTCACCTTGATAAGCCTCTCAAGTATGATTCTTTTCTCCTCCCCTTTCAAGTGATTAATCTTGTGTGTTAAAGAATTTGCATAGTAATTGCCCAAACTTGTACTCGTGAGGTAGTGCAATATAGAGTAGATCTCTATATTGTACTGAGCGAGTTTCACGAGACAGTAGCCGTTGATGGGGAACTGGTCTATGCCCAAGGCTCTAGCCGTGGCTACAGCCCTGGGGATGTGCTGAAAAGCATTGTTTTTGAGAATGTGTTTGGTTAGTTGGAGCATTGACCGACACTATCGAGCGAAGCGAGATAGTGGAGAATAGTGAGATAGAATAACACTATCGAGCGACACTATCGAGCGACACTATCGAGCGAAGCGAGATAGTGGAGCACACTACCCAAACGAAAAAACAGTACCTACTATCGAGCGACACTATCGAACGAAGCGAGATAGTGGAGCACACTACGCACACTACCCAAACTAAAAAACAGTACCTACTATCGAGCAGAGGAGATAGTGGAGCACACTACCAACACTATCGACACTATCGAGCAGAGGAGATAGTGGAGCACACTACTACCTCTGGGAAGCAGTACTTACTACCCACACCCACTAGCTTGTTACACTATAGACTGCTCTCTATACTATAGACTACTCTCTACACTATAGACTACTCTCTACACTATAGAGTACTCCTCTACAGTACAAGCTACTTTGTCTACACTATCAACTACTATGCTTTATATCATGAACTACTATTCTACACTATGAACTACTCCTCTCTCTATACTATAGACTACTCTTCCATTCTCTACACTATAGACTGCTCTCTATACTATAGACTACTCTCTATTCTATAGACTACTCTCTACACTATAGACTACTCTCTACACTATCAACTACTCTCTACACTATAGACTACTCTCCATTTTATAGACTACTCTCTACACTATCAACTACTATTCTACACTATCTCGCTCTGCTCGATTGTGTCAGTGAGCAGAGTTGCTCCACTATCTCGCTCTGCTCGATTGTGTCAGTGAGCAGAGTTGCTCCACTATCTCGCTCTGCTCGATTGTGTCAGTGAGCAGAGTTGCTCCACTATCTCGCTCTGCTCGATTGTGTCAGTGAGCAGAGTTGCTCCACTATCTCGCTCTGCTCGATTGTGTCAGTGAGCAGAGTTGCTCCACTATCTCGCTTCGCTCGATAGTGTCGCTCGATGCGAACAATTAAATTTCTTAGCCCTGTACCAACTACTACTGCACTACTGCTGTTGACCTTCTACTATCGACTAGACTCGTCCACTCGTTTCATTTCCTCGTCTGGTCGTTGCATGCTCAAGTATAGAACCATAGGGAGACACATACTACGACTGCTCAATCTAGAGAGTAGGTGCTCCACTATCGAGCGGAGCGACATAGTGTCACGCTCGATAGTGTCTAGTCATAGGTACTCAATATTATCTAGTCATAGGTACTCAATACTGTCTAGTGCTCACAGGTACTCAATACTGTCTAGTGCTCACAGGTACTCAATACTGTCTAGTGCTCACAGGTACTCAATACTGTCTAGTGCTCACAGGTACTCAATACTGTCTAGTGCTCACAGGTACTCAATACTGTCTAGTGCTCACAGGTACTGCTCCACTATCTCGCTGCGCTCGATAGTGTCACGCTCGATAGTGTCGCTGCGCTCCACTACCTCGCTATTCCACCTCCTATCCTACGACCCCATCCTCGTCGATCCCGTGCAGTACCTCGGGTACTGCTCTGGAAACACCGACAGCCTACTACTAGACCGGCTCTTATTCCATCGCCAGTTCCATGCCATCTGGCGGCTCTTTGGGCTGATGGAGATGCAGTTTATCGAGCAAGTGGCTGAGCACCTTCTGGACGACCCGTTTATGTATGACTTTGTGCTTGCGATGCCGGAGTATGAGCAGAGCCTGTTGCAACGGTACTGCCTTGAGGCAGTCAAGAGGAGTTTTCCCAAGGCAGAGCAGGCGTTGAGGGTGAAGAGGGAGATGGACGGGATGGAGATGGAGGAGATAGAGAGGATGGAGGTGGGAGAGGGGGGAGGAGAGTGGGACCTGATAGTGTTGAGGAGGTTGATGCAGAGGGAGAGGAGTGAGGCTGAGGTGTTTGAGGTGTTGGAGCGGTACAAGCATGTGACGGAGAAGCCAGGGTGGATCACGTCCACCATGCCGAAATATGCATCTAGTACAGTGTTGAATGAGGCCGTGGCGCCGGAGATGAGTATCTTCGAGCCCATTCTAGAGTGCACCAGAGAATTGAGTTTGTTGGATGCAGTGTATATGGTGCACTCTAAGGTGGATGTGAGGCGGGTCTATGAGAAGTATAGAGGGAGGAACAAACATATGCTGAATTATCTAATGGAGAGATTAGAGGCAGAGACCGGGAAGACGCAAGTCTTCCTGGTCTGTGACTCTCTAGACCGCTCTCGGATAGAGAAGGGGGAGAGAGAGGAGGAAGAGAAGAGAGGTAGAGAGGGAAGAGGTAGTGAGGGAAGAGGTAGTGAGGAGGAAGAGAAGAGAGGTAGAGATGAGGAAGAGAAGAGAGGTAGAGATGAGGAAGAGAAGGTAGGTAGAGATGAGGAAGAGAAGAGAGGTAGAGATGAGGAAGAGAAGGTAGGTAGAGATGAGGAAGAGAAGAGAGGTAGAGATGAGGAAGAGAAGAGAGGTAGTGATGAGAGCGAGCAGACCAGAGAGACTTGCGTCTCTCCGGTTTCTCGCTCCGCCTTTTATTCCTTCGCCCCTGACTTATTCCCCCCTGTTGCAGCCAAATGGGTGCAGAGACTCGGGGAGACCAATATAGACCTTGTCTCCAACAAAGAGGCAGTGGCCGAGTTGATCCCCCCACTGGTCTTCCTCATCCTCTACTTCCGCGATAATAGAAAACTAGTAAGGAAGTTGATCAGGAGGTACTGTTTCGGCGCCTCCCTCAAGGAGGCGCGGCTGCTATGCAAGAAGGAGCTCAGTGTCATGTGTTTGTTGGAGGTGCACCGGAGCGTGTTGTACAGCGGCAGAATCGACGAGGAGCTCCTTAACGAGGTCATCACACGGATCGTCCGTGTGAGGAGCCAGCGCGGCGTGAACAACTTGTTGAGAGCATATGCCCAGAGCATCTCGTTGCTCTCTGTAAATAGAGTGAGAGAAGCGCTTGGCAAGATCCATGTGCAGAGGAATGTTGTTTCATACGAGGTGTTTCGGTTTCTCCGGAGGAGCAACCGAATAGACGAGTTTGAGAATGA